CCCCGCAGGGCCGCGTCCGCACCAGGGAAACGTTCCGTAACGGATTAACGGCTCCAGCCGCCCCGCGCCTCCACCCGCCGCCATCTTAGCGGCACGTGCAGCCGGACCCGCCCCGCCCCCTCCCGATTGGCGGAGCGCGGCCCTGCCCTCCCCGGATTGGCGGAGCGCGGCCCGCGGGCAGCTCGGCTCTCCGAGGGCGGAAGTGACGTCAGAGAGACGCCGGCAGCGCCGAGCGGGGCTGATGCAACCCGCGCGCGGTGGGCGAGGTGCGGCGGGCGGCCCGGGCTGTGCGCAGCGCTGACGCGTCCTTTCCTTCCGCCATGGAGACCGCGTCCGGCCCGCAGGAGAAGTATCAGCTCATCACCCGCAACCTGCAGGTACCGGGGGCGGGCCGGGCCCGGGCCCCGTGCTGAGGGGATGGGCCGGGCCCCGGGCACGGCGATAGGAGCGCCGCGCTCAGCCCGCGGGCCGGGCCTCGGCGCCGGGCCTCGTTTCGGGGCTCGATGCCCGCCCCAGCCCGGCCGCTCTCGGCTTTCTCTCGCAGGAGGTGCTGGGCGAGGATAAGCTGATGGGCATCCTGAAGGAGCGGGAGGTGAAGATCTACTGGGGCACCGCCACCACGGGCAAGCCGCACGTTGCCTACTTCGTGCCCATGTCCAAGATCGCAGACTTCCTGAAGGCTGGCTGTGAGGTGCGAGGCCGGCCGGCAGGGTTCCCCCTGCGCTGTGCATCTTCTGACAGGCGGTGCTGACTCTGTCCCCTCTTTACCAGGTGACAATCCTCTTTGCTGACCTCCACGCTTACCTAGACAACATGAAGGCCCCCTGGGAGCTGCTGGAGTTGCGCACTCGCTATTATGAGAATGTGATCAAAGCCATGCTGGAGAGCATTGGGGTGCCCCTGGAAAAGCTGAAGTTTGTCCGAGGCACGGACTACCAGCTCAGCAAGTGAGTTCTGAGCTGCTGGTCCTCTGTGCACGGGAGAAGCTGGTTTGGGGCTCTGCTGTCATTCCCAAGCCTGCTGCCAGGCACTGTTATTCAGGGAATAAAGTGAAGGTGTCTCCAGGCTGCTCTCAGTGGCCAGCACCAATATTTATGCGATGCAGCTTTTGCAGCTGTGCCTCTGCCTGGTGCTGACTGTGCTATTCCTTCCCATAGGGAGTACACGTTGGATGTGTACCGTCTGTCATCTGTGGTGACACAGCACGATGCGAAGAAGGCAGGAGCAGAGGTGGTGAAGCAGGTGGAGCACCCTTTGCTGAGTGGCTTGCTCTACCCTGGCCTGCAGGTGGGTGTTGAGGCTGCCTGGCAGAATGCATATGCTGAGGAGGTGCTGGGCAAAGCCAGGACTGCCAAGGCTGTTTGTGTCTTTCCTCAGGCCCTGGATGAGGAATACCTCAAGGTCGATGCTCAGTTTGGTGGAGTTGATCAAAGGAAGATATTCACCTTTGCAGAGAAGGTTAGGAATGGGGGTGTTTGGGTCCCTTGTGATTCTGGCGTGGGACTCAGAGTCTCTCTAATCCACTGGGAGAAACATGACTGTGATTTCAGTTAGAGTCACAGTGCTCTTAGCAGCTCCTGCTGCTGCTCTTGTGGCCCACAGGGCTCTGGTGTAGCAGGCAGGGCTGCCACATGTTCCGGGCTGTCAGGACTGTGTGAACCCATGATGGCTTTCTGGGTCTCATTGCCGTGCTCAAGGTTATGCGGAGCCAGGAGCAAACACGGAGCATGGGTTAAAGCTGACTTGTAGAGTAGCATTGACCATGACTTACTTCCTTGCATTTTCCCAGTACCTCCCTTCCCTGGGCTATGCCAAGCGCATCCATTTGATGAATCCAATGGTTCCCGGTCTGACAGGCAGCAAAATGAGCTCATCAGAAGAGGTTGGTTCTTGAGTGGTGGCTGGGGCTTTGCAGGGGCACGGGCTCATGGCTGGGGATGGAGAGGCTGCACCCTGAGAGATGGAAATTTCTCACTTCATGCTGAGGTCTAAGAAAAAGGTGCAGCAACACCTGTGTGAGTTATTTCTTTTGGGCCAGAAAAGGGCTATGGAAATTTCTTCCTCCAGGACTCAAAAATTGACCTTCTGGACCGCAAAGAAGATGTGAAGAAGAAGCTGAAGAAGGCTTTCTGTGAGCCAGGGAATGTGGAGAACAATGGTGTCCTCTCCTTCATTAAGCACGTCCTCTTTCCCCTCAAGTCAGGTGAAGGGCTCCCCGTGACCGGGTGTTGGGGTCACTTTTTCCTGTGGGCAAAAGGAGGGGGCAGGAATATACAATCCCTAACACTGACTGCACCCTGCACACCCTCTGTCCAGCCCTGCTGCAGCTCCCTTCGCTCTTGGCCAGAGTGGGGTGGTTTATCTGGCTGAGCAGGGGGAGCCTCCCCTGGGCTTAATTTGAGCCTTAATTGTGTCTCACAGAGTTTGTGATTCTGCGAGAAGAAAAATGGGGAGGAAACAAAACGTACACAGCCTATGAAGCTCTGGAGAAGGACTTTGCTGAGCAGGTGAGTACAGCGAGGGACTGAACGCCTCCCTTGTCCCTGAGGCTCCCACGAGCACTGTGGGCTCAGAGCAGCACTGGCAGTTGGAAATCCACACTGGGGGAGAGACGCAGGGCCCTGTCTGCTTGTCACGATACAGGTTGTGCATCCTGGAGACCTGAAGAACTCTGTGGAAGTGGCCCTGAATAAACTGCTTGACCCCATCAGAGAGAAATTCAACAGCCCGGAGCTGAAGAAGTTGACCAGCGCAGCATATCCCAACCCATCCAAAGCAAGTAAGGAGCTGCTGGGAAAAATGGGGCTCTGGCCGTGCAGGGCTGGGTAGGAGGGAGTCTCTCCAGGGCCATTCTTGGAGAGCATCTGCAGGGTGAGGAGAGGCCAGGGCCCCAGTGAGAGGGCAGAAGGCGTCTCTGAGAGGCCAGCGAAGCGGAGGAGGGGCTGCTGTGGTGTGTGCAGACAAACAGGAATTCAGGAGCCTCCAAGTCCAGCAAGTGGGGATCATTGTGTGCTCCCCAGGGCTTGGCCAGCTCCCAGCATTCAAGGTGAATGGTGCAACTGTTTCCTTTGCACTGTAGAGCCTGCAGAGAAAGGCACCAAGAACTCAGAGCCGGAGACTGTTGTCCCATCTCGGCTGGACATCCGTGTTGGCAAAGTGATCAGTGTGGAAAAGGTAAGGGCACGATGGGAAGAGGGGAGTAGCGAGAAGGGCACTCAGTGTATGGGGAAAGGTGAGGGGGAGGAGTCTGCCCTTTTGGTTGTCTTTTTTTTGTCACCCCAGTCCCCTTCTCTGCTCCTTACCTTGCTTTTACTTGTCAGCACCCAGATGCTGACAGCCTGTATGTGGAGAAGATCGATGTGGGGGAGCCTGAGCCCCGCACTGTGGTCAGCGGCCTGGTGCAGTTTGTCCCTAGGGAGCAGCTGCAGGACAGGCTCGTGGTGCTGCTCTGTAACCTCAAGCCCCAGAAGATGAGAGGCGTGGAGTCGCAGGGCATGGTGCTGTGTGCCTCCAGGTGAGAGGGGAATCAGGGCAGGCCCCTCCAGGGGTGCAGTCTGGATCCTCAGAGCCCGGCGATGCCAAGGTGGGCGCTGCCTGGGGGTGACTCTGCGTCCTCTGTACTCCTCTGCAGTGTGGGAGAGCCACGGCAGGTGGAGCCCCTGGACCCACCTGCTGGGTGCTGCGCTGGGGAGCGTGTGTACGTGGAGGGTTACGAGGACGGGGAACCTGACGACGAGCTCAAGCCAAAGAAGAAGGTGTTTGAGAAGCTACAGGTGAGGGCACAGAGCAGTCGAGCTGAGGGCTTCGGCTTCAGGCACTGAGCAGGGCAGTGCTGACGGCCGTGTGGATGCCACTGTCCCATCACTGGGTGACTGGAGGTTGTGTGCTTGCCGCCGTGTCATGGTCGGTGAACCTTCAGGCAGCACCCAATTCGGCCCCAGCCTGCGTGCATCCCAGGCCTGACCCAATTCCCCTGCTCTGCTCCCCAGGCTGATTTCCGCATCTCTGAGGACTGCATCGCTCAATGGAAGGAGAGAAACTTCCTGACCAAGCTGGGGAGCATCTCGTGTAAAAGCCTGAAGGGGGGGAGCATCAGCTAACAAGCACCAGAGCCACGGCTCACGCCTCCTGCCTGGCCCCTCCACCCCTCCATCCAGGCTCTCCTTCCCAGTCTCTGGCATCTCCTTCCCCGGCACCTTGAACAGGGGGCTTTGCCCTTTGGGACCTGGCAGCTCTGGACCTGAATTTGCAGTCTCCCATGCACTGTAACGGTGAGAGGCTGCTGGAGAGCTGGCCCAAACATCTTTGCCTTGGGTCTACTCAGCCTGCATCAGTACCTCTGCTGTGGGCCAGAGCTGGGGCCTGGCAATGGCACCACATCTAAGGGACTTGTGTTTCTTGTGCCTGTGTCCTCTGGCTCATCACTGAGGTCACTGGCTTGCTCTCCATTGTGCCATGGACTGGAAACCTGCTTGCTGGCTGCATCTCTGGGACAGCACGTGCAGGCACTGCCGTAAGGGTTGAAAGGGAAAGCTGCTTGATCAAACCTGTGTTGCTGCTACCAGGGTGGGGGACAGCTGCCTGGCAGCTGGGTCGCTCCTGTCCCCTGCTCTGCTCTGCTCCGTGCCCTCCTGGAGCAGGGGCTGCTGCTTGTGGGCCAGGAGCCCAGGGCACAGCCCTGCCCCACCAGGTCCGACCTGAGCCCGGGGCAGGCTGGGGTTGGGAGCCTTTAAACACTGACTCGGAAACCATCTGTCTGTCATAAACCCAATAAAACGTCAAGCTGACAGCACCTGGGTGTGTCCGTCCGTCCAGGGGGCGATGGCTCTGCCTGCTCCTCTGTTTTAGTGCTGCCAAGAGAAGCCAGAGATGGAGCCCAAGCTCTGTCCCTCTGTGGGGACCCACAGAGCTGCCCCAGAGCTGCACAGCACTGAGATGCAGTGATGCTGTGGTTGGCAGCAGCCGGGATCTAAAACCAGGAAGCACAGGAGGCAATGAGCTTCAGTCAGCATCTTTACCAGCCAGGTACAGAGCTCTGAGGGGCTACTTGGCGGCAGAGGGTTGTTTGGTTTTGGTTCTTTTGTTGTTTTTTTTTTTCCTTACAATCAAAGAAATCAAAATGTGACCAAAGTTTACAGAAACAGAAATCAAGGCTCCACCCCACAGCCCAGGGCGGCAGCTCACAGGGCTCCTGCCGAGCCGCGCGGCTCCCAGCCGGCCGGGCCCAGCAGCGCCGTGAGCCGCAGCCGGGGAGCGGCGCCGGCCCAGAGACCCCTCGTGCTTTTCTCCAGGGCTGCAGCGCCGCTCCGCTCCATCCGGGGCTCCGTCTCACGCTGCTGCTGCTGCCGCCCAAGTCCTCCCAGGGGCGGCCGAAGCCTTCCAGTTCTTTGTCCAAAGTGCTTTGATTCTGTACAGGCCCGGCTGGCCGGGAGCAGGTTGGATCCAGCGCTGTCCTCGCAGCCCCTCGCCCTCCTCTCTGCGCAGCTGCTCTGCTCACACGCGCAAACCACGCGGCAGCGCAGCAGGGAGGAGCGCTGGCTCTGGGCGTGGGCCTCGAGTCCAGTAAAAAAAATAATGCAAAATAAAGCTGTAGTACTTAGGAAAGTGAAACCAACACCATTTTTGCATAAATATCATCAAGGCCATGGAGGCTAAGGCTGTTTGCTTCCTGTGTTAAGTTAGTTGCCAGTTCCACACTCATCCGTTGACCTGCCCAGGTCCCTGAGAGATTTGGATTCCTGTCCGCGGGGGCACCAGTCCTGCAGCTCCGTCCTTCAGGCCGTCTCTCCCTGTCCGTCTGCAAGGCAAGAGGGAAGAGCCCATCAAGGACCCGCTCCTGCAGCTCAGCCTCCCACAGGCCTATCCCCTGCTGCGCCGCCCTGCTGTCCCACAGCAGCCCCAATGCAGCCTGTGCTGCGCTGGGTCCCCTGGCCACGAGCATCCACACTCAGCTCCATTGGCTTTGGCCAACGGCTCGGCCACCACCCCCAGCGCTGCCGTCGCTCTTGGCTAAGGAGCCCCCAGCACACACACAGGGCTCGGCCAGCACCCCCAGCCCTCCTGCTCCACATACCTTGTGCTGGCGGCTCTGCAACCGCGGCGCTTCTGCCCTCAGCCATTCCCACCGGCTCACTGCTGGTTCTGCTCTCCTCCTCCACTGCCACTGCCTTGACTTTCTCATCTGGCGCAGGGGAGCCCAGCGCCTCCGGTGCCTTTGGGCTCAGTGGTGATGGAGACGGCCCGAGGCCGAGCGAAGGCTTCTTGGCAACAGGAGGGGGCACTTTGCCAGGCTTTCGGTGCACCGGTGCCTTGCCTGGGCCCTGCTGGGCAGCAGCTGGGGCTGCCGAGCGCTGCCCGGAGAAATTCATCAGCTCGGTGACCAAATTCCTCTTCAGGTCGGCCTGTGCCTCAGGGGATGAGGGTGTCTCGATCACCAGCTTCTTGGTGCTTTTGGCAAAGATGAAGCTGGCGGTGGAGGTGGGGGATTTGTGCCTGGGGGACAGCTGCCCATCGCCGGCAGGCGCCTCCAGGCCAGGAGGAGTCGCTTTGCCGCCCAGGGGTTTTGCGGCCAGCCCAGAAGCCTCACCGGAGGACGCAGCGGAGGCCTTGAGGTGCACAGCAGCATGGAGCGGGTTTGAAGGCACCGCATCTTTGGCAGGATTGGGCTGCCGCGTGGACAGGGCCCGGCGGATGGGCTTCTGCGGCACCGCGCGCTCCTCGGCCACGGCGGGCGGCTCCACGCTGACGGAGCGCAGCCGCACCATCTGCAGCAGCGACGGCGTGACGATGGGCAGGCTGGCGTCCTCCTTGGGCACCGGGCCGCTCTTGCTGCGCGATGCTGGCTCCTTCTTGCTGTCTGCCCGGGAGCCGTTCGCCGCCTTCTTAAGGCAGATCTGGGGCGGTAAAGCAGGAGCTGATGGTGGCGGCAGAGGTGGCGGTGGGGGCACGGTGGCCGCGGGTGGTGGCGCGGTGGCTCCGGGAAGTGGCGTGGTGGGGGATGGCGGTGAGCCCTGCTGCTGGACGCTCGAGGAGACGGTGGTTGAGGAGGAGGAAGATGCGGCTGTGCTCGGCGCGTGGTTCTGCCCTGCTGCTGGGGTCAGCACGGCATCAGGCGGGGGCAGGCTGGAGAAACAGGCTTCGTCTGGAGGAGGAAAGTCTGCCATGGACAGGTCGTGCTCCTCAGGGGCCGGGGGGGGCGGTGGGGGCCAGGTAGCCTCCGCGGGGGCCTCACAGGCACTGTCGGGGCTCACCTCTGCCTTCTTGGCCGGTGGAGGAGGCGGGTGGTAGGCAGGTGGTGGTGATGGCGGTGGTGATTTGGTGCCGGGTTTGGTGGAGGGCTCCTGCCCTGCGGCACTGGGCACCGACGGGTCCAGTGAAGGGGTGAGAGGGCCGGCGGGGGCAGTAGGTGTCTGGGGCTTGGTGGGCGGAGGGGAGAAGGGAGCGGGCACCTTGGGATGCGGCGGGATGACAAACCTATCCGAACGGCTTTGAGCGCAGTGCGGTGTCTCAGAGGGCACTGGGTCTGAGGCAGAGGAGGAGATAGAGGTGAGGGAGGAGGAGACGGACAGCGCGGGGGACTGTAAGGAGCAGACCCGGTCGGGCTTCTGGGGCTGGACCCTGCCTGGGGATGCGGCCGGGGGTCCCAGCCCCTTGGTAGGCAGTGTGGGCGTCCCGCTCTGGCTGGAATATCCGCTGGAGGGTGACATGGTGCGGTCAGAGCCATCTGGGCAGCTCCACTTGGGCTGAGCTGAGGGTTCCCTCAGCACCACCGTTATTCCCCGCTCACCAGGGCTGCCCCGTGAGGTCTTGGGGGAGTTGGTCCCAGCCAAGCTCTCAGAGCGGATGCTGCTGGTCTCACTCAGTGATGAGGAGAAGACCTCATCCTCAACCGTCGGGCTGAAGGGCTCAGGGTGCGGGGACCAGGGCGCATCGCTCGCCTGCTGCGGCCGCCGGTTGGGCTTGGGGGGCAGCCCCAGCACCTTGTGCTCCCCCTCCGCCTTTTGGTACAGCGAGAATGTCCTGCGAGGGGGTGCCGGGGGCTTCTTCATCTTCCTGAGGGAGACGCTGCGTGCCGAGGAGCGCTCGCTCGCCAGGCTGCCCGTGTCCGAGCCCTCAGCCTGGCTGCTGGTGCTGAAGGCGGGGGATGTGCGGCCGCTGCTGCCCACACTGCGGGGCCCCACGGCCAGCAGCCCGTGAGCTGTGTGCACTGCAGCCACGGCAGGCTTGGAGCAGGCGCTGGCAAAGCTGGCAGAGCTGTACACGCTGATCTGATCGTTGTCGGAGCGTCGCGCGGTGTCGGCTTCGCTGCACAGCCCAGCCTCGGCCTGCCGGCGGTCAGAGCCGCCCTGCGAGGAGATGGTGGAGCTGTTGGAGACAATGGTCTCTGTGGACTGCGAGTGGCTCCAGTTGTCGCTGGAGGAGGAGGGCTCACGGCTGCGGGTGCTGTGCTCTGAGAAGCGGGCGAGAGAGCGCACCGAGGCCGGGCTGGACGACACCAGGCTGCAGCGGCTCAGCGTCCGCACGCTGCTCCTCGTCAGGGCCACCACGTCCACCATAGGCGGCAGGATGGCGTTGGGGATGATCTTGGACATGTAGGTGCCCTGGGGTGAGATGGACATGACGGGGCTCAGCAGATCCGGGGGGTTGGCGCTGGTGGTCATGCCTGGCACGGCCAGAGACTTCGGCCTCACCATGGGCGACAGCTTGGCCGACGTTTTCCTCCCCAGCAACGTGTCGTCGTAGTAAACCCGGTCAATGTGCTTCTGCAGAGCCGTGTCTGTTTCCTCCAAGGCTCCCAGGCGCACACGGGCACCCCCTGGGACGTCCAGTGGTGGCAGGTTCCCATCGATGGTGGGAATACGGATGGCCTCACCGGAGACCTGGCCGCCGTTCAGCAGGGGCTGCGGTGCCCGGCTGCCCACGTGCCCATCTGTGGGACGTTCCCTGATCTCTCGGCTGTTCCTGAGACCTGGGAGCAGGGAGAAGTGAGCCAGCTGTGATCTCAAGGCAGATGCACCTAGCTGAGGTAAACAGAGCCCCAGGGTTGGGACCGAACCCTACAACAACTCTTTGCTCATGCACTTACCCAGCTCCTTCTGGACGTGCTGGGGGATGCCCAGCACTGTTGTCCTCCGCTCCTTCCTCTTCCTGCCAGCCTTCTCTGAAGATTTGGAGAAGGAATCGTGTGGTCGGAATGTGGAACCTGTGAAAGGTGTGAGTGAGTCCAGCCGGTGTGACATGAGCCCTGGGCCATGCATCCCCGATGTCCGCAGCCCAGTGCCAGCTGCTGCTCACACATCTGGCACAGCCCAGGGAGCATCCGCAGCCAAGAAGGGAGGAGACACTGCGCGCCCATCTGTCCCCTCACGCAGCTCCATCCCAGAACCCATAGCAGCCTCTGACTCAGCCAGAGCTGCTCTTTCCTCCAAAGGCCCCCAGATCCCTGCACTGGTTTGTGGCCATGCGAGCTCTGAGCCTCAAAGCCCCAGAGATATTCCTGCCACGCTCCCCAACCCCTGGCACCCACTTGGCCCCTGGCCCCACAGCCCGGCACCTTTCCGCTGGATCATCTCGGAGCGGATGGAGAGGGCGTCCTCAGAGGCGCTGTCAGTGATGCAGGAGGCTGCCCGGCTCCGTAAGGACACACTGTCATCCTCCGACAACGCACAGGACTGTGGAGACACACAGTGGGCTCCGATGGACCCCAGGCTGCAGGGAAGGCGCAGCCCCGTCCCCTCCAGGCCCCTTCTCTGCCGCGAACTGACTCCACAGCCCAGACAAAAGCTACGCTGAGGGCCAAAGGCTGAGTCAGCCACACCGGCAGCCAGAGTCCTCCCACCAGGAGCGGGGCCGGGAGCAGCCCCAGGGACCCCACACAGTCCTGCAGACCCCAGAGAACAGGCGAGCCAGGTCCAGCAGGGCGGAGGGGTCAGCACCGCCTTGTCCCCACACCAGAGGGAAGCATCCACCTCATCAACACTAAGCCAAAAACACCCCAGGGCTGGGGCAGGCTATGGGATGGCAGTTCAAGGGGAAATATGGCATACACTGGGTTCACAGCCTCAAAATGGGCATGGCCTTCTGCGCCCACCTCACCGTTTCAAAGCATCTCCCAGAGATCAGGACAAGACACAACCCTGTGAATCTCCTCCCCAAGCCCTCACCGCCTGCTTCTAAGGGGTTAAGGTGGCCAAGAGCCAAAGGGAGGCAGCAGTTTAAGCAAATACGCGTGGGTGAGGCGCAGGGAGCGGGGTCAGAGCCCAGGGAAGCAGCAAACTCCAGCTCAGCCAAGAGAGTGGGAGTTTCTCATCCATCAGCAGCCAGGGAGGGGCCCCACCATGGGGCTGGATGTGGCCGGCAGTCCTTGTCATACCGTCCCATCTCCTTACCTCACTCAGCACTGCCAGGGGACACCGGTGGGGCAGACAGGGGGGTCAGAAGGACATAGGCATGGCAGGGGGCCATAGGCAGAGCCACATGAGGCAAGGCATGATGCATTGGTGCTGAGGACAGGGACAGAGCCTCATCATGGGACAAATGGGACGACACTGAGAGGGAGCAGCCCACTCCTGCCCCACAACCCCCCTGTCCTGGTCCTGCAGCCCCAGCCTCAACCACATCCCTGCCTCCTCTGTGCTACAGCAGTGCCCTCTGCCCTGTGCAGGGTGTAGGGGGGCTGCCTCACGCACCTTACCCCCCACAGAGCCCCAGGCATGGCCAGATGGAGCTCCCATGCTCACCTGGAGGCTGTTGGTGTCCCCTTGGTCCCAGGCACTTTTGGTCTGCTTCTGCTTCTCTGCAGAGGAAGGAAGAAGGTCAGTCCGCAGCTGCCGAGCCCAGCAGCACAGCCAGTGCCCCCCAGGGCAGTGGGGCTGTAGCAACCGGTGCCACCCCCAGTGCTGGACTCTGGTCACTCTCCGCAGCACCGCCCACACAGGCAGGACAGCCAGCTGCCCGGGGCACTGGGGACACCACCCTGCAGCCCTGGGGGCCCTCGGGGCTGGCGGTGCCCACCTTGGTGCTGCAGGGATTTGAGCCCCTCGCGGGCCTGGTTGTGCAGCTCCTCCAGGTGCGGGGGCCGCGTGCTGGGGAAGAAGACATTGTCGGGGCACTCATCGCCTGCTTTGTACTGCACGCTCAGCCGCCTGTCGTTCTCGGTCTTGGCAGCACCTGCAAAAGCAGAGCGGTGACCCCCCAGCCCCCTGCACGTGAGCAGCCCCCAGCCCTGCAGCCAGGCGGGATGCAGTCTGCCCGTGAGCTCAGAGCACGGGACCAGCCTCGTCCCTCCAGCTCTGCCTGATCGATCAGATGGAGTCAGGCTGTCTGCGCCGTGCGAGATGCAATGTTTTCCCCCCAGCAGCCAGCATTGAGCTGGGGCACAGAGCTGCCCTCCGCCCAGCACCTTCACTGGAGGGCCAACAAAGCAGCGTGCTGTGGGGCTGCGGGCTGCTCGAAGGGGTGAATACGGACAGAAGGACAGAAAGACTTTCCTTCTACAGGACTGAATCATCTCAAGGCCTTGCAAAGAACCCCGGGGAGCAGGGACTCACCCCCAAGCTTGTGCAGAATACGTAAACCATGACACAGTGCCCGGGGGGCCCTAAGGCTGCTGTCCCCCCTTTGCAGCCGCACCAGGTGGCAGAGCTGCAGGTGCCGCGCCAGCACCGGGCCCCGCACACCCATCTCACAGCCCCATCCTTCCCGGCACCCAGTGGTGCCCATGGCTGGCACCCACCCCCAGCTTTGGTCCCCAGCGCACAGGGGACATGGGCACAGCTCCATCTACCCTCAGCGGCCTGCAGAGCCTCCAGCTCTTCCTGCCTGGAAAAAAACAACTTCAGGCAGGGAGGGGAAGGGAAAGGAGACAACAGGAGGCGGCGGGGCTGGAGGGAAACACTGCTGGGATGCAGGCACGCACCGCTCGGCATCCACCACCGACCGGGACCGCCGCTGCCTCGTCACACGCAGGCCTTGTCCCCAGCACGGCTCACAGCCGGCCCCAGCCCCGCTCGGCAGCTCCGGCACACAAAGAGCCGCCCTGAACAATGGAGCCGCGCCGCCCGGCCGAGCCAGCTGCCTCCATCGGCACCCTCAGCACCCAAAGGCTCGGCCGGGCGCAGAGCACATCGGTGGGTCTTCAGGGACCCCCCATGCCGGTGCGGGGACACGAGGCAACCACAGCCCCACCGCACCGCCCTTCCCTTGAGAAATGCCCTCCCCGCCGCCGGCAGCCCCTCGCCCGATCCCCACCCGCGTGGGCTCGGCTGCGTTCTGCCGTGTGGGAGCACCGAGCCGTGCCCCGCAATCCCCACGGTGGAACGGGGCCGGCGACCTTCGCTGCCCTCCTGGGGGCGGCAGCTGCTGCAGGGACCCCCGAGGCACGCGGGGGTCGGGGCGCTCCGGGGTTGTGCAAGGACAAGCGAAGCGCTTCTCCCTCCCTCCTCCTCCGCATCTCCACTCACCCTTCTTCTTGAAGAAAGCCAGAAGCGAGGAGAGGTTCCTGCCCATGAAAACCACCATGGTGGCCAGGAGGAGGGTCTGCTCCCCGCGAGAAGGGGCTCCGCCGCCCCCAGCCGAGGCTTCGCCGCCGCCTATCGCGCCGGGGGGCGGATGCCGAGACCGCAGCTCTTTCTCCCCACGCTCGTCCGTGCCGCAGGACCGGCTGCACGAAGCCCGGCGGGAGGATGCTCGCCCGGCGGAGCGGCTGCGCGGGGAGAGGCCGGAGCCGGGGGGGGGATGCGCGGCGGCAGGAGGGGACAGCCCGGCTGCTCCCAGCGCGCTCCCGGTGCTGGGAGGAGGAGAGCAGGGCCCCTCCTCTGGCCTCACGCTCCCCCCCGGCCCTCCCCTCCTTCCTGCACGAAGCGTGCGGGGACGCACCCTGCCTGGCATGGGGCTGAGTGCAGAGAATTCCCCCCAAATTCTTGTGCTCGGGGAGGAATCCCCCTGCATCATCCACATCAATCAGGACTGGTCCCCACTGGACACAGCAGCCCTGCAAACTGGCGTGCTGGCCTTCACAGCACTGTGATCAATTGGGAGGAGCTGGGAGGCATTTCCCCCCCAGGCATCAACCTTTGGGACCTGCTGCAGCAGGGCAGGTAGGGCCGGTGCTCCCATGTCCCCACCGTGTCCCCCAGCACGGCAGTGTCACGGTCAGCCTGTGGCACTGGGGGATAACCGGGCTTCGGACCAGTCTAACCAGTAGCTCCAGCCGCTGGGGCAGGCGGGGGGGAGAGGAGAGGAATGGAGGTTGGCAGCCGCAGTGCCCACGCACGAGGGGAAAGAACTGCAGGCAGAGGGGAGGCAGGGAGCACCCACACCTCTCTGTGCACCCACTGTCGGGCTGCCCCACTGCACAGGGATTCCTCTGCACTGCCAGATGGGTGCAGCGTGCGGCCCTGCTGCAGGGAGCAGCCGGCGGCTGCCCCAGACCCCTCCTTCACCCCCCCACGTTGAAGGAAGGCCGTCCAGCCAGGCGTGAAGGGGAGCAGCACCCGGGGCACCGCGTGGGGTGGGAGGTGAGTGCTGAGCTTTGCACCAGCACAGTGCTGACCCTACCAAACAAGCACTGATGTCACTCGGGGCCCCACCAGCACCACGCATCCATCCTGCACGCTGCACCTGCAGTGGGGCAGGTGGGGCAAAGCCTTCTTCCTGTGCAGGAGCAGCTCATGTGCAACCAGCTTACTGCAGCCAAACATGGGGCTGGCTGCGGGCAGAGCAGCTACCCAAGGCACAGAGGGACTGCGCTACGGGCACGGCCCTGGCCTGGTGGTGCAGCCTCCTCTGCATCTCCTCCAGCAAACGTGCAGAGCTCCCTGCAGCTCCTGCACACCTACCCCTGCAGTCAGCAGTGCACAGCACCTTCCCCACAGCAGGACAGGATCAGCCCCACTGCCCACGCGCTCACCCAGAAGGTGCCGGCAGCCACAGGCAGCCACTCCCAGCTCTTTTCACAGCACAAATGGAAAAGGGCCAAAATGAAAGGGCTGAGGGTGCACAAAGCAGGCGGCACGTGCTGCACCAAGCGCTGCCCTCTGCTCTGCGGGCAGCGCATCGCTGTGCTGCAGGAAAGGTTCAGTATCCATGGCAGCAAAGGATGGAGCAGGATGGAGCTGCAGCCCAGCACACGGGGATCCCACAGCAGAGGCTGCAGCTGCGGCCCACACCGGCAGCAACACGCCTGCCCAGGCATCCCATCCCATCCCTCACTCACTCCTTGTGAAGCGCCCTGGATCGACCCGTCCCCTCCAGGCTCTCCTGCTCCAGCCTGGCACACACGTGCCTCATGCGCACGTGGCAGCCGCATCCTGCAGCAGGAGGACCGGTTCCTGCCCAGGACAGGTAGGACGGCCCCAAGGATGATTTCTCTGTTCAGAACCTGGTGTCCAACGGGCAAAGCGCTGCTGTTGTTATGGAGGGAGAGACCAGAGCTGAGACCCCAAAGGAGCACAGCTGGGTCCACGCAGCTGAGGATGCCGCAAGGAGGTGGTGCAGGCCCCACTGCAGGGGCTCCGTCTATGGGTGAGCCAGGGGAGAAACCCTCACTGCCTGGCTAAGGGGTGAGCGCTGGCTCCGTGCTCCACGCTGCGCCTGCACCTCCTGTGAGCAGCGGGCTGGGCCATTATCCCCAGGTGTGTGCATCCATCGCTGCCTGCACAGCACTGCCCCGACTTGCCTTTGGGTCCTGCGGCGGGGAACAGGAGCGCCCGCCCGGCACCACTGACTCATCGGGGAAAAATGGGGAGGAGGAGCAGGGGAGCTGGCATGGGGGCTGCGAGGTCCCAGAGGAGCAACGGGAGGAGATGCTGCCTTCCCTTCTGGGTGGCACTGGGGACCTTCTGCACCACGGAGCATCAAACGGTGCTCACAGGCACCAAATGGTGATGCCCAGGCGTGCAAATGTGGCCGCTGCTTGGGGACAGCACAGTCCCTGTGTGCCAAGAGGGCTGCAGGAGCTCCCCACCCTTGTTGCTGCCCCGACTCTCTGCATGGGGTCTGCACACTGGGACTGAGCCGTCTTAAGGCAGGACAAGAGCACAATAATATTGACGGTGGCTTTGGCCACAAGGCCCCGGGCTGCCCCGCAGTGCTATCTGCAGGGTTACAGCCAGCCCTGCTCCTTGCTCCAGGGCTGATCTTCCAGCCAGGAAAACATCTCCGCAAAGTAAATAAACACGACCTGAACAGCACTGCTGGTTCTGTTCTCAAAGGCAATCCCATGTAGAGACAGAAATAAAATTAATTTTAAACAGGAAAACAAACAAGAGTCTTCTTCTTCCTTTCAATTACAGTGCAGAAAACTACCGCGAGTGCCCTGGGAAAGTGAACGGCCACAGAGAATCAGGTGGGGATGGGATGGGAAACCCCACCTGGGGGAGGGCTGTGGTCCACAGCTGCTGTCAGGCAGAAGCACAGCAATGAAATGGGGACAAGCTGAGCCACAAAAGCACAGAGTCTGAGCTCCGGTCACACAACACACTGGGAAGCCGCGGTCCCTCCTGGGCTGCTCCGTCCCTCAGCCCCATACAGCTGGCAGGCAGTGCAGTGCAGCTCCCAGCCCATTGCACGGGGCCTCCTGCTGCGTCCCCACCTGCGCTCGGCCCCTCCTGAGAAGCCACCAAACAGGTTTGAAGGCAAACACTGTCTGAGCTGGGAGCCGGATCCAGGCGGGAATGGCCTACACAGAGCACGGGCAGACAGCAGGCGAGGGAGGGCTGGGGGTGAGCCCTACGCATGGCAGCCCCCGGCTGCGGGCACACCACTGTCACCTCCTCCCTCCTGCTGAGCCACGCCGAGCTGTGCCAAAGTCCAGAGCTCTGTTAGCGCTGCTCTGCCTCTGCTGAGCTCCTGTCCTCCTCCCCCCATGCACCCTTCCCAGCGCTGCACGCGCTGCTCGCCGCCCGCTCCATCCCCACCGCGTGCCATCGTGCCCGGCGCTCACAGGGACCGAAGGAGCTCTGCAAATGTCAGACATGCCTGTCACAGCAGGTCCTGTGCTGCGCATGGGAGCAGATCCAGGAAAGGATTAGAGACAAGACCCTGCAGGTTTCTTTACACACAGCAGCACTGAGGGCTCCCAGCGGCAGGACCTGCAGCTCCATTGGCCCAGCTGGTGCTCAGCACCTCGCTTCTGCTGGGCGCAGCCTGGCCGGGTGCCACGTTCCTGCACCCTGACTCAGCAGGGCCTGGCGGGGCTGTCCTGATAAGGAGCAGATAAGAGGCTTCGGTCTCCATGGTACTCAAGGACTGCCAGGGCCCTTCCCCACGCAGCTCCTGCAGAAGGGGAAGAGCAGAGGGGATGCACCCAGGGGAACATCCATCCCCTGCTCTGGCACGGGGAGAGAGACGTGGGATAAGCAGGGCTGGGCCGCTCAGGCTGAGGATGCGGCGCCCCTCAGGGAGGGAGAAGGGAGGGAGAAGGTCGTGGGCAGCTCAGCCTCCTGCCAGCCCCTTCTGGCACGGCTCCGGCTCTTTGAGATCAAAAGGCTTTGGGCAGCCACATGGCTGGGCACTGCCTGCCTGCTCCTGAACGCCCTGCAGCCGGGGCGCCGGGTCTGGAGCGGCTGGAAGAGAATGAACCTTGTGGGAGGGGAGAAACACAACACACCCCAGGACAGGGAGGTCACACAGCAGCGGCCAGCAGGTCCAGGGAGGAGTGCCTGCAAACACTCTCAGAAAGCACACGGCAGGCCAAGCAAAACTCCCGCAGAGCCGAGCAGCAGCAGGAAGTGCGCCCAGCCCCAGCCACACCAAACCCACCCCAGGAGAACCAGAGGGTGGCGATGGGGCCGAGCAGCCAGAGATGGGAACCACGGGATGCTGCTGGTCTCGCCACCAGTGATACGCAGTGATCCTCAGACCTGAAATCCAGGATCTCCGGGGCCTGGTCAGGGCAGGAGGAGTGGGCATCGCCATGGCAGGGAGCGGGGCCGGCACCCTGCCCCCAGCCCGTGATCCCAGCTGCGCCCTCCGAAACGCTGAAGCGACACAATGCAAATTCTTTGGCTTTGTGGCCGCCGCGCCGTTGCCATGGAGCGGTGGCAGAGAACAAACAGAACTTGCCCCATGTTTTCTCAGTGCCTTCCACCCCGTGCCCTTCAGCCCTCCTCACCCATCCCAGCATCTGCCTGGCGGCGCTGCACCCACTGTGCACATTTTGGGCCCATCTGCCCATGCCACCATGGTGCAGCCAACCTGAAGTCCCCAGCCTGCAACCCCAGGCCTGTGGGAACACGGGGTGCAAGTTGGGGAGCAAGGCACGGCGCTGGCAAAGCAGCCAGGCTGGCAGGAAGCTTCGTTCTGGGACAGAAATGCCCCAGCCTGGGGGATTGGATCAGCGAGACCAGGAGCTGCTCAAAGCCCCTCACGGGGCAGCACAAGACTGGCACGGAGCAGGGGACCTGTCCCCACTGGGACCAGCCCCAATGGTTTGATGGAGAGGAGACTGCAGGGTGAGGGGCCAGGAGGAGCCTGCAGGGCAGGAGGTGCTCGCTTCACTTCCCCACCAAATCTTAGGGAAAGGGATTTCCCAGCTGACTCTTTGGGACTTGTTTGCTTTGCTTAATACCCATTCGATTTCAACAGGTAATTGATGGTGTGGATAAATGGAGGCTTTGTTACAGATGTTACACACCTTTTACTCCTCAGTTATGAGGCTGAGAACGCACCGTGAGCATTCCCAGCGCCGCCCACTTTGCAAACCCCGACCTGTCCCTGTGCTCCAGGGACAAATGGGACCCGCAGAGTCACCGCAGGGCTGAGCCTTCTGGCTGCCCGCCGCGCTCTGCAGGTCAGCTCTGAGCCACACCTCGCAGTTTCACACGGCTTTCTTGCACCTTGAGCCCAGCCAGGGCGCCGAATCCAGGCTGTGACATGTTTGCCTTGCGACAAGAGGGTCACTGGGATGCCGGCAGAGTTGGCAGCAGAGCCCAAGTGCTGGCTCTGAGCAGGGCAGGATGTGGGGACAGGCACCAAAAAACACCAGAGCTGGCACACACCACAGGAAGGGGTCTCAGCACGCAGGGAGCGCAGACAAGCCACCAAACGGCCCTTAATGCCACCTCAGTCCCATCAACCACACCTGTCCAAGCCAGGAGCACAGTCAGATCCCCTCCGCACCACACACAGGGGACAGGGAAGCAGCTTAACATCAGCAGGACGGGTCAGCAGCCTCACCGCTCGCACCAAGCAGGGGGCTGGCCGGGACCCCGAGGGCCTGATAACCCCATACATGCATCCGATTCACACGGGACCCTCCCTCGGATCCCAGAGCTGAGCTCCCTCTGCTTCTCCAGTCTTCTGAACTGCACCCCCAGAGCATAAAGCTGCGATGGACCGACTGCCCGCAGCTACACAGCAAGAGCCATCTCGGTCCCCATCATCGCTCCCACTCTGCTCCCCCGGCTCCGCCACCGCCCCGTACAGCCCCCAGGGCCACGGATCCAACCGCCGACGCGTCCCCCCCCCGCTCCTACCTGCCCTCGGCTTCCCAGCCCGACCCCACGGCCAGGGGGAGCCCGCGGGGCTCCTCTTGCGGTACGCGTTGCCCATGGCTCCGATCTCAGCCTCCACCGCCTCCGGGCGGAGGATGCCGCGGCCCTACATGGCGGTGCTGAGGGGGCTGCCGGGGGGGCCCGCAGCGCAGGGCTCCCGGCCGCCCGCTCCCATCGCTGCGGGAGCCCGGCTCGCAGCCGGCTCTGCCGGAGCCAATGGCACAGGAGGAGAGGAGGGGCCTCCCGGGAGCGCCCAGCGGCCCTCCCAGCCCCGGATCGAGGTGGGTGCCGTGGGTGGGAGCGCAGGCACGGGTTTACGGCCCCGCTCTGCCCTCTGCCATTCATTCTATAGGCACGGCGGCCACGGCCGTCCCGGCTCACGAACCGGCAACGCCGAGGAGAGCCCGCACCAATTTCTGCGCGTCCTGAGCACAGCTCCGGCTCTGGGGGAGATAAGCCCGGGGTGGGGGGGTTCTGTGGGGGGGGTCCCGGGACCCGCAGCCCCAAGGGCGCGCCGCATCCCGCCCTCTCCCAGGGGCAGCAAGGCGACGGAGTTCCAAGCGTCTGCCGCCCGAAGCTGCGGCCGGAGCCCAGCCGGTGCACGAGGACATCGCCGCAGCCCCGCTCCCTCCCCGGCTGATCCCAACCCGCGGCCTCGCCACGGCTCTCCGGCCGCGCACTTCCGCGGGCAGCTGGCGGACGGGGCTGCGTGCGGGCGGCTCGAAGGGCGACTCTGCACAGACAGGCCCGAGCCGGGCGGCTGCGAAACGCGTGGGCACGGCGAGCAGCCTGCCGTGTGAAGTGCGGCTCTGCTTCTGGCTTTAATGAGAAAATGAAGCGCTCCGAGGGCAGGGAGGGGTCAGCTGGTCCGAGGGTGGGCAATTCCCACCGGCGGCGTTTATGTTCCTTTGGTGATTCAGCGAGGGCGCGGATAAATAGGAAGGATGGCTTCGTGGTGAAGGCGCAGCGCTACAACTATGGAGGCGATGTAAAAACAATTACCAGCCGGACGCCCCGTGCCGACCTCCCGAGGGGATCCACAATGAGTTCACCTCTGGACTTCAGCCTCCTTCTCTGCAGTGGAATTAACGCTGCTCGGGTTCCCACCAGCGCGTGGTGGGGCAGAGCCTGACCCCGTGGTGCTGCATCAGCGCGGCCCATCGCTGCAGCGCCCTGCTGAGGGCAGCCCTGGGACTAAACCGGGACGTGGGCACACGAGCCAGAGCCAGAGCTTCCTGCTCAGCAGCGCGGGGTGACTCCACTGCACCCCCACAACCTGGCGCTGCTGCTTCAAGGCAGGCACGCAGACCCCTGCACTGCACGCTTCCCCCCTCCGCCGTGACACAGCTTCACCAAACACTTTTTGAAGGAAAGCATTTTCACTTCTCTCCCTGCAAAAAAGAGGGGGCTGGAGCCTGCAGCACTGCCCCAGATACAGGCAGACACTTCCCTGTTGCTAGCACCCAACTCCTACTGAGCAGCCACAGTGCTCTGGGGGCTCCAGCAGGGAGCAGAGCCAAGGTCAGAGCCAGCCCTGCCAACAAGAGGGGGATGGAGGAGCAGGGAGATGGACAACGAGGTTCAGATCTCATCATTGCTGCACATCCAATCCTGGTGCGGTCCCACACTTGTTCCGCCAGGCAGACAGCCCACGTCCCGTGGGGCAGAGACTCCCCCGTGCCCCACAGGGAAGGATCAGTCCCCGCTCTGACTCCATCCCCGAGCAAACAGAGCGGGAGCCGCGCTGCCTGAATGAGAAAGGAATTCAGCCCTTGTTCCCTTAATGGGGAAGCAAAGCTCAGAGAGGCAAAGGTGACACAAAACCCCCGCTCGAGATCCCCAATCATTAACAGCAATACATAACCAGGAGGGTTTCGCGTTAGTTCCTGCTGCAGCCGGAGCCCAGGCTGTCAGCACCGCGCAGCTCCTCGCCCCGGGGCAGCGCAGCTCTCAGCGCAGGGCTCTGCTCCTCTGCTCCTTTGGCAGGTGAAGGATTTTTCGCTTCATCCCTGCTCAGCTCCTCGCCCTCCGCTGGCCTGCGTTCCCCCTGGCGCCGGAGACGAAGTCAATGATGATATTGTCTTATGAAATAAAACCTTCCTTCTAAAAGGAAACACGACCCCGGCGAAATAGTTTTATCGGCTCTTACGGAACGCTATTTGTGAGAGCAATTCCTGCAGTTGTCTCCAGGTGGAATAGCTGCGGTTGAGGACACACCTCTCTTTGTTCGGTGGCTCCGGGCCCGGCCGGCGGATTCCTGTTGTTCACATTTTCTGAAGTGTCACTCTCTGCCTTCTGCAGATTTAACGAATTCGTGACCGCGCGGATGGAGCGGGCAGCACCGCACTGCCACCTCCCCACGACTTCCTGCACTTCAGCACAGCTCAGCAGCTCGGGACCAGAACACGTTGGCACCAAATGGCGACGGCGCCGCCGCGCGACAGCGGAGATGGGGGCCGTGGGGGGCAGAGGCACCGAGCTGCTATCAGAGCAGCACACGCAGCCCCGCAGCGCTCAGCCCCGCTGTGCAGCCGCTGCGTGCGTTTAAAGCTGTGATCTTAACCCCAGCACTCAGGAAGTCTGCTGCTGCTGCATGAAGCTGGCATCAAAGGCAAGAAGCCAACGCTCACTTAGTGCTCTTAGAACATCGATTCCTTCACTTTGCTGGGGAATCGCGAGCAATGCTGTGAGGCCCATATAAAGCCAAAATCCGGGCTAACACCCCCAGCACACGGCCATGCGGGGGCCTGCTCACACCCCCCTGCTGCAGCACACAGCGCTGCTGAGAGTTAAGAGGCTGTCAGCCCCCCGTGGGTCTGCAAGCACTGCTCTCACAGGAAGAGAGAAAGCTTTCAGCTCCCTTATTCCCAACCAAAACATCTCCTGCAGACAGCGGGAAAAGCAGCTCCACGGCACTGCAGGGCAGGCTGCAGGAGCACAGGGCCCTTTGCTTCAACCCAGCATCCCGAGGGCTGACAACACCCTCAGCTCCAGAGGCACCACAATATTGGGGAAATGCACACCCTGGGCATCGAGCGGCGCTCCTCCTCTGCAGGAGGGCAGAACGACCCGTGCGAGGGCTGCAGCTCACATGCACTCCTTCAGCTCACACATTTCTCTTTCTTTTTCCATCTTCCAGCCGCCAACGCGTGTTGGAGCAGTGGAAGTGCCTGTGGCTGTCACCCAAGTGCTCACGGATGCTGCAGCCGCTCCTCCAGGCTGTGCTGGGACGGCAGCATCCAGTAGGAGGGGGTTCCGTCCTCCACAAGCGCTGCCCCTGCCTGGTGCCGTTCCTCCGCTGAGATCCACCCGTCGAGATCCATCCCAGCTCTTCCCAGCCCAGCTGAGCAGACAGAGCTGGGATTTCCCATCAGATGGACCGCAGGGCCGATCCAAAATGGAATCGCTTTCATCCTGCAGTTCCCATGGTCTCAGTGCTGAGCAATCCGGACCAGGCTGATACTGAGGCTGGGAGCAGGAACAGCCCTGACCCACAGCTGCACCTCACACCCAGCACCCACAGCCACGCAAACGGAGGGCAACAGAGCCACGGCCGCTGCAGAGCTCAGCACCACAAAGACACAGAGAGAGAAGAGCGCAGCGCCAGCAGCCAGAGCCCACAGTGACCTGCTTAAGTGCTCCTCTTCCCCATCCCACAGTTCCCAGCTCGACGTCTGGAAACACCGCCAGGTTGGGCAGAGCTCACGGCTTCACACGGCACCCGGCGCTGCCGAGCTCCGCAACCACACAGCGCAGCTCTGCGGGGCGTCACCGCACAACACGGACCAGCGTCGTCTCCCCGGCTGCTCGGGGAGCAACGCGGCGCTGCTACGCCGGGAAGGACGGCACGCAGCACCCGCCTGAGGTCAGCAGGCAGCGAGGCCGCAGCGCAGCCCCGGGTTGCGCACAGCCGGGCTGGAGGCGGTTAAGCCGGGTGGGGCCGCTGAGCGCCGGAGCCGGCAGGGTGATTCAGACCAGCACGCGCTGCCCCACATCGCACCTCCGAGCGGCTCTGCGGGAAGCGCAGCGGGGAACCCGCAGCCCATAGGGGCACAGAAACCCGCAGCGCTGCCACCCACATGGGGACACTGCACGGCCCCTCATCCTGGGTGCCGGGATGCTGAGCGTCCGGCCGGGAAGCGGGCTGGAGCCGTGACTGCTGATCAGCGGGCGAACGGTAAAACTTCGGGAAAAACTATTAGTTATAAAAAATAAAAATAAGGAAAGGGTTGACAGAGCTGGAGCGGGCGCTCCTGCAGGGAGGAATATCACATGCTTTAGCACGGCTTGCTTTTTCTGCTCAGGTTTCAGGCAGCAGCGCGCGCTCCGTGTGCTGCGCCCAGGCAGCATCTCAGGGACCCCCCGCACAGCTCGGCCCCTCGGCCCCCCCCCCCGCCTTCTCACGGCCCCTCCTTCCTTATCGCACATCTCAGTGGGCTTCTCGAAGCCGCGGTTCTGGGAACGAACCCCCCGGGGCAAACGGAGGAGGAAAATTCCAGGTGAAGGCAGCCGGGTGGCACCGCCGCGCCCTGCGGGAAGGACGGCCGTGTGACAGCCGGGATCCCTCACGGCGGGGACGGAGCCGTGCCGCCCCTCCTGTGACCGCCGCCACCGGGAGCAGCCGCGCGAGCAGAGCGTGGCACAACTCCGCACCTCCACACCTCGCACCCTGCGGGCGGCTCCGGACGGGGCGCGGATGGGACACGAGGACAGCCCAGCACGGGGCCACGGCGAGGACAGGAAGGGCCACACCTGGAGCACGGCAAACACGGGCCCAGGAGGAGGAGGAGGCTGGCGCGCCTCCAGATTTCCCTCAGCCCCAACGACCTTCTGAGTCAGCGCAGAGCCGGAGCCGAACCGGCAGCAGCCCTCGGGGCAGCGGGGAGAGCAGCGCCGGGTCCGTCCTGCCGCGACCACCGCCATCGCAGCCCCCGTTCAGCACCGAGCCCGCTTCGGCCTCTCCACCGTCGCCGACCCTCCTCCGCCGTCTCCTCGGTCCCCACGTCCCCTCCTCACACAGCCCCGCTCCGCCGCGGCCTCACATCGAGTCTTCCTCGCCCACCCCTCCGCTTCTCCTCGGCCACCTCCACGGCCGCGACCCGCAGCTCTCGTCAGCCGCCGCCACCACCGGCACAAACGGCACGACGGGCCCAGCTGTCACCCCGCCCCCCGGTCCCCGCTCCGTGCCCCCCGACCGCCGCTCCCCGCCCCGCCCCCCCTCACCCGCTCCGCGCAGATCGGGGCTCGCGGCCGCCGGGCTCCCCGCCCTCCTCTTCCTCCTCCGGCCCCGCAGCCAGCTGAAGGCCCTCCGCAGTCCGCCCGCTTTGCCGCTGCCCTTCTTCTTCCGGGGGGACACCTCGGGGGGGCCGCGCTCGGCCTCGCCGCCGTCCGCAGGTGCACGCGGGGCGGACATGACCGCGGCGGGCAGAGCCCCGCGCCGCCCGCTGCCCATAGGGCCGGGCCCGCCCCGGCTGCGGCTCCGGCTGAGGCTGCGGCTCGGCCCCGGCTCCGGGCTCCCGCCGAGCGTACGGCGCCGACGGAAAGTTTCTCCGGAGCCGGAGCCGGGGCGGAGCCTGCGGCCTCGCCGGGCTGCGGGAGGACCCGGCCCCGGCCCTCCGCTCCGCCCCTCCGCTCCGCCCGTGCGCAGGTGGGGATCGCGGCCCCGGAGCCACCTGCAGGAGGGGCTCTCCGGGTGACCTGGGCGGGCCGGCTCGGGGTCCGCCGGTCCTCCGGGCCGCGGAGGTTAGCCGGGAGAACCCGGGATGGCGCGGGCTGAAAGGGCTGCTGCGCGGAGCCGGGGGCGCGGCGGGCCTTCCGGGGAGCAGCGGCGGGTCTGGGTCTCACAGCGCGTCCGAACGCCTCCCCGAGAGCCACCGCCGGCAGACGTGAAGCTCTTGCTTTAACGGATGGATAAACTGAGAGCGACGGGGGGTCTCCTTAGGGCCATCGGTGCGTTTAAGGGTCTCCCCGGGACCATCAGGGGACCTAAGGGTCTCCCCAGCGCCCTCGGTGGATCTAATGAACAATCTCTCCGCTTGCACACGAGCACAGCCGGCAGCTCCCGCTGCTGGAGGGCGGTGGGGTGCCCCAGAGCCCCGGCTCGGTGCTGCCATCCCTGCAGGAAAGCAGGAGGTTTCTGCACGCTCATGGCACCGCTGGGCTGACGTCCCCGTGAGGATGCTCTGCTTAATGGGAAAAGCTGCAACATTGCTTTTAAAACACATCCTCTTCCCGGAGGCTCACACACCGCCTGGCTGCGTGCCCGGGGGAGTTTGCCAATGTCTGGAAATGACTGGAAGAATTTACAAAACAACGACCTGTCCCTCCTGCAGGCTTCCCAGCACGCTGCTGTCCCATGCGGGCGGTGGGACCCAGGGGTGGGTGCTGTGCAGTCCGACAGATCCCAACGTGCTCAGCGTTAACACGACGTGGCGCTGAGCCCTGCTGGCTCCTGCAGGAGCACAGGGGCTGGCGGAGCTCTCCTGTCCCTGCTTCTCATTTCCCCCCGCCACCGCTCTGACCCTTGACCCAACCCTGGTGAATGCATGAGTGTTTGGGCAGCCATTTCCCGGCACCAGCACCCAGTACTGGGACAATTCCTTCCAGCTGAGCTGCCTTTGGGTTTTTGGTGTCCCCCAACGCTCCTCTGGGGCAAAGCTAATCCCCAATCAGGGCGTTTGTGTTGACTTTCTGCAACCAGCTCCAAGTTCTGAGTCATGAGCCTCCCAAAAAGATCCTGTTTCTCACATCTCTCCTCTCCTTGGATGTCGGCAGAACCAGTTTTAAAAATATTTTTGCACACAGTTATGGAGCACTGTCCAAATAAGACAGTGAGGATCAGTCACGTTTCAGGGAGAGCTCTGAGCAGAGGGGAGCAGAGCTGGGGATGGGGCAGGTCATCTGCAGCCCCCCAGTGCCTGGTCCTGGGGAGGGGGAACGCAGGCAGGAGCACCCAGCTGGGCTGTGTATCCTCTGCTCATGTGGCAAGGACAGACAGAAGGACATCGGGCAGCTTGTTGGGCTGGAGCTCAGCTCCTGGGCAGTGAGACGGGATGGAACGGCCTGTCCCCACCAGCCACAGCGCTGTGTGCTGCAGCCCCTGGGCAGCCACCAGAGCTCGTGAGGTCAGTTCTCAGCTGTTTTGCTGCCCACATGGAGGTGGTGGGGCAGATCCGTGCCCAGAGCCAGGCACCTGCTGGCTCCACAGGTGCAGCCTCGTGACTCACTGATCCTGCAGTGCCTGTGGGCGGTGGGGAAAAGGTCCTGGCACGGCCACCGGCCTCACTGCGCCCCTGCAGTGCCGCCCCCCACCCCAATGCACTCCTGAGCCCCCACCACGGGGTTGGGAGCTGGTGCTGCTCCTTCTGGTGCTCAACCCAGGGCATGGGAAAGCCCAGCATTGGCCTTGTCTGCAGCGGTGCCCTTGTCACTGGGCCACAGAGGTGTGTGCACACACACATACATGTGCACACACACATACATGTACACACACACATACATGTGCACACACACATACATGTGCACACACACATACATGTGCACACACACATACATGTGCACACACCACAGTGGGCATTGCTGGGGCAGAGGGGACAATCCTATCCCAGCAGTGGTGCTGCCGGGCCGAGCAGCCTTGATGTGGATGTTTGAAGCCGGTATCCAGGTTGTGCCAAGAGATAACGCAGCAGCAGTGAGGTTCAGAGCTGGCAGTGTTGGGGCTGCAGCTTTGTGCCCTCACGAGGGACAGACCCACATCCCCAGCTGGGCAGGCATCCATTCTGCAGCAGCTGTGCTGGCACAGGCGCTTTCCAGGTGCCTCACCGTGGGCAGATCGGTCCTGGCACCAGATAAGCGGGAGCTGCTGGCGCCTGCAGCCCAGGGCAGGGTCTGACCCCGCTGCCATGGAGCTGCCAAGGTCCTTGCAGAGCAGCGAGGACGGCGCCTTCAGGCTGCAGCTTTCATCTCTGCCCCAGCCCCAGCTGGGTCTGTGCCCACGCTGCCCCCCTTCTCCTCCTCCTCCTCTGTCCCGCCAGTGACCTTGTGCAGACCCTGAGCATCCTTATCTGGGATTTCTGAGGTCTGAGGCAGCTGCAGCATTTCAGCAGTGGAACAGGGTCAGCCTCAGCGCCGCAATATGGCCACAGACCTCATCCCATGCTGGCTACCACTGCAGCGTCCCTCTGGTGGCAGCACCTCAGCTCTCAGCTGGGGAAACTGAGGCAGGAGCAGAGCAGAGGCCTCTGGCCGGCACCAGGACACCGCAGGGGGCACCATGTCTCACCGTGTTCCAGCAGCTGGAACGTTTCCCTGCAGATACTCTCCTGCCTTCCCTTCTCCCTGTTTGCTGGAGCAAAGTCCAGCGCAGCTCGTGCATGGATGGAGCCCTGCCTGCTCCGACACCCGAGCCGCCCGTTGCCTGGTTATGTCCACAAAACAGCCGGGCTGATCCTCTTACCGGCAACAGCTGAGCGCAGCCCCGCACCTCCTGGGCACCCCAGCAGGGTTTGCTGCACGCCTGACCCGCAGGTCCCCCCGCTTGGCAGATGCAGATGGAGATGTATATTTATCTGCACAGCTTGTGCGAATGGACGGCATTCCTCTCCCGGTGAGTCAAAAGCCTGAGTGCAAAGAGAGGCACTTTGTGGGGGGGGGAAAAAAAAAAGGTGCATTGAGCTGAAAAAAGCAACAGGGTCAAAAAAAAAGAGCAAACACCCAAATCTTCCCTTTCCTTTTAAAGCTCTGCTGCCCCGCATCGCGTGCTGGTGGGCCAGGACGCGGACACGAGCAGTTATTTTAAACCAAGCAGTGAGCAAGGTGACGGCGGCGGTGACGTGGGGACGGGGTGGCATTTGGGGATGTTGCAAGCAGTGGTGCGCGTTGCTGGGCGGTTTCAGGGCACGTAAGCTGGCGACTTCCTGAGCTGCGAGCGCTGACTTCCTGAGCGGGCACGGCCAGGGCGGAGGTAGGAGGAATTTTGCTTTAATAGAGAAATAAACTTTGCTTTAATCAATCGCTTCTGCCTTTCTCCTCCTCCAGTCCCGAGCTGGGGGATGCCAGGGCCACAACCCAGCAGCCACACTGCGCCCCTGGGCTGCTGCTGCATGGGTAGAATGTAGAGCAGGTGTAAATAGATGCTGGTAGTATTGCCCCAAAGGGGGGGTTAGGATGCTGTGGGCTGAGGGACCAGGGGTCGGCGGGCAGAGATGGAACCTCCAACCCCAGGCAGCATCACTGCTGGGTGCTGAGATGCCATCCCACCCTCAAAGGGGTGCAGACATACGGCAGCAAAGTGGGGGCTGCGCTCTGCAGGGACCGACGTGTTGGCAGCAGCCTCTGGCACACACGGAGCCCTCAGGGCGTCGGTATCCATGTCCTCCGTGTGCAGGATAAGGCCACACCAAATCACGGCCATGCGCTGTGTCCTCACCGTGCCCCTTCCATGCTCCTTCCTCGCCCCTTCCAGCCACACCCCAGCCCAGGGACTCCGGCGTCCCCATCACAGCACGTGCCCTGCCCAGCACCCGACAGGATCGGGCTGGAGGCTGCACGAAGGGGCACCATCAGCAAATCAATCCTGCATGGAAAGACCCCCGGTTGGGTGGGGGCGCTGGGGATTCTGCGGAGCTGCAGTCAGCCCCAATGTTTCACTGCCAGGGATGCAGGCATGGCCCTCCCCGCCCTCCTCCTCCTTCTCCTCCTCCTCTTCCTCCTCCTCCTCCCGGGGAGGAGGGCGGCAGTACCCGCAGCTGGCGCTGCAGCGGGTGAAGCGGCTGCCGGGGGAGTCTGATTTCCAACGCCGTGTATTAATAACCCCCACCCGCCCCATGCTAAGCCCATGTGCAGCGCAGTGCAGGGGGCACCGGGCTCCGGGAGAGCAAGGTACGAGCCGGCCCTTGGGGAGATGTGGGGGGAGAGGAGCCGGGGGGCACGGGCTCTCAGGGGGTCGTGGGTGAGGTTCAGCCCCCAGGGAGCGTCGCGGGCGCACGGATGGGGGCCGGGGGGGTGGGGGGGAGCACAACCCGTGGGCGCAGAGCGGTCGCTAAGTTTGATAAATCACTGCTGGAGGCAATGGGGGGAAGGGGGGGCACGGCAAACCCCGCACAGCCCTCTCCCCACCTTTCCCCGCACTCCTCAGCTCCGGCGGTTGAGTCCGAGGCTGCGATGTGTCAGCGCTGCAGAAAACTGCCTTATTAGGAGAGAAAGGACCGGTGAAAATCAGCGCTTTCCGTAAAGCCGCTGGGGCGAGCCGGGGGCCGCTGTGTGCCAGCCTGCACTCATTCCTTCGGGGATGACGAGACATGAGCTCAGCCCGCGGGGCCGGGAGGTGAGAGCATCCCCCCGCCCCCCACCGCAGGAAAAGCCCTCAGCAGCCCCAGGGCCGCGCGCTGCTCACTGCCCTCAAATAGCGCCTGGGGAACGTGAGACGGGAGCGCTTTGTGGCGGCAGCGCTCGGTGCCCACCCAGCAGTAACGCCCGGCTCGGATGACACGGCAAAGTGAGCGGCGCGGCGCTCTGCGGTGCTGCGCTCCGTCCCCAGGCAGCGCTGAGGCCGCTGCGCCCGGCAGCGCATTCCCATGCCGTGAGGTTATGGCACGCAGCCGGGCAGCGGGCGCGTTGTGCTGGGGATCTCACCGGGCGTGCGGGGCGAGCTGCAGTGACCCGTGCGGCAGTACAGGGAGATGGGGAACTGCCGCCGGGTTTCAGCACTTGCTCTCTTTCTGTCACTGTCACTTCAGAATGGCTTTGCTCCTTCATTCTGGCCCGTGCTGATGCCAAAAGCTTGGGTCCAAGTTGTCCTCGGGGCAGGCAGGGAGGGATGGGTCCTGTCCCACCGCCCGCTGATGTGTCCCTTCTCCTTCGCAGGGACCTGATGGCAGAGCCGGAACCGCCTCCAGAACCGCTGCCAGATGAAGCAGGAGAAGCCCCAGCCCCACACCGCAGGGCTCCGTGCACCCCAACAGACCCAGCGCCGGGCCTGGGGGCTGCTCCTGCTCTGGGGGCCTACGGGGAGCTGCAGGAAGGTGCTGGAGACACGGCCTTGAACCTCACCATGCTGGGGGCACTGCTGGGCGAGGAGATGGCTGGGACAGGGGCACCGCTGGGGGTGGATGGAGCAGAAATCCCACTGGATGCAGAAACAGATGAACAGATCCTTCTGGACGTGGATGCTGGTGGGACAGGGATCCCACTGGATATGGATGGGGCAGGAATCCCATTGGATGCAGAAGATGAAGCAGGGATCCCTCAGAATGTGGATGCCGGCGGAACAGGGGCGCTTCTGGATGCCGACGGAGCAGGACTCCCCCTGGATGTGGAAGCAGAAGGACTGGGGATCCTGCTGGATATGGATGCCGCCGTGGCAGGACTCCTGCTGGACATGGATGGGGCAGGAATCCCACTGCACGTGGATGGGGCTGAGATCCCGTCGGCCATGGACACCGACGGGGCAGGAATCCCGCCAGGCACAGCGGAGATCGGGGTCCCGCAGGACACAGACGCGGAGGGGGCGGGCACCCCACAGGCTGCAGAGGGCACAGAGCGGCCGTGCCTCAGCCTGGAGGAGCTGGGCGAGTATTTCCAGGAGTGCATCGAGGCGGTGGAGCAGCTGGAGAAGGAGCGCGACGCTCTGATCGAGGAGCTGACGCAGCTGCGCGAGCCGGCGCTGCAGGACATCCGCCATGCCCACCAGGAGATCCAGGCCGCCTGCCGGCTGCTGGCCAAGGTGGAGCTGGAGCGGGACAACCTGAGGGACGAGATCCGTCAGATCAAGCAGAAGCTCTTCAAGGTGACCAAGGAGTGCGTGGCCTGCCAGTACCAGCTGGAGAGCCGCCGCCACGACCTCTCGCAGCACGCGGCGTATCGGGACGAGCTGGAGAACCAGGCCGGGCGGCTGTCGGGAGAGCTGAGCCGCCTGCGGGAGAGCTGCGAGAAGGAGAAGGAGGCCCTGCGGCAGCGCCTGGAGGCCCCGCCGTGCCGCCAGGACCCGCAGTACCTGCAGGAGAGCCGGCGGCTGTCGGCCGAGTTCGAGAGCTTGGTGACGCGGAGCCGCCGCGGCCTGGAGGAGCACTATGAACCGCAGCTGCTGCGGCTGCTGGAGAGGCGCGAGGCGGGGACGCGGGCGCTGCAGGAGCTGCAGGGAGAGGTGCAGGGCATGAAGGAAGCCCTGCGGCCCCTGCAGGGGGAGGTGAGCCGGCTGCGGCTGCAGAACCGGAGTCTGGAGGAGCAGATCGTGCTCGTCAAGCAGAAGCGCGATGAGGAGGTCGGGCAGTACAGGGTACGTGCGTGGGGCAGGGGTGGGTTACCTACCTGCAGGTGCTGCCAGCACAGGCGGTGGGTCTGGTCTGCAGGGCTCAGGGGGAGCAGGGAGACTGGGGAGGTGACAAAGCTCTGCGGGTTCCGTCGAAGGCACTTTTCTCCCTGAGGATTCACTCCTGCCTGTGGAGGAGCCCCAGAGGCTGAAGCTCAGTGACTCAGCAGCGCTGTGCCCTGCTGGGATGCTGTGTGCAGCCCACTGTGCAGAACGAGCTTTGGGAAGGGCTCCACACCTCAGCAGGTGCTGCCTCCAGCCAGCAGCACGCAGAGGCACCGAGGAACCCCAGGGACAGAGAGGAGGCGCAGTGCTGCATCGGCCCCACAGCTCCACATCAGATGAAGCAGAGCTTAGGTGCTGGAAACAGAGCGGTGAGGCCAAGCCAGGCCTCCCAAAACATCTCGTGTAGGGAGAAAGTACAATTCAATATCCACAAGAGCCCTTTTGGCAGGGCAGCCCCGCCATCCATCTCCAGCATTCCCAGCCATCGTCACCACTGCCCACAGCCAACACCATCCCTGCAGGCACCGCTGTGCTGCAGCACTGCGATTGGGATCCTCTCTGGCTGCCATGGTGCTGCTCAGGGGGCTCAGGGCCCCACCTCACTCTGACCCATGGAGCCCCCACTGTGCCTCCCTGCTGCTTTTTCCCCACTCCCTTGTTTATCTACTTCAGCATTTTAGATTATACAGCGCTGACAGCCTTTCAAACGCACACCCAGCAGTGTGAGGGACAAACCCTGCCAGTGGGGAAGGCAAAGCACAGCTGCACGCCAGCCCTGGCTGCCGCCTTGGTAGGGCAGAGGTTTTTCTGCAGGGGTTTCTCCACTGCCACGGAGCAAAGCTTCCCACATAACCGGGTTCTGTCTTCACCCCAGGAGCAGGTGGAGGAGCTGGAGGACAGGCTGAAGGAGCTGAAGAACAGCGTCCAGCTCCAGCAGCGCAAGAACCAGGAGCTGGAGGAGCTGCGGAGCAGCCTGCACCACGAGCTGTCCATCTACAAGTCAGTGTCTGCTCCACGCACGCCTCCCGTCCAGGCTGCAGTGGAAGTGCTGTGGAAACTGCAGAGCCTTTGCCATGCAGCTGTGTCATGGAAAGTTCTGCACAGAGTAGAAACAGGGGCTGCCTTCCAAGGGACAGGCACGGCAACTTGACAAAATATACACTAATTCCTTAGGAACAGTGGGAGGGAGTTGGGTTCTCAGTTTGAGCAGCTCTGCTGCAGATGGTCTTTATCAGAGGGAACAACTTTCTTGCTTCTGAATCTGCTGCTGCTTTCACTCAGGGCTTCTCTACCACATTTTAAAGCTCCACAACACATCTGCAACACCTTCCCCCTGTAACTGCACTGAGGGAGGGCATTCCCCACCCCGGCAGATGCAGCTCTTCTCTCCACGAGCACCGCAGCCCAGGGAAGAGCCAACCTTCCCACGTTGGTGCCGTGTTTCACTGTTGCAAAGTTTATTAATGAGAGTAACTGCAGCATCTCTGCTGCGCGGGGTCCCCGTGAAGCACGGGGTGCAGAGGCTGACATGGAGCCCCAGCCGCGGCTGCAGCCTCTTAACACTGAGCTCCAAAGAGCCGCTGCTGGAAGCAACAGCGCTTCAGACCTCTTATGTGTCAGCTCTCCTCCTCGAGTTTCACTTTTGAACTGGGAGTTGGAGTGCAGCAGCCTCAGAGCTGCCTCCTCCTGTGTCTTGCAGCAGAAATCACAGCTGCCTCCTCCCATGGCTCGCAGCAGCAATCACGTTCCCTGCTGTCAGAGCTGCTGCCCGTGCCGAGGCCTGGCCGCAGTCCGTGTGCTCGGTGCCAGGCACTGAGCCACTTTTGCACTGCCTGATTGCTTTTCCTTCACACTGGGAAAAGGAGGATTTTTTTCATTAGGTTGTGTTCCATAAGTTCCATATTTAGTATCCTAAATTCTCTTTCTACCCACACAGGGGCTGCTTAGAAATCTACGGCCACCTTTGTAAATCTGAAGAAAAACCAGACCAGGAATGTTAGAGGTGAGATCTCCTCCTCGCCAGGGGCGGTGCTGGAACCTGCAGGTCGGCTCCTCGCTGCTCCTCTCGCTGCCCAAAGTCAGCAGCACCACTCTGCTCTGGATCTTCTACTGAACTGCTTTTCCACACGAGAGCAGAGAAAGCGGTACTTGCACTGAACGACGGACACGGCTGAAGAATCACACGTGTATGTTTTGCTGTGTTTGGAAAATGTACCTCGTCCTGTTCCATAGATAGAGCATATAGACCTGCACAGAAAGGAGCTGAACGCTGAGCTTTACGTACAGGTTTCCTTGTGTGCCCAGTGGTGGCTGCTGTACCGCGATCCGCTCTGCCGACGGCCACAGAAACTGAAGTCTGTGGATAAAAGGTTTCCACTTTATAGTCTCACACTGAAAATAAAGGTCAGTTTAAGGGTCTTCTTATTTCTCAAAGCTGTGTGTCAAAGAAAAATAAGCTTGTGTGTCAAACTGAGGGGCCTGAAAGGCACCCAAATATTCACGCTTTACAATATAGGGAGAAAAACCCCCAAATCACCGCCCACGTTGTTCTGTGCAAGGGCTGAAGGCAGACCCGAAATGGAGGCAGCGGCGCCCTGCGGGAGGAAGGCAGGCTCCACTGCAACCCTGACTGCTCTGAGCTACTCAGCACTCACTTCACAGAGCAAGCAGCAGAAACAAGAGGAGGCAGCCCTGAAGTACATTGCAGCACCCACACGGCACCCAGGGGCTCCTCCTCCTCCTCCCTTTCTCTCTTTCTCCAGGGACACGGTTTACCCTCATGAACAGTCAATGCAGGAGGAAAACATCCGCACAAAATCACGGCCATGCAGCACATATGTAGAAAAAATTTATTCCGCCTGAAGCACTTACACACAGGTAGTGATGAGGAACACGAGGAGCTGGTGGGAGATGGGCAGCAGGTAGCGGTCAAGGACTGACTCCCACAAAGGCAGTTTGCCCACGTCTCATTTGCTTTATTTGCACCAGCCACCACTGCTGTGCCACCTGTGGTGCATCGCTGGTTGAAACAGAACCTTCACAACTTTGTGGCCCCGAAGTTTGAAAAGCCATTTCACAGAAAGGAAAGAAATTTATGTGAAAACACAGCTCAAGAAACACACAACAGAACAAGACGCACGGAAGGTGAGTGCTGCTCTGCAGGAACAGCTCACGTATCCAAATCACTGCCACCCAGGGGATGGAAGGAAAGGGGAAGGACAGAAAGAACTGAAAAACCCAGAATTACCAGCAACGACAAAAGAAAGCATGGGAAGAAATACAATTTCAGAACCTGCAAGTCTCTCTACGTATCTGAGAGGCAGACAAAGCCACGCAGGTACAGATTAACTACAAGAATCCCAACGCTTCTGAGCTGTACTGAAGGGAGCAGACGCTCCCCGCTCATTCTGAACTACCAGTGGATTAACACTTGCACCACCTCTGCTGGCTCCAGTTCCCTCTGGCAGCTCTGATTTCATTTCTGTTTAAATTAGGCAAAAGCCCGCAGCTGCAGCAAGCTAAAGACAGAAAACAGCAACAGAAGGTTTGCTGTGCACAGGAAGGCAGCTACAACGGCTCCGTGCACAAGAGGCTGCTGTGGGAAACCTGAGGAGCTGCAGCACAGCACCAGCTGGGTTGGACTAAAAGCCCTTCCTTAGGGGAGTTCTGCCCGGGGTAAAAAGCACCGCTGATGGTTTCTACAGAAAGACGGCTGAACACAAAGTCTACGTGTGTCTCAAAACCAGTGTTAAGTCAATGTCAGGGCTGAGAGGGAAGAGAAGGAAAAGGACTAGAAACAGGAAGGACCACCATCTAAGATCCTTGACCTTCTGGATCCACGCTTCCTTCTGGGTCTTCATCATTATATATGTTCTCTGCCTGCAAGTCAAAGCAAAGGAGCTGTAGAAGCATTTCCCATCGCATTTAACAGGTGCCACAGCACTTCTACAAGTCCTGGCAGATTTCCACCTGCAGATGTGTGGCACCAATCCCCCGAGGCTTTTCATTACAGAGCTGCGACACAGACTGCCTTGCTTTCAACAGTGCTGCACATTTCAGAAGGCCTCTGTTACTGCAGCTTATGGGCATCTGACTTCCTAAAGCAGAGACCAGAGCCTGTGACAGTGAAGAGCACCGTGCACACGTTTCACAGCCCCTTCATTTGCAGCACCGCTTCCTTAAGAACCACACAGACACGTTGCCAAGACAAAGCCTCTGTGACCAGTCTATAAATAAACCAGAATTAGAAGCACGGCCTTTTCAAAGCTTATTTGAGCCGTAAGAGATGATTCTGCAGAACTTTCAGCAGCTGGGAATTAAAGCAGCACTTCTCCCCTATTCAGCACCACGCTGCCCCTCTGCAGCCACGGGGGACGTCTGTATCACACAGAGAACTCTCCCAGTATGACAGTGACCAACAGAAACCTCAACTTCATGCTTGCATTTGTTGTGGCTGCTGGTGGTGGTGGTTGGCTGGAGTTTTGCTGTTTGTTTTTGAGCTGATTTTTGTTTGGTTGGGTGGCTTTTTGTCAATTTTTTGAACTTAGTTTTCATTCAAACACAGATGGGAAAATGTCACTTCTCCATACACCAGTACTTAACTTCCCTTTTTACTACTAAATTACAGTATATAAATATATGTGAGAAATACAAAACAGCTTCTCAGGATTTGTAAGCCCTTGTTTCTACCGAATCTCAAACCTTTTTCACTGCCCATTTGAGATTTAGGCAGTGCTACAAAGCAAATCCTTCTGGGGCCTGTAAACAGAACCCGGAATGCTGACCTTCAGGCAGTTCAGCACTGGCTCTTATCTGCCACCTCCTGCACTCTCCCAAACAACTTACCATCTGCCACACTTGCATGATGTTGTCTTCTGATACAGAACAGATCACCCAGGGCTCGTTGGGATTCCAGGAGAAGTCGGAGATCTTTGCAGTGTGACCACCATGAATGAACTAGGAGTGAAGGGGAAAAAAAGGGTGGGGGGGAAACATCTCCAAACATTTCCAATCTCTGCTGCAGGGACCCAGCGATCGGTGAGGCTCAGAATCCTTACCAGCAGTTCTGGGGGACCATCCTCAGCATCCTCGGGGGATTGCTCTTCTCCGATTTTACTTCAAAAAGAAAATGGGGTTTTGTTGTTGCTGCTTGTGATGCAGCTCATCAGAATTCCATCAGCACAACCCGCCTCGTTCGGGATTTACCTCAAGTCCCAGACGTTCAGCCGGCGGTCGGTGCCACTGGAGGCCAATATGGTTTCATTGTGGGGCGACCACTGAACCTACAGACAAGAATGAATTCAGAAATGAAGTCAGTTGGAAGAACCTGAGACACGGCAGGCTTCTGCTGCACCTTACAGCACGAGAGCCTTAGGAAAACTCAAATCATTATTACCTCCCCATAATGACATCCTAAGGTAGCAAGCAGTTCTGCTGAGCCTGTGTGCTAACAAAGAATCTGAGCACCAAACAGGCCTCACGTGCAACTTCTTCTCTAGCAGAGAGCACGTGTTGCAAGTGTAAACAACCCTGCAGACCATCAGCTGCTCTCCCAGGAGAACTGCACCAATGTAAACTCTGGGTGCCTGAGATGGGAGCTGTGGTTACACACGAAAAGAAATCGCTGTAATTGAAGCCTAACTGCCCCAAAGCTCTCATTTACCACGGCTGCAGGAGATAAACCTCTCCAAAACACTCCACTTAATAGGATCACAGGATTAGAAAATAAGACAATTCTTCACACTGGCCTGACGTTTCACGGTTCTGAGCATAACTGTATTTAGAGGTAACTGGTCTTTAAAAGCAATCCTTAGACAAAAAAAACCCTTCCACATACTTTTGTTCTGACTACTGCATGAGCTGGGGATGGAAATATTGTATCTGCGAAGCACATGCCACCAGTGATGTTAACTTTCTATATTTACACCAGCAAAATTAGCAATTCTTTTTTGCCACAGGATGGTCCAGCAATCTCCTTTCATGGCTGCCACCTCAAGTCTTGCCTCAGGACCAAGCTGAGAAGATGAAAATGCTGCAGCCATTTCACTGCGCCTTGCTGCTTCAAATCTGCTGCCATGAATAATTTACACGCTCTGTGTACTGCTAGTATTTCACTCCCAGCATTGTGGGTCAAGCTCTCAGCCATTTCCTCGTTACTTTCTGCCCCCAGCTTTCTGGACACTCTTATCTGCCCTGGAATTCCCCCCCACACAGAAAGCTCCACAACAACAAACCAGGAAATTATAAGCAGGTGAGAGGGAGGAATGAGGTTTTGAAGCACAAGTCCACTTCATGAAAACACACTGAAACAGCCTGCCTTCCATTCTGCCTGCTAGCTAAGCACAACTAAGCTCAGGTGCAGGGAAGACACAGAGGTTTTGTTATACCTGAAATATTTCATCTTTATGCGATTCAAAGGAGTGCAACTTCAGCTTCAGGTTCCTCAAGTCCCACAGCGCAACAGTCTGTCAAGGAAAGGAAACATTTTGTCCTGAGGTAACAACACCACACATCCACTCCCACACGTCAGAAACCAAACCAACCCCTTGCGGAGGCAATGGAAGCACAGACCTTATCAGCTGATCCCGTAGCCAGGATGAACTCGCTGTAGGGATTGAAAGAGAGGCAGTTGACTTCAGCTGTGTGAGCATCCACGGAATGGCTGGGTTTGGAGGTGTTGTTCGACCGCGTGTCCCAGCTGGAAGGAGAAGGAATGGAATACAGACCTCAAAGGCTCACAGCCCTCACGGGAGAGCAGGGAGCAGCTGGGAAGGCAAAATGGACCGAGATGTTCAGCCTCTACAGAAAGCAGCCCGCTTACATCATGAGCTTCTGATCATCAGCAACGGATCCAAAAAGAGATTCGTGGAGCAGGTGCCAGGAGACATCTTCCACTACAGCCGTGTGCCCCGTGAAGATGGTCTTTGCATCCACCACTTTACCTTCTTTTGGAACAGCACTTATATCCCACAAGCAAATGGTCTTAAAAAAAAGAGGGAAAAATAAATAAAATAAAGATTTTATCTTTAGACAAAAATTCTCTGCGCTCCGTCACCTCCATCCCCTCCAACAGAAGAACAGTTCTGACCTTTGTCAAGGGATACAAAGTGCAGGTTGCACCCCAGCTGTACTTAAAAGCACTCACATGATCATCAGAAGCACTGAGCAAATGCCCGCTCAGGTTTGGGTTCCACGACAGCCCATAGCCTTCCTTCTGGTGCCCACGCAGACGCAGATCCGGGTTGCACTCTCCAGATGGGTCTGTAAAAAAGCAGCATAAGAGCTCCAGTGCCTGGAATCACGTCAGCACATCATGGATCAAAGTTACACCATACGCAACCCACAGAAGTTTTCAACCTCTTTTGACCCCATCAACCTTCCCTTCAGAAAAGGCTGCTTGCACACTTTTGTAGCCCTGAAGCACAAAGGTGACAAAGCTGCAGGCACCTGGCTTAGAAGGATGTTTGGTGTAATCGAAGACGAGGACGTCACTGGATGGAGTCTTTGTGGCAATGATGCAGGGGTTCTGTGGCATGTAACGTGCTCTGTTCACTTCTCCCTCATGATTTATCTTGATTTCAATCTCAATTTTTCCGCTAACAGACCCAAAGCCTCCAAACTCTGGGGAAAAAAAAATATTTAATGACTGTAAACAATTAACCATGTTCATATCAGGACACGAAGACTCAGAGTCAGTTGTTGGTAACATCAGGCATTTATTTGGGGGAGGAACAGTCACAAGAGCATGCAGACTGGATTCTTTTAGTTAGTAGTGGCACGTTGGTTTAAATCTATGTACCTTCAACATGAAATAGTAGAAAAAGTATTTATCAAACAATGTCACATTTACAAATAACTCCAAGAAGCCCAAAATCAAAATATGAACTGCGTAATCCAGGCTTCTGACAAGAAGAAAAGCTAAGATTAGATTGTTAAGAACTTTTACCACGTAGAAAGATTGATTCAACCATCACAAAATGGAGGAAAAACAGTTAAAGCCCCACCTGATTGACATCTTTGTTCCCTTACCTCCTTTCTCACTGTCGTAGTGTGAGGCATCAAACTGTGCATCATCATTAGGCAGCTGCACACTTGCTATCACGAGATGGTTTTGTTCATCTGAAGTGTGAGTCCCCAGGACCAACCGGTGAATGCTGAAATCTTTGCCCTCAGGCCTGCAAGAGGAGAAATTTAGGTGAGAAACACAGGAGTTCACACAAACATAGAGCTGAACACGGCATCCTTTGATGACAGCTCCCAACAGCAGTAACATCCTTAGCAGTTAGCACTGCTCTCCTGCTCTGACACGGGATTTTCTTCCTCCAGAGTAATCACTCCTCCCAACTCAAGATCTTAAATTAAACTTCCTGCAGCACAACAGCACCTACCTCCAAATAACTCCACCAGTTCCCTTGCCTTCCTTTAAGAGACTTTAACAGCCTCCCCAATACGTGGTTTGAGATGCATGAACGTTCTTTGGAAGCAGAATGTTGTTGTGGAAGCTTAGGATGAGAGTGCTTAAACTGAAATTATATTTAGTTCCCCTTCAGTGGGGAGGGGGGCTTTGCATTTCAAATTGGAGAATGAAGCTGGAAGAAGAAAAGCATCAAAATCAAAGCAACAGCAACGAGAAGATTCAGCATGCACCCTCACCTCGTCACATCAGGAAGCCACTGAGCAGTCAGGCTGGGCCACTCCAGAGCGTGGGTCATTACCAAGTCGTACAAGAAGGGTGTGTTCTTTTTCCATATTTTGTACTCCTCGTTGATCACACGTTCTTCGACCGCGTCATCGAAGGCTGCTGAAGTTATTCAAAAGAAATGCGGGATGTCAGCCTTCACCACACGCTCACAAGGCGCACGGTGCTGAGCGGGCACTCAACGACGGGAGCCGCTTATCCTCAAACGGCACGGCGGCGACACGCACCGCACGCGCTGCCCCTCGCTTCTCAATTAGCGGCAACCGCACTCGGCGTCAGCGGAGCAGCCCGGGGGCGGCCGTGACCCGTAAACCCACGGCCGGGGCCGACTCCCCCCGTTGTCCCCCACCTCCGCCCCCCGCAGCTCACAGCGCTTCGCCCTTGGCCCGGCCCCGCGGCCCCCACGGGACGCCCGGCGACCCCCGCCCCCCGCACAGCGCCCCCTGCCGGAGCTCCCCCGCCAGCACTCCTCACGGCGCCGGCCGATGGAGGCGGGGGAGGGGGGGCGGGGAGTGAGGCCTAACGCCTCGCGGAGCGCTGAGAGAAGAAGGCCGCGCCGCCGAGGCCGCGCCGCGAGGCCTACCTTCCTTGTCCGCCATGGCGGGGAGGGGGAACGGGGCGGTGGAATGGGGCTGGGCTGCGCGAGGCGGGCGGCCGCTGCTCCGCTCCTCTTCGGCCACGGCTCTATTGTTTCCTGCCCCCGCTGCGTGCGGCTCCGGCGCCGCGCACCCCTTCGCGCGCCAACGCTGGCCAATCGCCGCCCGCCGCCGGGACGCTTCCGCCAATCGGAGAGCGGCGAGGGGCGGGGACAAGGGGCAGGAGAGCGCGCTCGGCGGTCACGTGTGAGGGAGATCGGGAAGGAGGGAGGCGGGGAGGCGCGGCCGAAGCTCCCCTGGGAGCCGCCATTTTCCGGAGGGAAGGGGCGGGCGGCGCGCGCCCCTCGCGTGGTCCTTAAAGGGACAGCGCCCCGGTGAGTGGGGGCCGCGGCGGGGGGGGGAGAAGAAGGCCCGGGGTCTGGCACTGCGAGCGGGCCGCGCTGGGTTGCGGTGGGGGCTGCCGGCCCGGAACTCCCCCCGAGCATCGTCCTGCTGCTTCCCGGTTATTGGTTGCTGACGGGCCGCTGCGCCCTCCCTCGAGCCCTGGTTTGTAGCTCGTTTCGCGTTCAGTCGCGTGTTCCTTCGGCCTTATTCCCTCCGAGAAGCGCTTCCCCACCGTGCAGCCTGCAGATCCCAGTTTTTATTTGGAAATAGAACCTGGAAATCCCGTGTAGAATTGTTGCGTGGCGGGCAGCGGGAGCCTCTCTTGCTGGAAAAAATCATGGCGAATTCGCGTGGGATCTTCGGAAATAATTGGCCTGAAGTTATTCAGAGACTCCAGCCTGTGTCTGTTATTTACAAATGAAAGTCGGCGTGGAACTGAGCAGCCGCGGAGGTCTGGTGGGAGAATCGAGCTTCTAAAAGGTGGCTTGAAACAGCATCTTCTCCACCGTTCAGAGTAAAAAAATAAAGAATTCTGTAGGCAAATGAGTGCAGGCCAGCCTCTGTGCCGTTCCGTAGCGATAGGATCGCAGCTTGAAGTGCAGCCCCCATCCCAAGAGGAACCACGGGCTCCTCTTTTCTCTGCTGGGCTCCGGGCTGCCCCTGGGGATCGCAGTGCTGTGATGCACTCAGGAGCCGAAGTGACCCGGCTAACACTGTAGAGCTGTGAGAATCATGTTCTCGTTATTACAGCATTTTATTGCTGTTCGAATAGAAGAACGGGATGCGCGGTGCTGAGCGTCGCTGCTGTGGGCCGGCAGGGTGAATGGTGCAGAACTGAACTCGGCGTTTCTAATCTTGTTTTAACGGACCAGCTTGCGTGCAGCCGCTCCCCACCGGCTGCTGCTGAGCTCCCCGGCTGGAAGCAGCTCCCCGTTCAGCCCAGCAGCGCTGCGGGAGGCGCGAGGCGGCGGCCATGTTCGTGTGAGCAGGAAGTGAGCAGAGCCATGGCAGGCGGCGAGCGGGACTACGGCCTGACGGAGGAGCAGAAGGCTGTCAAGGCCAAGTACCCACCGGTCACCAAGAAGTACGAATGTGAGTGATGCAGCAGCACTGTGTGTGTGTGTGTGTGTGTGTGTGTGTGTGTGCGCGCTCCAGGGCAGGAGGGGAGCAAGGAAATGGGATGAGCTTTTTAGGTGCTTGTGGGGTTTTGCACTGGGCCAGTGCTGTGCATTTAGGCTGTGGGATGCATCTGGGGCTGAGTAATAGAGAGGACATCACTGCAATTGCTGCCATTGCGGACAGTTGCAGTAAAGCTTCCTTTCCCCCCTCAGAGTCTCCTAAGAAGTGGCTGTCAGCATAAGGGCTGGCCTGGGTCACGGCAGCCCGTGTGTCTGCTTGGAGGGACGGTGCAGGAACACCGTGACACATCACAACGGTTAACTTTGTTTCCATAATTGGAAAAGGTTTTCTTTTATATTCACTGGAATTTGTTTGCTTTAGTGACAGTTGTTGAGGAGCAGTGAATGTGTGTGAGCGCCCTGAGCAGCCTCAGAATGAGCCTCAGTTGCAATGGTTGCAGGGGGTTTTATGTTGATGTCCCAACATGGCTGTTTGCACCAATCTGGCCTTATTTTGCATTCCTGTGGTTCCTTTAACGGAATGTAAGTGACGTTTGTGTAAAACCTGATATGTGCTTGGGATGTTAAGCCTGCCTCATCAGTGCAGATTACTTTATATTTTGTATTACGTACGTTTTAAAGTTCCCCTTGTGGCACTGTGGGTTGGGCAGGCAGCTGTAAAGGTTTGCAGATCTTCAGTCCTGCAGACGTCAGCAAAAACTATTCGTGGTGAAAGGCTTTTATTGCAGTTAACTTGTAGCAGCCTGTTGCACTGCAGTGAGCACACAGTGCTGCACATGGAGAGTGCTGACAGAATCTGTGGTAAACGCACTTCTGATGAGCAGAAATAATCCCAAATTTCACCTGTGCTGTTTCTCTATACTGGAAAATAGACACTCAGTTTTATGTCTCAAGATGAACACAGAAAGTTACTGTTGTAACATCAGTGTCCAGAATTTTTTAATCTTTTAAAGTTACATTTGTTGATGTCATGCCTTTTTTTTTTTCATTCCTCAGATTTGGATCACACAGCAGATGTGCAGTAAGTGTGGGCAGCCGTCCCTTGTTTCCACTCCTGGGGGTGCACAGTTTATTTCTAATGCAGTATTCCTGTGTGCTGCTGTTTAAGCCTCTGTTGTTTGGGAGCATCTTTTGAAATCTTTTAAACTCCTGCCCTTACATCACCTTTCGTCTCGGCAGTTCATGGATATCCATTTACTGCATTACAAAGGACTTTCCTGTCATCTGGTAAAATAGAATTTTCCTTTTTCTCCTAAGAAATTCTTCTCATATACCATAAGAAGAAAAACCTGTAATCTCCCCATAACAAAAGTTCAGACAAGCCTTTCTAGTAGTGACCTCCTTTGCATTTGTTCTCGCCTTCATGTTTCTCACCTGCATAGCACAGTGGGATTTTGTGGTTACAGTGCAGTGAATTACCCTGTGTCCCTGTAGGCTGCACGCATGGGGAGACACTTTGGAAGAAGCATTTGAGCAGTGCGTCATGGCCATGTTTGGCTACATGACTGATACAGAGACTGTGGAACCTCTGGATACTGTTGAAGTAGAAGCAGAAGGTAAAAACCGCACTGGCTTACATTGGAACTGTAGGAGCCCTGCTGGTGGAGTGCACCGAAATCCTCTGCGTCTTTAGATGTAGTTTTGTTGTAGCTAAGGATAATTCAGTTAATTCATCTGAATCTTGTAGTAATGCAGGAGCTGTACGGCTGCTGTGCTCATAAGTGTGTTGAACATTTGGGTCTTGTTGCTGGGACAATCAGCTGACTGCCTTCTCTGCTTCAACCATGCAGGACATGATATGTTGTCCCTTCTCTTCCACTTCTTGGATGAGTGGCTGTATAAATTCAGTGCTAATGAGTTCTTTATACCCAGGGTAAGTGCCGTGTTTTGTTCTATTTCCATTTTGTAGGGCAAAGCTGTTCTCTGATAAGCCACTTTTGAATGCAGTGTCCTTTTAGGCAGAAAGAGGGACTCAGCAGATCACTTTGAAGCAGGAGAATAAGACACAAAAGCACAAAGAGCTGAGAAGCAAACACTTAGCTTTGTTTCATAGATGCCAGTCATTAGGCGTAGTCATTAGCAGTGCTGTATGTATTTGAGAATACTCCAGTTTTCTGGGTTTAGATTTCATTTAAGCTGGAATATTCTTGTTAATGAGATTGAGTGCCTGAGGGTAGAGGTTGGTGACACACTTTTCCACTTGTTTTCTCTGCAGGAGGTGAAAGTGCTTTACATTGACCGAATGCAATTCAAAATAAGATCAATTGGGTGAGTTCATATGATCAGTTGAGTAATTAATGTCTTCCACTGATGACAAATACTGCCCTCCAGTTCACCACTGTGAACTATCGCGATGTGCTGGAGGTCACAGATAATTTCTAAAAAGGAGCTCTTATCCTTCCTTTGAGGTTTTAATTTAAGTCTAACTGTCCAATGCTCATCAGTGAAACTAACTGTAGTGTTTGATTAAATGCTAACAGTGCAACCTGCTCTTTTCTTTTTGCCTTTAAAGGTGGGGAGAAGAGTTCTCTTTACCAAAACACCCCCAGGTACGCAGCAGTTCATCTATATATTGCTTATGTTTTCGGGTAGGACAGGAAGAATGGATTCTTCTAAATCAAACCTCTTAAGTACTCAAGAGATCCAAGTATAAACATATCTGAATGGTATCACAGGCTCTACTAACTTAAGATCTCACTTCCTGCAGTTTTTTGTGAATGCATTTCTGAACTGTTGAGCTGATGCTTTCTCCACGATGGCAAACTCAGCAGTTGGCTTCCTTTTCTGTGATGCATGATAAGAAAGAGCCAGTCCATAGCCAGAATCGTTACGTGGGTTTGGTTCTCATACTGCTTCCACAGCTTCTCGCTTAGTCCCTTTCTGCTTTCCCCCTCCACTCCCAGAAGAATTACATGCAAGTCTTTACGTCTTAGCATGCCGCTGAGGTATGTCAAATTCAAATATCAAATGTTGATGGTATGTCACAGGTAAGAGGAAGAATTTGTAGTATTCAGGAAGCAATAAAGTAAAGGGAGAGGGGAGCGGAGGGGAATTCTGTAATTCCTATTTAGCTTGGCCAAACAGAACATTTGGAACAAGCATGCTTAAAACTTCTGGGGGAGAAAAATTGCCTAACGTTTGTAGAAAGTGGTAAATATTATGTATCAGTGTGAAGTGCTGCAAGGTGTCATGTGAAACATTGATGCCTTTGTGTCTTTTCACTCTAGGGCACAGAGGTCAAAGCCATAACTTACTCAGCAATGCAGATCTGTGAAGAAGAAAAGCCAGAAGTCTTTGTCATCATTGATATTTAAAGCAAGTTTAACGAAGTGGGTGCTTGTCAGTGGCTGGCAAAACCCCTTCAGAACTGTAACCTCTGGGAAGCAACCAAGGAATTAGCTAGTTCAAATGAGAAGCAGGAGAGAGTTGTGGGGAATGTCATCCTGTGCTGTGGTGGGAAGATGGTGAGCCGGACCAGTGCCAGCCTGCCAGGACAGAAGTAATTGGGTCTGGGGGGATTTGAGATGAGGGCTGTAGGGGATGGAATTCCCTCAGGAACGCGGGTGGTTGGCTTCTAAGGCAGTGTATGAAGTAAATAAAGAAATCAGTGGAGCTGCTACAGCACTGCCTTTTTGTTGGGCGGCAGGAAAGTGTTGATCTATGTGATTGCATGGGAAAATTTAACTGTAACAGTTGTGAGCTGATGTCCCTCTTCATGTAATCTAAACTACATGCGGAGAGTCAACCTTCATGTAGGACAGCTTCTGTTCGAAGGCCCCCCGAGGAAAAACACAAATTATTTAAAAAAACAAAACAAAACATTCTTCTGAGAACTTTGTCAGACCACCAGGTGGTGCTGGTTTACCACAAATACATTTCCATGCACCCTGAACGCAGGTGACCGCGCATAGAATCCTTGCAGCTCCTTACAGCTGGGAAAAGTGGAGACCGCTTTTGTTGGCACTGAAAAAAGGGGTTGGCCGATTCTCTGCAGGTCTGCTCCCATCTAAGCCTTGCGAGAGCAGGATCTCTTCTTTTAGAAGGCAGTTTGCATCAGCTTCCTTTTGTTTTCAGAAAGGACAACTGCACACAACTGAGAGCCCGGCTGCCAGCCCTCAGCCGTTGGGTGTGAGGGTGCCCTGCCTGTGGTAAACCTAGGGGTGCTTCACCTCTGTTTTGTTGTAAAGTCGTTTTAAATCAGATTTTAAAGGGGAAAAAATACAATCTGTTGACTGGAAGAACTTGTGTGAGTAATTTTTGCTGGCGGTGTTTGAGTTTGATCAGTTGCAATCATGCTTTGTTCTCCACTACGGTGAGAAAACCCTCCTTTAAATAAGGTTGGAGATGCATTCGTTTGCCAAATGTACAGAAGTGAGGATTTTCACTCAGGACGAACGCCGGGGCTCCGCGGGGCCGGCCTGCAACACGGAGCGATGCCCGCGCTGTGAGGAAGGCGCGAGGCCCGGCCCTGCGCCGCCCCGCCCCATGGCGAAGCCCCGAGAGCGCAGCGGTGGGCGGGAAAGGTGGGCGGGAAAGCCCTCAGCGGCCGCTCCGCCACCTCATTGGCTAGCTGAGTCAGGTGAACGGGAACAGCCAATCAGGCGTCGAGTGTGTGGCTGCCTTCCACGAAGCCTGAGGTGGGGGCGGCTGTTCCTTCTGTCAGCCCTTTAAAACGAGAGCGGAGCGGGGAGGATTCCGATTTTCTCACTCCTTTCTTACAAAACTTCGTAAGTGTATATATGTGTTAATTACACTGCCAACAAATATGTTTTACACTTCTTAGATGCTTGCTTTTGTAGGACTTTCCAAAAGCAAATTATCCATAGCTGTGTGCTCATTTGTTTTTAATTGTATACTGTAGCACCTTCCTTGTAGAAAGGTTTATATTTTCATTATGAACAGCTCTGAGTAAAGCCTGGTCAAAAAGCAAAGCAATTCTTCTAAGCAGTTTGCAGGCAGTAGGTGACTGCTGGGTGATGTTCAGGAGCTGCTGGGTGTTCACAAGCACAAACCAACGTGTTTGGAGTCCACATTTTGCTTCCTGCAGCACAATTTTAGCAGCATTTAATATTAATGAAACTAACAAACTAGAATTAGCCGGTGTAACACGGGCAATTTAATCTTGAATATACAGTAACGAATATACAAATTATCTACCTAAGATTTGGTTTCACCTTTTCATCCGCCTCGCCTGCAGCGCCATCGGCACCACGGCGCACAACCAGATCATACGGCTCCTCCTCCACTGCGTCACCATCCGACCTCTGATCCTCCTCCAAAGCCCACCTGGAATGTTTGCTCCCCCCGGCGCTGGCAGGGCCGCGTTCTGCGCCCGCTCCTTCAGGGCTGCCCTCGGCGCTGGTCCCTGTCACACATTTGTGGCACAGCCTGTAGCGCCGCGTTCCCTGCTGCACAACGCAGCCCGTCTGCTCGCTCACCTGGCGCTTGCACTTCCTGCAGATGAGTTTGCCGGCTTGATGTATCTAAAGAGGTTTAGAATTTGAAAGTGTCAGTGTTCATCCGGTAATGCTACCACCACAAATAAACACCGAGCCGTTCTAAAAAGTAAAAAGTTTGCCAATTGCAATCACTGTGGCAGCGCTGTTTCTAGCGATGGCTGAGCAGCAGCACCGACGGAACCCCGCGCTCCTTCCCCAGGCCCCCGAGCTGCCGTACCGTTTGGAAGTGGTTCCGCAGGTGCTCCAGCCGGGTGAACCTCTTCCCGCACGCCTCACATGGGTACGGCCGCTCGCCGGTGTGGCACCGCAGGTGGCGCTTCAGGTCGGCGCGGCGCTTCACCGTGTGCGTGCAGAAGGGGCATTTGAACCGCAGGCGAGGCAGGGCATCTGTTGTGGGGGAACACAGCTCTGCATCAATGGCTTTCTGCAATCGTTCTGCTATTTCTAAGCTTAAATGAGCAGCACTCCATTTTTCCTGCGGTTTGTCATTGAACAGAAATAAACCCAAACCTATAATCCCCCCACAAAAGCTACTGATGATTCACTGGGGATTTGGCGGTGTATTGTCTTACTTTTTAGACAGACGTATGACCATAAGTACGTAGTAAGTATATTACACCCTGTCATCTGACTCTTTCAGCAAGTAGTACTTCATAAATATTTACCACCTCTGCGATATATACTGCGTAACACCGTAACCTTGTGCCATGATAATAAGCCATAGGCATGCTAAGTTAGTTTCCAATATGATGTGCATAAGAATACATTTGTAAACCATCAGTTGATGAACTGCTGTCAGTTCATCAGGAGCTGGGACATTTTATGTAGCGTGACCAAACTATCTCCAAGTTTTGGCTTGGACCTCATGGGAAATGCAGTATTGTTCCAATGACATGAGAGCAGAGAAACCACAAGAGTGATTCAGTCCCTCAGCTCCGAGTCAACTGCAGCTCTCCAAGCTTTGTTCAGCTCCATGTGAGGCCAAATAATCAGGCAGGTCTTATTTTAACCTCACACAACACCTGGATCAGTCTCTGATTCTATTTCTCACCCCTTGTTTTGGCCTTAGAGCCTTACATTCTGTTAGGCACTGCAGCAGAGCAGATCAAGAAAGCAAGCAACAGGACATCAGTTAGAGCTTATGAAATTCTCTCGTCTCACTTCCTCTAAATAACGACAAACTTTGCAAAATCAAGTGTACTGTTTACCTTCATTCCAACTACTCATAACACCTAAAACTGTGGGCACTGAGCTGTACAGTTCTTCTGCTTTTAATTCCATGAACTCAGAAGTTTGTGACAGCTCTTCCAGCTGAGCAACAGCCCACCTCTTGGGGGTCACTTCTGATTCCTGATCATATCCATCATCGGCGCGATCAACGTCATTCTCGGCATCAAATTCAGCCTCCTCTTTAGCTCGGGAGTCGTGGCTGCAATCTGATGTGTTACAGCCCTCAGCCCGCTCAGCTTTACTCGCTCTGCCCTGCACAAATTCTCGTGTCTGTGACAGCCCCAAGTGCTTCCGCCGCTTCCTGGCCGAGCCCTGCTTTCTGCCCCTCTTTGAGAGCTGCGTTTCCGCCCGCTGAAGGATCACCTGTGAGGACAGATAAGTGCTGTAACTGCTCCAGGAATTCTCATTCACCACGTCTGCCTTTTCATCTGGAATGGAATAGGAGCGCCTCGGGTTGCTCTTTGCTTTCCTCCTTGAGCGATAAAGCGATGCGTGAGCAGGTTCACCGTTTGTGCTTTTGGCTGAGAGGCCCAGGTAGTGATCCTTCTCCTTCTCATTAATATCCAGAGACGACTTAATGAACGTCTTACAGACATTAAGGATGTCTGTCATCTGCAGGTAGCTGGCTGCCGACATGACCTCTATCACGTTTTGACCCGTTAGGGGCAATACTCCTGAGTACACAAAGTCCAGGATAACCATAAACGTCTCTGGAGAGAAGACCTCGAAGGTGGCTACAGTGGGCTGGCTGGTGTCCTTGGAGCTCTGCGAAAGGAGCATCTTGAAGTAGCCGCTGCTGGCAAACAGCACATTTCGGTGTGCTTTGAACACCTTCCCCTCCACCAGGATGCTGCAGTCGCAGAACAAGTCCTGCTTCCGTTGTTCATTCAGCTGCTCCAGGAGCTGAAACTGGTGGGAAGAAATCTCCATTCCAATAAGGGAGCACCAGAAGGTTCCTCTAAAGCACAAAACAAACGTAAGCATGACGACGTAAAACTAAATTGATGGGGCTGAGTCCTATTTTAAGAGATAAGCCCTGTATTTTAAAATATTAAAGCTCTGCATATCATCAATACCTAACATAGCTTCAACTCCGCACACACCTCTGCACCATTCAGTAACAGACCGAGGAAATCAATTGCGAAAAAGGTGAGAAGATCGCTAAGAACAGCGCACGTCCCCTAACGCTGCGTCCACGGAAGCTCGAGCGGCTCAAAGGCCGAGAAACGGAGCCGGGGCAGCCGGCAGCGCGGGTAGGGAGCGACGGGGAGCCTCCGGCCGGGCGCCGCAGAACCTGAGCCGGGCGAACCCGAACCGCGCGCGAAGGCGGCGGAGCGGCGGCGGGGACCGCGTCCCTCCCGGCCCTGGCCGCCCCGGCATTGGCCGCCGCCGCCGCCACTCAACGCGCCCCGCCCGCATCGGCCGCCGGCAGCCCGGGACGCCCGGCGGCGCTGGGCCCGCCCGCCAAAGCGCGGAGCCGCCGCCCGGCACGGCGCGCCGCCGCCCCGGGCATCGCGAAGCAGCGCCCGCCGCCGCCGCCGCCGCCGCCGCCGCCCTCGGTTCGGCTGGGCTCGGCTCGGCTCGGCTGCGCGCGGCTCCGCGCTCGGCTCCGTGCGGGGCGCGCCGCCCGCTCCGCCCGCCGTTCCGGAGCCCCGGCTCCGCTCGTCCCCGCCCCGCTCCCGCCGCCCGCCGCCGGGCTCTCGGCGTGGCCCGAGCCGCCCCCGGCCCCGCCGCCCGCGCCCGCCCCGCACGGCGGAGTCCCGCTCGCCCCCCGGCCCCGCTCGCCGCGCACCCGCCGCCCGCTCCCGCGCAGCCCTTTGTTGCCGCGCCCGGCTTCTCGCGGCCGCGCCCGGGGCCGCAAATGGCGCCCGCGCGGCGCCGCCGGGGCTCCGCGGCCCGCCCGGCTCCCGGCTCCCGGCTCGACCGCCCCGCGGGCCGCGGATCCGAGCGGCGTCCCGCCCGCGGCCCCGCGCCGGGCTCCCGCCGCCCCGCCGCCCGCTCCGAGCCGCCGCGCGGCCGCCGCTCACCGCCGGGGTTCCGCGGGCGGCCGCCGCTCGCTCGGCCGCGACGGAGGGGCGGGCGGAGGATGCGGGGTCCCCGGCTCCCGTCGGGGCACGCTCGGCGCCCCGCTCCCGCAGCCCCGAGCCCTGGAAGCCCGAGCGCAGAGAAACAAAAGGTATTTGCTGACGTGGGCGTTGGACAGAGACGCCCGAGGGCTGGGGACACAATTAAAGGGGCAACGCACCGATTGCAGGCGCAGCCCAGCAGCTTCCTCCGCCTCACCGCCCTGCAGCCTTCGCTGCCTTCCTCGCGCACCCACGTGCCGCTACCTGAGCGCACGTACCGCTGTTGTTAGAGGCTGGATAGCATTCGCGTGTGGAAGGAAGGCGCCACCTGAATGGGAAATATTTGTAGTTCTGTAGAGTAGCATTTATTGCTTTACTCGATAAGAGCATTTTTATAACAGGAAAGTCTTGTGTTCAAACAATGGGGGACACCCAAAAGCAAAGGACTGCAGATGGGTGTGTGCTATTGAAACTGAAAGGATCCTGGGATCCCATTGATTCAGCTGTAGCCACACGGCTGGTCAGGCATTGTTTGAGGTTCCATGAGGTCAAAGTTAACAATAAATAGAGCTGAAGCATGGAAGTCTGACAGTGACCAGGTGCTTCGGGGGAGAAATGTTGTCATGTATTCTGTAACGGTTTTACACCTACTGTCTGGTTGTGACTCGACAAAGCTCTAAAAGCAATATTCGGATCAGCTCCTGAGAAGTGAGTTAAATTCCTGGTAACAGCCTGTTACGGTCTTTGCTTTCCCTTTTTGGAAAAACAATGCTATTTCTGCTAATGAATGGCATGTGATCCTAACAGGGGCGTGGAGGAGACAACCACAAGATGCAATGCGAGGAGATTAAAAGAAAATAAAACAGCATGATTTTAATTTAGAGGAAAACAAACAAAAGATATGATTGGATATGTAAAATGAAGAACATGGAAAATATAAGGCACTTGTCCTGTAACACAAAAATAAGGAAACAACAACCGAAATTAAAGCAGTAGATGTAGAATGGTCATCTTTTCAAATACAAAACATACCTGGGAGTTGCAGTGTGGAGATACAACTCCAAGCTTAATGAGATGCTTTAAAAACAGCTACAGACATTTCGGCGTGGTGCTGAGCACAACAGAGATGCACAAAGCAGAACAGCCCTGCTTCACCAGGGCAGTCCGTTGCAGGCTGTACACAGATCTCTCATTTGCCTGTAGCAGTGTCTGTATAGGGGCAGATGGCTCCATTTGCCCACGGCAGCCACTCCACGTCTCGTTTTTCCTAAAGAATGAGTCCTCGCCATCCTCAGACTCACAGTACCTAATTACATTGAATACTGATCCAGAAATGCCTTTGCTTCTAAAAACTCCCTGAAGGATACAGAAGTGTCGTTTTGCTGTTGGCGGTTAAGATTTCAGGCCTGGATTGGCACTTTTCCCCTTCCCTTCGTGCATCCCAGACACAAACAGGGATTTTCCAGCCCTGCTGCCCCAGGCTGTGGCGACAGGAGGCGTTTCTGTAAGCGAAAGGCAGCTCTCAGTTGTCAGAGCTCATCCCAGCGCCTCAGCCCAGCTCTGCAGCCTGCCCACATCCCTCCCAGGGCCTTCCTAAGCTCAGGCAGGTCGGTGCCTCCTCCCAGGTTGGGATCAGCACAGACGGAGGCTGCGCTCCATCCCCTGGTCCAGATCATCAGGAAAGACACAGAACAGGGCTGCGCTCAATGCCGACGCCGGGGAGCCCTGCTGGTGCCGCTGGGTGCAGCTCCATCCCCACTGCTCCAGGCTGACCAGCAGCTTTTTACCCCGTGAGGAGTGCAGCTGGCCCAGCCTCGGCCTGCAGCTTCCCCGCAGCGCTGACAGACAGACAGAGGCTTTGCTGAAGCCCAGCGAGGTTTCATGCACGGATGTTTGCATTAAAACACTTTACAGATGGCTATAAAAACAGCGCAGTCTGAGCTCCCAATTTTCAGAGTGAATAAATTTTACATGAAAATGCTTTTCCAGTTAAATATTTTTATATGCTTTTTCTTCACTCCTTGCCTAGCTTTTCTAGTCATAATATATGAAGACTTAATGAAATTTCATGGAAAATTATCTTTATTTCTGAATGCTGAAGAGTAATTTACATCGGTGTGCAACTTTTTTGAGTATTCAGACCTTACCTCTTCGAAAGAGGTTCTGAGAAGAGACTCACTGTCTGCTGTAAAACTTATCCTTGCAGTACTTCAGCTTCCGTGTTCAGCCGCTGCTCCACCCAAGGTGGATTATTTCTAATGAGCAAAGTATGGGAATGTTGATAGCGAAACTCAGGACGGACTCAATGACATGTCCATGAACACATGCAAATCTGGACCTGTCCAAGAGAAACCAAGAGGTCTTTGTAGATGACAGGCTGGTGGAGGGCTGCTGGGCAAGACAGGATTCCCACGCAAGACGAGCTCCATGCGCCGATGTTTGTCTCACAACTACCTAACATTTGGTTTTACTTCCTTCTCCTCTGCTTCATCCTCACTGTCATCAACTTGCTGGATGACCAGATCGGACGAGCCATCCTCCACGATCTCCACATCAGATTTGTTGTCTTCCCCATAGTGCCACCTGGAATCCTTGTCCCCATCTGGAGGAAATTCAAGGGGTGCTTCAGCCTCCAAGTCAATGCGAATGCTGTCGATGCCGGCCTCAGCCAGGCACTCATTGCAGAGCCTGTAGCGCCTCGTGCCCTCCTGCACCACCTGCCCCGTCAGCTCAGTCACGTGGCGTTTACACTTCCTGCAGATGAGCTTGCAAGCCTGGTGAATCTGGGGAAATTGAGATGAATACATTTATATGGCATCAGAGAGAAAGCGTTTCAAGACGACAGAAAGTGAAGCTAGAGTGACACCAGTGGTAGCATGAACTGACTCTGAGGGGCAGTCAAAACTGATCATGAAACCTCCACAGCAGCTCTACGTGCGCCCTTCATCCCTATTACAGAACTCACACGGTGCAGCGCCTGCGTGAGCCAACAAAGAAATTCATCCCCTTTCATAGGAATTATGCTCCAAATGCCCTTAAGCCAAACCAAATTAATTATCTGCTACCTCTTCTGTACGGGAGCCAATATATCGACCAGCCAGGCTGGTGCCCAGTTTAAGCACACAGAGCCAGACCTACAGCCCGACGCCGCGCGCAGCCGGCAGTACGCACAGTGCGGAAGTGGCTGCTGAGGTGATCCAGCCTGCTGAACCTCTTCCCGCACGCCTCACACGGGTACGGCCGCTCGCCGGTGTGGCACCGCAGGTGACGCTTCAGGTCGGCCTTTCTTTTCACCATGTGAGTGCAGAACGGGCACTTGAACCTCATCCTGGGCAGATCATCTGTGGGGAGATAATTTGGTCGTAGATAGGAGTCATAGCACGTCCACGCCTTGCAGTCACTGTAGTTACAGAAAGCAACAGAAACAGGATAGAAAATCGCTTCTATTCAACAAACATGCTGCAGGTCTTTTCAGATACAGCCCTTGTGTAAATTACACAGGAGTGCAACGAGGGAAAAGGAGCGGACGGCTTATTAAAGTGAGCTAAAAAAACCAAAAATGTCATGACCGTACAGCTGTAAATGCACCGAAAAGTATGTACTCTGAACAGCTAAACATCCATTCGCCACTGTCCAAGAGAAGATCTCAGCTTTCCAAGCTACATTTGTGGAAAACACAGAGCATCCCTGGTTAATGCCCGCCCTCCAGCAGTGCATCTGCTCACTGACACAGCAGGCAGCACGAAGACCCACTCCTACCTTCAGCCCAGCCGCCCATCACACCTACAATGGAGGGCATGCTGGGGTACTGCTCGTCTGCTTTGGGAGACCTGGATTTGCTGGAAGGTCGGGGCGAGTCGCGCTCCTGCTGCGGCACGGCCAAACTCCTGGGGAGCACCTCAGAGCCCTGGCCGTACGGATACCCCACGTGAGGAGATTCCACTTCTGGCTCCATCTGGACCTGGTCCTCAGATTGAGAAATGTGGCCCGCAGGCTCAGCAGCCCGGTCCTCCAGTTTGCTCGCTTTATAGTGAGGAATGTCAGAAGGCTGCTGCAGTCCCAGGTGCCGGGATTTCTTTGTGGAATCCTGCCTTTGCTCGTGTTTGGACGGCTGCTGCTGCGCGTTCCTTTGAGCTGGATAGTAGTTGAAATTGCTCCAGGCGTTTCCCCTCACACACGTCCCTTGGTCTGGATTTGAGTGCGAATGCGGGGGGCTTTCTGCCCTCCAGCCCGCGCCATACGGGCACGGCTGCTCCCCGCCGTTGGAATTCGCCTCCTTGTCCGAAAGGCTGAAGTAGCGATCCTTCTCCTTCTCACTGATGTCCAGCGACGACTTAATGAACGTTTTGCACACACTGATGACATCGGTCATCTGCAGGTAGCTGGCGGCCGACATCACTTCGATGACGTTCTGACCGGTGAGAGACAGTTTGCCCGAATAGACAAAATCCAGAATAACGGTAAAAGTGTCAGGAGAAAATGCCTGGAAAGTGGCTGTGGTGGGCTGAGTCATTTCCTTGGAGCTCTGCGAAAGGAGCATCTTGAAGTAGCCGCTGCTGGCAAACAGCACATTTCGGTGTGCTTTGAACACCTTCCCCTCCACCAGGATGCTGCAGTCGCAGAACAAGTCCTGTCTGCGCTGCTCATTGAGCTGCTGCAGGAGGTGAAACTGGTGGGACGAAATCTCCATTCCAGAACAGCTGCGGTGTCCCTCTAGGAAACAAACAAACAAATTAGAAACTGGGCTTCTGCGTGAAGCAACTCGCCAAGGACGGCAGACCCGATCTTACAGATATTTTGAAAACTAATCTTATTCAAACACACAAATATATTTCAATTACAATATCCAAATATCCACGCCCAGGCATTTCTGTTCGACAAGGATGGAATGAGTCCAACTGAGGCCGTCCCGTTATTTGGCAGCGACGTCAGGGCTCCAACTGGGAGGAATCGCATCCCGAGGATGCAGGAGGTGAGAAACGGGCCGGCAGGCGCGCGACCCTCAGCCGTTCACCGTCAGGGCGAGGAGCCCTCGAGCGGCTGCGGCCGGAGCCTCCGCCCGTGCGGGGCTGCCGTTCCCGCACCGCTCGAGGGACCAGAAACGGGAACTCGGCGACCGCGGGGCTCCGGCCGCGTCTCTCCCGGCCCGGGCCGCCCCGGCATTGGCCGCCGCCGCCGCCACTCAACGCGCCCCGCCCGCATCGGCCGCCGGCAGCCCGGGACGCCCGGCGGCGCTGGGCCCGCCCGCCAAAGCGCGGAGCCGCCGCCCGGCACGGCGCGCCGCCGCCCCGGGCATCGCGGAGCAGCGCCCGCCGCCGCCGCCGCCACCCTCGGTTCGGCTGGGCTCGGCTCGGCTCGGCTGCGCGCGGCTCCGCGCTCGGCTCCGTGCGGGGCGCGCCGCCCGCTCCGCCCGCCGTTCCGGAGCCCCGGCTCCGCTCGTCCCCGCCCCGCTCCCGCCGCCCGCCGCCGGGCTCTCGGCGTGGCCCGAGCCGCCCCCGGCCCCGCCGCCCGCGCCCGCCCCGCACGGCGGAGTCCCGCTCGCCCCCCGGCCCCGCTCGCCGCGCACCCGCCGCCCGCTCCCGCGCAGCCCTTTGTTGCCGCGCCCGGCTTCTCGCGGCCGCGCCCGGGGCCGCAAATGGCGCCCGCGCGGCGCCGCCGGGGCTCCGCGGCCCGCCCGGCTCCCGGCTCCCGGCTCGACCGCCCCGCGGGCCGCGGATCCGAGCGGCGTCCCGCCCGCGGCCCCGCGCCGGGCTCCCGCCGCCCCGCCGCCCGCTCCGAGCCGCCGCGCGGCCGCCGCTCACCGCCGGGGTTCCGCGGGCGGCCGCCGCTCGCTCGGCCGCGACGGAGGGGCGGGCGGAGGATGCGGGGTCCCCGGCTCCCGTCGGGGCACGCTCTGCGCCCCGCTCCCGCAGCCCCGAGCCCTGGAAGCCCGAGCGCAGAGAAACAAAAGGTATTTGCTGACGTGGGCGTTGGACAGAGACGCCCGAGGGCTGGGGACACAATTAAAGGGGCAACGCACCGATTGCAGGCGCAGCCCAGCAGCTTCCTCCGCCTCACCGCCCTGCAGCCTTCGCTGCCTTCCTCGCGCACCCACGTGCCGCCCGGGAGGAGACGCGATGCCCCGGTTGTTTCCTTCGCGCACCTTTATGTATAACACGGGCCTGGATGACCCAAATCCTTTCTTAACACGTTTGCAGCTTCCCCAAGATGAGATGAAATTTTTCTTCACATCTCAGTTGTCTTTGGAATAAAAGCGTGAGGTCTAAAATCCTGCTTCCTCGACCTCTTTGCTTCTCTCACTCAAAGTCTGATGTCCTTCACCGTCCTCTTCTCCCCTCCAGCACCTTTCCACTCTTGACACCCCACTTATTTGTTAAAAACGCTTGTTTTCCCCGTGGGAGCCATTCTGCCTTAGCTGTATCCTCTGTGTCCTTTTAGCCTTCCTTGCATAAACCTCAGACATTCCATCTTGAAACAATTTACGTTCCTTTCTCCACCACTGCAAAAACAGAAGATATCTAACGACTTTTTTCTCTGATACAAACACTCCCCCAGTCTCTCCCATCTTCATATTCAATTTACATCCATTTTTGTTGAATCATTTTTTTCACCAGTTTCATTCCCCTTTTTATCAACTTGTACAGTTTTCTAACTTCTGTCTCCTTTGGGATGTTGCTGTGCATGCAACACTTAAAATCCTTCCTGACACCTATTGTGTAATTCTCCTTTTGTGCCTGACCAGCTCCAATGAATCATTCTCGAACACGAGAAAGTGCCTCAAATTTACACAGTGTTTTACATGGATTTCTTCACCATTCAAGTATCAACCAGAAGCATCTGAATCTGATCCATCCGTGCCTGACCAGCTCCTTCCAGCCTTCCAGCACTGCTGCTTCGTGCCTTTCTCTGACCAGCATCACCTGTGGGTGCCACGCAATTCATTTGGACTTGCATCCAAGTCAGAGCAGTGCGTTGGCTCAGCCCTGACAGCCAGCACAGCAGTCAGTGACAGCCCTCCTCATCCTCACCATTCCCCATCCAACGCTTGTGTGCAGCTCTTACCATCAATTAGCAGTGAGTGTTGAAGCCTTTAGACAACCCTCGCATGATAAAATCCAACACAGCTCTGTATGAATGCCAATGGAGTGTGGGACAGCCAAAGCAGGAGAAAAACGAAGCAGGTGAGATACTGGAAACCTATAAAATATATAAAATGTATAGAAATCTGTAAAATCACATCAGGATCAATAGGAAGTGCTGCAAGCTGCTGGTTCTGGAGGAAGCTGCCGGCAAATGAAGCGATAGCAGTCAGCAGCATCAGAGCAGGCAGGTGTGGCTCTTCAGCTAACATAGGCAGACACTGGAATTCCTTCCACAGGCTGTTGTGACAGCAAAACGTGGGCATTACAGGGTGCACGAGGCAACGGGGAGGCTGGAGACGCGTGCCCTGCACCTTTGGAAGCCCCCAGGTCTGTTAGAGGAGCATTCAGGTTCAAGCACTGCTAAATGCTTCTCGTGTTCTTCCACAGGGCAGGCAGTTCTGGTTGCTGCTCTGAACAGAGGAACTCGTGTGGCTGCCTTGTGTGGCAGCTCAGCCCCTGCCATCCACGAGTTCACAAAGCCACTGGACGTGGCCACCAGGCCCCTCTATGCCTGCCAGCTCAACTCATCAGCACCGCTCTTCTATAGAACATCCTACGTGATTCCCCAACTCTTCCATATCCCAAAGAGTTCTTGTACTGAAAAACTCCTCCTGAACAGAGCAGTTTGTGGGTGTTTGTTCTGCTTGGCCCAGCTGGTTTTGCACAAACCAGGTCCTTTCCCCGGGGTCCCAGAGGGCGCTGAGCTCAGCAGTTTTACCAGCACAGGCGGGAGCTCAAGGGCTCTTCATCTGCTGGAAAGAGGTAATGGAATTTTAAAGTAGGCAAAAAATGCAGTGATATCTCAACTAAATGAGTCAGAAATTTTACACCTGTGTTCACAACGCTCACCATGCTTCAGGAAACCCGCGCAGGAATTCACCAGCAGCTGGGAGCGGCCACGGAGCAGAGCGTGGCTCCTCATCCATCGGGCCTCGTTTCACCCCGTGCTGCACAGTAACACCGCAAACGTGGATTCCAGCAGCTGTTTCATCTACTGCTCTGCATTTCTACACTGCAGTTACTGTTGGTAGCCAAGAAAGGTCCACTGAAGCTGGGGGAGTTTGTCCAATGGAGGTGGCTTAGCAGCTGGGTGGAGGCGCTTCCAACAGCACCCAAGGGTGCCCCAGCTGCAAGGCTGAGCCTGCTTTGTAGAGAATGACTTAAAAATGACTTTCAAGAGTCATTGCTGGTGCTGATACAAACGCTATCAACAGTTTCTGTACTGTTTTAATCAGGTTTCGATACCCAAGTATCAAAGTGTAATCAAGTAGCACAGTGAAGAGGTTTAAGTTTTCCTGGGAACTCGAGTCCTAATCCTGCACCACCAATGGAAACCTGCTGTGCTGTATTTTTCACTTCCAACTCAGCTTCCCATATTTGGAACCGTGAGCAGATTCCTGTGCTGCCCGCCTGCAATTCTTACCTGCCTGCTCCTGAGTCCAGCTCTTCTCTGAAGCAACGCTGCCAAATCTACTCTCAAATACATTTACAGTTTAAAGAATCTCACAGCTTTGCTACCAAGTCTGGTCATTAATTACTGCTCTCCCTTTCAGTGGAAAACCAGAAAAAATTGAGTCCTCTTACTGTGAGATCAATATTTAACTTTATGTTCAACCATAAAAGAACCGCACTGCATACAGCATCCACTGTCATACATTCAACATTCAGCAAAGAAAATTCGGTAATCCACCGCTGTAGGGAAAAAATGAGAGAGAGAAAGGGGGTAAAGCTTTGATCCCCCCTCCCGAAGGGTGAAATCCTGCGCGTGGGGCTGCACCCCGCTGCCCTCAGCGCTGCTTTACGAAGCACCGCAGGCATCGCAGCTCCAACCCCGTCCTGAAGGCTCCACCGCCGCCTCTGCTCTGCCCTTCTCAGGCGCGGCGGCTCCAAACCAACCCGAGCTCCAGCAGCCCGTCCCGCTCCGTTGGGCGGCCCAGGGGCGGAGCTGGGCGCTGCTGGGTTGGACCAAAACATCTCGAATGCCAATAAAACGTTTTCATGATTAAAAACATAATAAGCGGCATTCCAGTGGGTTTGGAAACGCGAATAATTTTCAGGCTTGTCTGAAAGAAAAAATGTAAAGAACCCACTGACATAAACGTGATTGTATTTCACTGTAAAAAAAGAAGTAGGAAAGGAGGAAGGGGGTTACGTTTTTTCCACCAACTCACAGTATTTGAAACCAACAGATAAACGCAGATTCTAAGCACAGACTCTAAAAGCAGGCTTTAAAAAAGGCTGATGTATCCAACGCCATCACACAGCAGACCCGGGATTTGGTCCCCATTCTGCATTTCAGGAACATTTGTCAAAGCGGCTGCTTTCCTGCTGGGGGAGTTTTGTTGGCCAGTGTGAAACAAAAGAAAAGCTTGGAAAAAGATTTTAAAAATCCAAGGTGGTTAAAAAGCACGTGAGAAAACAAAGTCAGCATCAGCGGTGCGAAAGCCGTCCTGCAGCATCCCGTGCTGTGAGCTGACAGCAGCCCTTGAACCCTCACTGAGGATCTCATCTCTCCCAGCATGGTGTGGCAGCAGGAATGGATGAGCCCAGTCCCAACCCCTGGGGATGGCGCTGTGAACCTCCATCCCGACGCGCTCCGAGTCCCAGAGTCAACTTTCCAATGCTTCAACAGTGATAATAATTTAAAAAGCCAAAGCCACCCTCCGAGAGTTTTATTTTTTATCAGAAAGCTCCAGAATGCTCCCAGATCCACAAATCCAGTAAAGTCACTTCTACAGGTAGGGTTAGATTTATGAGAATTCATCACTCAAAGGAGGCAAAAGGACTCCAGTTATGAAACTGCCTTACAAAACATCAGGAAATTAAATGACCACATCAGGAAGATTTACAAGGCTTGCACCAAGAGGTGAAATGCACCGTGCATACAGTGCAGCTGGTATTCCATCAGTGAAATACAGTGCAATTGCGTGCTAAAGCTTGCTCCTAAACAAAGTCAGTTCCATGGAGCTGAGACTGAAATCTCGGTCTGCGCGGCCTTTAAAAACTTTGAGAAGGAGATTTTATTAAAATGAGTTTCATAAAAACACCTTTGATTTTTTCATTAAGCACCACGTGAACGTTTGGTAACGGCTACGACGTTTCTCAAAGCTCGTGGAGGCTGCGGTACAGGGGGAGACCAGGAAAACATCAAAGCGGGTGGGAAGCACAGCAAACACAGACACGAACATTCGGTCACAAGAACGTGGACAACCGCATCCTCCTCTACCAAATACAAAAGCAGGACTCAGCTGAAAACAAAGCAGCACAACGACAGATCAACAGGAAACATCGATTCTGGTGGTCGCTTTCAGTCCGGAGCGCAAACAGCGCGGCCCCACGCAGTCGCACCAAGCACAGCACGGCCCGTCCTCTATGCACAAGACGCACAAAACAACCCCTAACACCAAAGGGAGCAGGCAAGTAAAATTGCCAAAGGTCTCTGCAGTTGTTCCTGCAGCTTTATTACAGGCTTTCTCAAGAGCTTTGCTTTCCCTGCTCCGAACGCCTTCCAGCTCAGCACAGCTCCGTGGCACAGGAGCAGCTCCTGGCAGCTCCTCAGCCGCAGCCACGCTCAGCTGATCTCAGTCACCTCCACCAATGCTGCCATCGACTCGGCGTCTCAGTGCCACAACGACCAGCCCTGCTGCCCTGGGATGCCCGGTCACCACACATCGTTTGGGTCCCTATTTACATTCTCGTCTCACTCCCATTAGTGAGCTACTCCAACAAATGCAGACAGTGTCACTTCTTTGGGTGTTCTTACAGCAGTCCTTCCAGTATCGGATAATGGGATACCAAAAAAATACCCTCTGAGGTTGTGGTACTCAGCAAGAACAGGACGGCAGCTCGAATGTTGGTGCTGCAGGTGGCATTTCCAAACCACTGGCTCCACTTGCACTGCATCGTTCTGATTTCCAAAAGTGCTTCAGACCCAAAACTGCAGCCAAATCATCAGAGGATGATTTTTACTTGGAAGGTAAAACTCTCACCTCATTTGAAAGCCAAACTTTATCGATCCCAGCAGTGAAACAGGAGGTCCATTGCAGAGCTTAACAACCCCAGTACTTGTATGAATTTATACAGCAATACAAGCTGTGCAAAACGTCACCAAAGGCTGAAAGAAAGCAGGGGAAAAGAAAAAGATTTGTGTACAAAGGGGTCAGTAAAAAAATTGGAGATTTGCCAGCCAGCTGCTTCTAGAAAGGTCCGCTGTGCTGTTTGATACAGAGCTCACTGACAGTCACTGTACTGTTCCTCAGTGCATCGGCTGTGGATCCAATTCCTCTTCTGGAATTGGAATTCCCCAGTATCCTGATGCACAGATTTTCACTTCTATGGTGAAAAGCTGAAGAGATTTGGGCAGTTTGCTTCATAAGCTGAGAGACCAAGACAACAGACACCATTACGTGTGCTTAAGCCAGAACTACTGGTGTCTAAGGGACATCAAGGACACACCTGAAGAGCTGCAGTCTGAGCTGTGCATCCACTGACGAAGATGCAGCAAAAACAATTCGGAAAGAGAACCTTGTTCTCTAGATACTTGTACTTCAGGATATGTGAAATGTATTTATTCTGACTTTCTCTGCTTTCATCAGCAGCATATTTCTGTTATCCTGACACATCTGCCTGGCTTCCAGAGCACAGTAAGTCTATGAAAAGACGCAAGGTTTACAGTTTAGATAACACTGCCCTGATGCAGAAAGATCAAAACTTAGTTTAGAAAAGTCCAAAGTAAGGATGAAAACCACATTTCTTCTCATTGAATCTTCAGAGAGACAACTGTGCCCCTTCCAGACCAGAGATTAAGGAACACGACATCATTACTTGAAGAACCCTGCTATCAAAACAACAGGAGTCCTGCCTACAAAGCACCTCCTGTTCCTTGAAACCAGGAGGCAGAGACACAGCTGGAGATTGCTCAGAAAAACCCTCTGTGAACCCCAGGCAGATCCATCACAGAATTCTGGTGCACAGCACTGAAAACTTGAAAGTATTAAGAATTGGGATTCGTCCCATTCTTCTATTAAAACACTGAATAACAATTAATAAAACCCAACTCAGTCTCACTAACTGGATAAATACAAAGTTTTCTGTCGCAGACCAACCACTGTTGGAGAGAGACCTTCAGTCCTCCCCACCTCCTCCCACTGCTACGTAAGTGTTTCTCGGTCTGCTAAGCTCCTGTGGATTTCCTGCTTGTCCTCAGCATCATCATCATCAGCAGGATCGTTCTCCTCCCCAGACTCCACGTATATGGGCCAGTCATTGTCCGGATCACCCTTCTCCTGGCCCTCTGACGATGGTTCCATCAGACTGAGGTTAATGGGCATCGAGTCCTCATGCGTGGTGGTCACACAAGTGCAGCTGTCACACAAGCCAAAGCGCCGTAATCCTTGAGACAGGCTGCTCGTGAACGTTCTCCTGCAACCCTTACAGATAATCGGCTTATTGGATCGGTGCACCTGAAGTTAAAAGCACAGCGTTACGGTACCAGAAGCAATTTGTAGCTTCGGCTGTTCCTAGGGTTACAACAAACACCCACGTTAGGCTACGGGCAGCAACTCGACCACATCTCCAGCAACAGAAACCTGGGGCTACGCATTGAGAACAAATCAAATATCGGTTGCTTACGCTGCTCATTCGCGAGGCTTTACCTCACGCTGCCACAGCCTCAGTGCGAGACGCTGTGAAAGCCTCGGAACAACGCGTCAGCCTGCCTTAAGGGCTGCCCCGGCCCCACACTCACACTCAGTGCGTGGCTCCGCAGGTGCTCCTGCCGCGTGAAGCGCTTCCCGCAGGTCTCACAGGGGTACGGCCGCTCACCGGTGTGCGAGCGGATGTGGCGCTTCAGGATCCCCTTCTGCTTGGCCGTGTAGGGACAGAACGGGCACTTGTGGAGCTTGATCGGCACCACTAACACGTCACCTTTAGGGGAGAAACAAGGCGTTACGCTCGGCAGCGCGCCGCGTCGGCTTCTCGTCCTCGCCGTGACTCAGTCAGCATAATTCATTTTCCGCTCCTTTTGTATCTGACTTACCTGGAATCTCTGTGCTGCACAACTGCAAAAACCTCTGACGACGGTCGAGTGCCTCGAAAGTCAGTTTGCCCCGTCTGTGAGCGAGCTGCCTCACAACACCACGCGCACTTCATGGTTAAGAAGCCTTTTAGTTTGGTGCCCAGAAGTTGCTTTCAGTGCACTGCGGTCACTGCCACAAAAACTCTCTCTCCATTCTTTTTTTAAAGGTTAGCATTACCACAAAATAGTATCAGCTGCTAGAATCTCTACTACAAATGACCCTGCTCCCCATACACCTTTACTATGCACGTGAATTTAGATGTGGGGAACTCATCTGAAATATGAAGGCATCTACTGGCATGCACTTTATTCTGCCAGAAATAGAATCCATACACGTCCTGGTTGGATTTTACTTTTCCTAGAGTTGGACCACATTTATGTAGTTAGATGCAAAAACAGAGAACTAAATTTGAAGATCTCCTTTTGCACACGCACGAGCATTCCCATTTTTTTCAGTATCAGCCTGGACACGGGCTGCCATCCTAGCATGAAGGTTCAGGTGTTGTACTGAACGATTCGTTTTCTCCAATGTTTCAGCTTCAGAGAAGTATTTGCATTTCCGGCTCTTTTGCAGCCACAAACCAGCAGCAGCACTGCAGAACAGCGCTTCACTGAGGTTTGCCAAACAACAAAAAAAGTGCCTGGTACCAACAGGTCACCATCAAGTGAGATGCATCTCACCCAGCTCCACACCTCCCTGCTGGGCGCTCAGAGCTCCACGCACAAACACAAAAGCAGGCTGCAGACTGGCCCTGCTGTCTGCCCTCCACCAGCTGCGAAAGGCTCAGGATGACCGCAGCAGAAGCAGACTGGGAAGAGGCAGCTCGAATCCACGAGCGCAGGTTCTTCCAGCAGGAGCGTGCTTTGTCCTGCCTGGTGTTTTGGGAGAATGCTGAAGACAGCAGGAGCATTAAAGGCTGAGAAGTAACCTTCCCACTCCCTGCTTATGACCACATTTTTTGGTGCTCCTATTTAAAGCACATCTAGCATTAACATTTCTAATGCGTTCACAGCTGATGTCCTGTACCAAATTTTTGAATATTCCTTTTTCAAAGCAATATTAACAATCCAAAGATTGAAGGAATGGCAAACAAGTAAGCAAACTGTGTTAGAAGCTCTCACCTGGCTACATGTCACAAACCACAAGGTGATGCTGTGACTGCACGCTGTTCTGTAACTTACTCTTTTGTTGACACTAAGACTGGATGTGTGACTTTACCAGGGTTATTGCCTACAAGCACTGGGGGAACATATTGTTTTTATTGGTTTTAAGATCAGACTTGCGTACTTGAACTAGAAATAACAAGAATGTGAGAGCTTGCTATCCAGAACAGAACATTCCATGAAAGATCTCTGTGCTGCCTGCGCTGCCACTCCATCTGCCATATCCTGAGCAGTTCTGTCACTCGCAGCGTGCTGTCAGCTGCCTCCCTTCTTCGTAAGACAGTTTGGACGAGGTCAGTTGTTTGCTAACATTACAAGCAGGTAAAATGCCCAAATCCTTTGAGTCCATTTCAGCAGAAACGCTTAAGCACCTTCTTCTCTGGGTCCCTGACGCTGCTGCCAGGAGACACTGCTGCCAGCGCGGGACGTCCCATGGGCACAGGCCTGTGAAAGCAGCAGCACCTCAGGTGACCAGCAGATGAAAAACGATTCTGCCTCTGGAAGTAAAAGTTAAGTCTTTATGCAACAGCACAGGTTAAAGCTTTCCATGTTCCTAAAAGACATTAATGGTAACATACTACTGAACAGCATCGATTTCTGTCTTTTTGAAGGTGAAAGTAACAGCAAATGGACTCCCGCTCTGCAGCTGATTAACTGGAAGGAGCTCCATGGAACAAGCTAACTTTGGTGTAGCAGAGGGTACAGAACACTCCTCCTGGAGAAGCCCAACTTATCTTCCCATTTCTGCTGCTAAAAAAAATAACCTTCTCACAATTCCAGTGTTTCAAATTTGCTTGCCATTCAACAAGGTCCCAGATGAGAACGTTTAGAGGGTCACCAACACCAAGCTCCAGAACTTGTTTCAAAGAGACTGTGGAACCTATTACAAATACTTACCTTCCAAATGCTGCACTGAATAAATGCGTACAGCTTTCATTTGAAGTCCAGAACAACAGTTTATTTCACTATGGCATAATATTCAGCAACGTATTCCTGAACAAGAAAGAGTAACAGAGGTCACACGACTACGCGGTTTCCTCACCAATCACCACAACTGACCCTCGAGTCCTCTCACCTGCGTCCTCACCATACCAGTCGCTGTGAATGTCCATCATGGAGCTCACGGCCACCCCCGCATCCTCTGGCCTACCCTCAAAGCCCCGAACAAAGTGATGAACAACGTCATCCTTCCTCTGAGCCGAGCTGTTGCGCAGCAAGGCCTCTAGGAACTGCTTCATGTGGTAGTTATTGCAGGCCAGGTCCATCGCCTGCCCTCCGTGCAGCCCCTCGTCCACCTGCTCCAGAGACAGCGCAGGCTGGTACTGCTGCAGCCGCCCACCCACGTCCACCTCTACCTCGTCCGCATCGAACTCGACCTTGGGCTCCACCCCCTTGGGCAGGGAAGAGTTGGCGTCGTCCGGGGAGTCGCTGCCCCCGGGGTCCCTCACCACCAGCTCCAGGGGATGGCAGCTGCTGCACTCTCCGCACGGAGGGTCGTTCTGGCAGCCCGCCATCCTCTCCTTTTCCCGCGGGACTGAGGTGCCGCTCTGCCCCTTGGTGCTGTGCGAGGGGCCCTCTCTCGCTGAGCCTCCGCTCCCACTGTCAGCCTGGTAGAAAGCGGCTTCCCTCTCTATTTTCCTGCAAATATCCAGCGAGGACCTAATGTAGGCCTTGCAGAAGTTGACCACGTCCGTCATTTGCAGGTAGCTCGCTGCAGACATGACCTCGATGACGTTCTCCCCGCAGAGATCCAACTTCCCCGAGTAAAGGAAATCCAGGATGATGGAGAAGGCCTCCGAGGTGACGATGTCCAGGGAGGCCGTGCTGTGCCGCCCGCTGTCCTGTATGTAATGAATCAGCAGAGCCCTGAAGTAGCCGCTGTTGGCAAACAGAATGTTTTTGTGCGCTTTGAAGATCCTCCCCTCCACGATGATGCTGCAGTCACAGAAGAAATCCCTCTTGCGCTGCTCGTTGAGCTCCCCCAGGAGCTTCGTGTAGTACGACTGCATCTCCATGGCCGCGGCTGCTGCGGGCGGAGGGAGAAGGAACCGTCAGAGGGAACCGCAGAGCAGAACCCTCCCAGCGCCGACCCGACCCGACCCGACCCGACCCGACCCGACCCGACCCGACCCGACCCGACCCGCTCACCTCCCCGCTCACCTCCCCGCTCACCTCCCCGCTCACCTCCCCGCTCACCTCCCCGCCCCGCCGGGCCCTCCCGGAAGCAGGAAGTGGCGCTGCCGGAAGTCACCCCTCCGCGGAAGGCGGGACTGAGAGGTGAGGGGTCGGTAAATATTGGTGACGTCACGCCGCCAAGATGGCGGAAGGGTGAGCGCGGCGTTACGGCGGAGCGGCCGGGCGGGGTCGGGCCTCGGGGGCGGCGGGATGGACGGCGCCGGTGGGCCGGGAGCGGGGGGGCTTGGGGTCGGGCCGGCTGACGTGCGTGTGCTCTGACAGGGAGGACGCGGGCTGGTGGCGGAGCTGGCTGCAGCAGAGTTACCAGGCCGTTAAGGAGAAGGTAAAGCGGCCCCGAGGCCTCGGGGAACGGCTGGGAGCGGGGGGTGGCGGCGGGGGAGGTGAAGGCGGCGGCGGCGGCGGCGGAGGCGGGGGAGCCGGGATCGGCAGCTCCTGGAGCCGGGCGGGTCGGGTCGCAGCATCGCGTCCTGATGAGTGACGGTGCTGCTGATGTTAATTATACAGGACTCGTTGTGTGGCTTTTCCACACCCTTTTTTCTTTTCCTGTTTTTTGTTTTTCAGCTTTTAACTCAAAAAATACTCTGATGTGTTTTGTGTATGGCTGTTTCCCATTGTTATTCTGATTACTGCAGTTTTTCCCCTTGCACGGGTCGGAGTAAAGGCACCTTGCAATTCGTTTCTGTGTGTTTGAGGTGTTCCCAGAGCTACCAGGGTTTTGTGAGAGACCAGAAGATTAGGCAGTCTGTTTGTTGTCTCCCTGCAGTCCACAGAAGCTTTAGAATTCATGAAACGGGACCTGGCTGAGTTCACTCAAGTTGTGCAGCATGATACAGCCTGCACGATCGCTGCTACGGCCAGCGTGGTCAAGGACAAACTGGCAGTGAGTATCAGAGCTGAGTTCTTGCTGTGGAAAGCAGAATGGGGTGAATAAGACATACCTGCAGCTGGCGCATCCCTCCTGCCCCTGAGGACACAATCCTCCCCTTGTAGATTTTGTGCTGAGTGGGATTTTCTCACTGTAATGATGAAGAAGCTTTGGGGATCAGTGAGGGAAGCTTAGTAGTGCTTTCTTGCTGTCCATGTGCTTTGCAGGCAGGTTACTGGCAGCGTCACCATGGTGTGACATCAGACCTTTGCACGGCTGTTTCTTTGCCAGTCTCTGAGCCTGGCTCCCTTTCCTCTCAAAGCCCAGACTCTGTTTCCAAGCAACCCACTGTGAAGGACAGCCTGCCCCACCACCACGTGGGGACAGTGACTGCCAGCACACCCTTTGCCCAGCCCTGGCCACAAGTCATCTCAGTTTTTGGAGGGAGAGAAATCCTGCTTCAGGCACCATTCCTAACACTGTGTCACTGTTTTTCTTCAAGAGGACGGAAGCTTCTGGTGCAACTGAAAAGGTGAGGAAGGGGATCTCTGACTTCCTGGGTGTCATCTCAGACACTTTTGCTCCTTCACCAGACAAGACCATCGACTGCGATGTCATAACGCTGATGGCAACACCCACGGGTACCACAGAGCCCTATGACAGTGCGAAGGTGAGTGCCCCAGCTCTCGGCTTCCCCTCAGCGCTGATCCTGGGCTGTCCTTGCCTGTCCTGCACTCCCCTCCACTGATGCTCCTCCATATATGTGCTCTCCTCCAGGCTCGCCTCTACAGCCTCCAGTCAGACCCAGCCACCTACTGCAACGAACCTGACGGTACGGAGCCCTGGCAGCTCTGCTGAAAAAAGCTGCCCTGATGTGGGGTCTGCGGGCCGTCCTGAACTGTGCAGAACCTTTCGGCAGGGGGTCTGTGGACTGAGTGTAGGCAAGGGCACTGTGGTGGGAAGCAGGCCCATCTGGTGCCTTGAGGACTGGCTTAGATTGAGTTTTCTGGGTTGGTTTAAACAGCTTCTGCAGCTGCTGCTGTCCTACAGGTGGGCGCAGAGATCAGAGTCTCGGTCTCCCCTGAGGCTGGGATCTGTCACACAGCTGTGAGCAGCAGCGCTGCTTCTTTCCTCTGGGAACAGGCAGCGTATGGCAGATGGGGGGGAGTGCGTGCAGCCCTCCAGGCCTTGACTGCTTTTGGCTAGAAAATGCTATTCCTCCCTTCCCTGGTTTCTCTGCTTCGACTGCACGCTGCTTGTGAATCCCCTCCCGCTTGTGTGGGGTTTGATGCCACAGGAAGGTGTGCTCATCTCAGGGCTGCATGTCTTGCATTCCTGCCTTTCCTTGCCCGACCATTGCTCACCTCATCTCATCGGGAGCATCTTTCCAAAGAAACTTCCTGAAACTTTGTGTCTTGTTTATGCCAAAGATTGTTATCTCTCTTCTTGTGCTGTGCAGGCCCTGCTGAGCTTCTTGAAGCCTGGCTCTCCCAGTTTAGCCTGGAAGAGAAGAAAGGGGAGATCGCAGAACTGCTGGCAACCAGCCCTTCCATCCGGGCCCTCTACACTAAAATGGTAACGGCCTTTCTTACTGTAGCAGGAAGGTTCTGATCTGGGTTATGATTCCCACCTGAGCCCTGAGGAGTTGGTGGCAGAAAGGATTGTAGTTGCACGTCGTATTTCTGCCCCCGCTTGTTTTTCATGGTCCCGGATCAGCTTACAGTGGTTCTTGAAAGGCTCGTGACCTTCCCCTTCCTGTGCTGTTTCCAGGTCCCTGCGGCTGTGTCCCACTTGGAGTTCTGGCAGCGCTACTTCTACAAAGTGCATCGCCTGGAGCAGGTGGGTGGGCAGGTGGGGGTGGCACTGCAGCAGGGCGCTGCTGGGGCAGGCTGAAGAGTGGAAGGTTCATTCCTGCAAGAGCAGGGCTTGGCTGCCTTCTGTGTCCCTGACGTTGCTGATGTTCCTGGGGGAAGAAAGGTCCAGGACGTGAGCAGCTGCTGATGCTGAGTTCCCTGCAGGATGAAGTCCGGAGGGAGGCCCTGAAGCAGCGCGCGGAGCAGAGCATTCACCAAGAGGAGCCAGGCTGGGAAGAGGATGAAGGTGGGTTAGATGGTGGAGGGGGTTCTGTGGGCAGCCTTGTGCAGCCGTCAGCGGTCTGTGTTAGAGAAGGTGGCAGCTCCTCCTTGCTCCCACCAGTTCAGCTCCTGGCCCAGCTTTATCCAGAACTGCTGTGCTGTCAGTTGCTGCTGCACTCGCTGAAACATCTCTTGCTTCTCTTCTGCCTTCTTACAGAGGAGTTCTTGGGGATGTCACCCCTGCCTTGTGCGAACGTGAAATTTCCACAAGCAGCAGAGAAAGCATCTGCTCCTGCAGCCCTGGAGGGGAGCCACCCCTCTGTTCACAAGGAACCCTCGGAGGAAAGCTGGGCCATCCTCCCTCCTGAGCTGGCCCCAGCAGAGGGGAGCCCCTCCGAGAGCAGCGAGAGCGTTTCCCTCGTGACTCAGATTGCAAACCCTGCCTCTGTGCCTGCCGTGCAGCTACAGACTGGAGTGCAGCCATCTGGGGACAGAGTGCTCTCCCAGAGGCTGCTGGAGGCCACCTCAGAGGAGCAGAACCCGCTGCCAAAGCCCCCCGAACCGGGGCGTCCCTCTGCGCAGCAGCCAGCAGCGCGCTCAGAGCAGCCGGCTGTGAGTGGGGCCAAAGAGGTGGAGAGCAAAGCCCAAGGCAGGACAGAGACTCTGAAAGAGGAAGGACCAGCAGATCTGCGGATCTTTGAGCTGAACTCTGACAGTGGGAAGTCCACCCCTTCCAACAACGGCAAGAAAGGTGGGTGTGGACCAGCCTGGCAACCTGCTGTGTGGCAGCTTTTGAGGAAGGGGCTCAGAATGGAAAGCAGGGTGCAGAATCTTGGGCTTGGAGCTCTGATGCTGGCCGTGCAGATAATGGGGTCAGTTGGGCCTTTTGACAAAACATTAAGACCAGGTAACATCCTAATTGACCCACGGAGAGATTTTCTGCTGTGCAGATCTCTGTCCCAGCCCGCTGTTCCCTGAATTGCTGTCTGGAACATATGAGAAGCCAAGCCCTGGTTCTTTGCTTTGGTGATAATGGAGGGAAGAGAAAAGAAATCAAAAGTGTCTGCTGAGCAGAGCAGCTTTTGCTTTGGCCAGAGTGCCTGGAGAGCAGCTGCAGCCCGGGTGGCTCAGCTGTGGTGTTTGTGGTTCCAGGTTCCAGCACTGATATCAGCGAGGACTGGGAGAAGGACTTTGATTTGGATATGACTGAAGAGGAGGTGCAGCTGGCGTTGTCCAAGGTGGAGGTGTCTGGGGAGGTGAGTTGGGGCTGCCAGTCACTCAGATGGAGGAGAGCTCTGCTCCCAGAGGGCGCCAGCATTTCAGCTCTGCAGGGTCGTGGGGATGAGGATTATCTGGAGCAGAGGGTGGCGTCCAGATGTGCTCAGCGAGGGAGGAGTGTTCCCCAGGGAGAGCTCAGCAAACAGATCCCTGCTGTCCGGACGTGGAGCTGGGGGTTGTGCAGGCTCAGGTGCCCTGGGAAGGAGGATTTCTCAGCAGATGGCCGCTGAGTTGCAGAAACAATTGAGGGATGTTATTCTTGTTTGCAGCTGGAAGATGAAGAGTGGGAAGACTGGGAATAAAGCAACGGCTTCCAGCTTATCACAGGCTCATTTCCACCATCGAATGTGAATTAAATCACGGACCGGCTATTCCTTTGTGTGTAACTGTGCTGGGGATTGCAGCTCCTGGCTGAAGGAGTTTTACTCCTGCTAAATCCTGTGGGCAACTCAAACGACCCCTTCAGACCCAGAGGAGGGGGGAAGAAGTGGGAATTTGCTCGTACACTTTAAGCTGCGGGGGAGCTCATCTTCTGAGGAGGTCCGAGAGAGTGGCGAGGCCAAAACTGACAGCCCCAAAAGCATCAGGTGGAGGCAGATGCAATGCAGTGAGGGGCTGAGTGGGCACTTGGGCAGCTGGCAGGATTGCTTGGTGCTGTCAGACTGCCTGTTGGGTGATGGTGTGTGTGTGTGTTTAATCTGTGTGCAGCAGCTCAGAGGTTCCCAGGTGCTGCTCCTGCTCGCTCTCTGAGCTGCTGGCTCATCGCCCCCGTTGTGGGGAGCGGCTGGGGCTGGAGGTACTGCAGCAGAAGTGTCTGCTGTCAACTCACTGCTGCAAAGGAAAGCAGTTGGCTTTTGGCTTTGGCCTGAAGCTGGGCCGCGCTGGAAGGAGCTAAACTCCCTGCCAAACCCTTAGCTTCTGCCTGGCTTTTTGTCTTGGAAGCTTCTTCTAATGGAAACTCCTGTCTCCTGCAGCAAGAGCAATGGCTCCTCTAAGAGCCAAGGCTTGATGTTGTGCTCTTTGCAGCTAAAACAGCTGCACTGCCTTTCTCTACTGCGTTTTGTGTACTTCTATTAAACTCTCCAAGCAGAGTGCTTGTGGCTTGCTCTTTCCTGAGCCCTTCCTGGGTGGGCGGTGCTTTGGGTCAGCCTGGAGCAGCACCCTGCTGCACCGGTGCCCTTAGCAGAGCTGCAGCCACCCCTTTGTCTGCCCCACAGGCCGCCCTCTGCTCATTTGGTTTCCTTCACTTGAGCCCCTGCGACTGCTTGCAATGCTTCCTTCAGCCCCAGCGCCCCTTTCCAGGGCAGTTCCCTCTTAAGGTCAGGAGATGCTCCTCACTGGAAGTCAGGAACAGGAGGTTCCCTAAGGGGGCGGAGCTGTGCTTGGCCTTTTGGGAGGTGGTTTCATACCTGCTACCTTTGTTCTTCTGCCCCTTCCTTGGCTGCTTCATTTGAGCTGTGGTTTCCTCATTTCTAGTTGCATTAGTGTAGGTGCTCTTGGAAAACTTGATATTGTTCTCCCCACGTTTGGGGACATTCAAACGCGGCCGCCGATGCGTGGGTTGGCGGCAGCACCGACTTGAGGCCCTTACATGAGAGCTGCTTGTGCTGCAGAACCCACGAGGAGCAGGGACTGAATGCAGCTCAGCTCCCACAGCGTCCAGCAGAGCCTCTACAACCTGCACAGCCTCACCTGTGGGCTGCGTTTGGCTCCAGCAGAAAAACCTGTTGTGAGCAAATGCCGGGCAGCCGTGGGGCAGCTCCTGCTGTGGGGCTGCTGCCGGGGCGGGCGCTCAGGGCTGCGCTCCCTGGGTCTGTGAGTCAGGCTGGATGCAGAGCTCTGGGGCTGCGCTGCCCTTGCGTGTCTCTTTCCTTTAGTCAAATTAACCATTTGGTTGTCTGTGCAATATTCTCTGTTTGGAACTATTCCACATCTCCCTGAGCCTTTTCTAGCTGGGGTGAAAAACCAGGAACAATTCTAACAGCTGGTAGTTTTGTAACAATGACTTTCTCCAAACCTTTTACAGACTTGCAGTTAACAGCAATTAAAAGAATTCAGCAGTCGCCACCTGTGTCCTCGTTTCTTTTGCCTGTTGTGGGCTGGGGACAGCTGCCTCCAGAGGATCAACCGCTTTAAATTTCTATTTGCTTTCCTCCCCCTCACCTCAAGGGAAGTTTACTTAGTGGGGAGGGGGACGGGGACATGGGGGTGGATCCTCTTGGTCTGCTCTGTTCCCTGCTGCTGAAGGCCGGGGGCTGTGAGGGAGCGGGTAAAAATGGCCGGGTGTGAAACACACCTCGTCTCCGGCAGCGATCGTGAGGCTGAATTAGTGGGAAACACTGACATGCGAGTTTATTGGCATCCTGGAAGCAATTCCTCCCTGTAGGAGGGAGCGGGGCGAGCGCTTCTCAGGGTCTGGCCAGCCAGGGGTGCCTGCTGAGCCGCTCCACCGAGGGCCGCAGGACCATGTCTGGTTCCAGGAGCCTTTTCAGGAGGTCCTGGCACAACCTGGAGACCCGCAGGTGCCTGGGCAGGGAGACGCCTTTCTGCTGCTGGCACAACATCTGCGGGATGTTGGTGTCGTCGAAGGGCAGCTGGGCGCACAGCAGGACGTAGAGGATGACGCCCAAGCCCCAGACGTCGACCTTGCGGCTGTCGTGAGGCACTCCGTGCAGCACTTCGGGCGCCGCGTAGGCCATGCTGCCGCAGAAGGTGCGGCTCAGCTCCCGGCTGCCTGCAGGGAGCCGCTTGGCGAAGCTGAAGTCCGTCAGCTTCACGGTCTGGCCCTGCAGCAGCGCGTTCTCGCACTTGAGGTCACGGTGAGCCACCCCGCAGCTGTGGCAGTACTGGATGGCCTCCACCAGCTGGCGGAAGATCGCCCTGGCGCGGTGCTCGGGCAGGGGACCCTTGTGAGCCACGTAGTCAAACATGTCCCCGTCCTCGGCCAGCTCCATCACCAGGTAGATCTTCCCCTCTGCAGACTCCAGCACCTCGTACATGCGGATGATGTTCTTGTGGTCCAAGCGCTCGACGATCTGCAGCTCCCGGGGCAGGAATTTCTGAATGAACTCTGCCAAGAGGAGGAAAATTCACTGTCAGTTCCTGAGTCGCTGAACTCCGGCACCTGGCCTGGCTGCAGCCACAGGGTGGGAAGGAGGGGAGGTTGTGCCGTGGGTGCCTGGCTCCTCGCAGGACCCTTATCTGCGGGGGATCTGAGCTCTGCTGCTTCTGGCCGCCTCTGCAGTTGGAGGAGCCGGTCAAACCAACCCCCCCTGGGCTGTGGCCCCCCGGCTGCTCTGCGCTGCCCTCAACACCTGCCTTCCCTGTCTGCTCTTAGGTGGAAAGTTTGGGAAACTCACTTTCCGGCAGGAATGAAAAGCTTTCAAGGAGGGATGGTGCCTCAGCCTGGAAGCTCTTTGAGGCTACTTCTTACCTTCTGGACTTGCGCTCTTATCAATTATTTTAATTGCTACTTTCTTCTGGTGCTTATGGGAAAAGGCCTCCTTCACTTTGGAGTAAGCTCCCTCCCCAATGGTTTTGCCAAGCTGGTAGCCATTGGTAAGCAAAAACTCCTCCATGTTCTCTCACACACTGGGGCTGTTCAATCTCAGGTCTACCCCAGCAACTCGACAACAGCATCACAGTGGCCAGGGGACCCCCGTGCCCTCTGCTGGCATGCGTAGGGCCACCAGGCCCTGCTCATGCCCTGGTGGGAAGGGGCATCGAGGCACCTCCTGTGGCCTGGGCGTGCTATTGTGATGCAGCTGATGCTGCGTGAATCCCAGATGACGGATGTGATCCAGGTGGGCGACCGCTCTGCCAGGCAGGGGGGGATCAGGCTGCGCTGAGCTCAGTGGGCACCGTGAGTAGGGAGCTCATGGCATGGAGGAGCGCGGGGCGGGGGGCTGCCAGGGGCCCCACGTGTTCCTCTCCCACTTTCCTCGGGGCGGATCGGGGTGAGGCAGAAAGGCTTTCAGAGCCGGTGGTCAGAGAACGCTTTGCTGCAGCAGGGAGGGGAGCCCAGGGCCGTGCCACGAGCTCTGTGCCGGGCTGCGCTCCTTCCCTTCCACTGCAGCCTCACATCTGAGCTGAGTTCGGCAGCTCCAGCGCCTGCAGCCCAACCGGGCCGGGCTCCTTCGCCTCGTGAGGGCGAGGAACGGCCGCAGCGAGGAACGCAGCCAGGCCCCGCGCCGCGGCTCACCTCGCTGACAGCCGCTTCTCCGCACGCACAGGCAGCCGGGCCCGGACATGAGCTCCCAGGAAGCGCCGCGGGCCCGGAGGTTCCCCATCGAGGCAGGCGATTGTCGCAGAGCGGCCACAGCGTTGGAGACACAGCAGCGGGTGGGCACCGCATGGACCGCGGGCAGGTGAGGGTCCGGCGGGGCTCCCCTGGTGCTACGCGCTGTGCTCTGCCGTCCCTGCGCTCACCCCGCTCTCCCTGCAGACAGCTGCGACGATGCCCCGCGAACCACTGCCTGACGCTGCCCCACGTCCCCGTTGATGTCTTCATTGCCATGGGAGGGAACTGCCGGCCACGCAGCACCTGATGCCGCCGCGCCACGCAGCCCGGGAGCAGCGAGGGACGCGGATCCTTTATGCACTTTGTAAAGAAAGGACATCCTACAGCGTTTCCGCGCCTGCTGTCCTCTCTGGGTCACCGAGCCGCGCGTGGCGGTGCGGCTGTTCGCCCCCAACGGCTGCCCTGGGGTCCCGGGGCCGCCCGCTCCCGGCTCAGCGAGGCCGGGAGGGCGGCCTGGGAACGGGTAACGGGGAAGGGTTAGCTCAGGGGATGGGGCTGTGCGCTCCGGTTGGGGCTGACGAGAGCGGGGGTCGGGAGGGGACGGCGCTCGGGGGACGCGGACGGCGAGAAGGTCCGCACGCGGGCGGCGAGGTTCGGCCCCGCCCCCTCGCATCGCCCCGCCCCCCCGCCAGAAAGGGGCGTGGCCTCCGCGTTTGGCGCCGCGCGGTTCCTCTCGGCCGCCGTCGGCCGCCCGCTCCCCGCCCTCCCGCTCCCGCCGCCATATTGTGGCCGCCGCCGCTCGGAGCCGCCGCCGGAGGAGCGTCCGCCCGGGGACCCGCGATGGGTGAGGGCGGCGGGGCCGGGCCGCGCGCTCGGAGCCGCGGTGCCGTCCAGCTGGGGCCGAGCCGCCCGCACGCGGGCGGTGCCGGCCGCTCCCGTCTCGGGGCCGCGCACTGAGTCATCCCGGGGCGGCGGGCCGGGGGGCGGCAGCCGCGAGCGCGACCGTCGGAGGCGGCAGCCGCCGGAGCTCCGCGGAGCCGCGTGCCGCTCTCGGGCCTCTCTCGGCGCTCGGGGCGGCGGCGGTGCGGGCCGTGCTTCCGCGCGGAGCCGTTGGGCGCGGCCGCCGCTGTCGGTTTGCGGCTCCGGAGCCGTTCGCGTTCCGCGCGCTCGGAGGTCGGGGCGGTGCCGGGCTCTGTGCCGCCGCTCCCGTCACTCGGCCGGCCGTTGGCGGCTCGGCGTTGTTCGGGATCTCTCGGCTGGGCGCGGCTGTGAGCGCTGCGGCGGCTCTGAAGGCTTCGTCCCGTCCCGCCGGCCTTCCTGGCGGCGATCGCCCAACGCCGTTCTCTTTATCGGTGTAACGTCGCTCGCTTTTAAGACGAACGAAGTTCGGGTTTTCGCTGTTCCCGGCGAACGGCCCGAGCTGCGGGGCTGCGCTGCCGGCCCTGCTGTGCTCTGGGCGCTCCGGCTCCTCCCGTTGCCGTGCGCTCGCACGCCCGCGTGTGTTCGCTCTGCTGTGCTGAACGGACCCGCGCAGCCGATGGATCCCGGATCCCGTTGGTTATTTGGCTGCTTTGCTTTGTTTGCTCGAGTTGAGGCGAGCAAACACGAACTTTGTGAAGGGGAGCTGCGCTGTTAATGGTGGTCGGTGTCAGAGCTGAAGTGCCCCTTTCTTCAGCACTGTGCTTCTCGTCTGTGCTGCTTGTGAGGTCTGGAGAAATGCACCGATGGAGCTCAGTGCTGGGTGCAGCTGCTGCAGAGCTCTGCTGGGCCGGCTGAGCTTCTGGGATGCTGCTGCGTTTGGCCACTGTGAGTGGCTTTAGGACTCTGTAACGCTGCAGCCTCGGGTTTGAGGTGACTCAAAGTTAATCTTCATTGCAAGGAGTGTCACAGGGGCTCTCTGCCCCCTGACAGGAGGCTGTTATCCCTCACGCATCATCAGTGTGCTCCTAAGGGAGCTGTAGGCCCTGGGATGTGCAGAGAGGGCCTAAAGCTGCCAATCCCTGGCTCCAGGACTGCAGGGACAAGAGGAGGAGATGGAGCTGAAACATAAGCGGTTCTCATACAGCCAGGCTCGGAGCCGAAGGGCTGCCACTGTTGGACTCAGCCTGGTGAAAGTCAGAGGTGCTGCAGCCCCAGTCCTTCCCCAGAGGATTCCCGCTCCCTCCCCCCGCAGCCGCTGGGCTCTGTGCATTCCAGTCGTGCTGGAATCGCTGCTCCCGGTGGCCAAAGCAGTGGGATGAGCCGGGCGGCCCAGAACCGTGCACATAAGTGTTTGGTTGGCACAGGCTGTGCTGCACACGGAGTGCCTGGCCTCGGCTGCACGCTGCGTTTGGGAGCGCTCTGAAAGGGTGCTGCTGAGTGTAAGAAACACGGGAGGACGCGCGGTGGGGCAGAACTCGGGGCAGGCTGCTCCGGGGGGCTGTTCTGCAGCTCTGACACAACTGGGGGAACGGCCTCACACTGCTGCTTTTTGATGGCACTGCTTACAGAACTTCTTGTCTTCCTGCAAGCAGAACTTCTCAGCTTCCTTTTCTGTCGTCTCCTAAGCAGTTCCGTGGGTCTCCCCCAGTGTCCTTTGCACTGCGAAACTATCAAAATTGCGGGGAGACAAAACAACGAGCTCCCAGGAACACGTTTGTGTTCTTGGCTGATGTCTGGCGGCGGTTGGGAGCTGACCTTGTGCAGTGGGTGCAGGCAGTTCAGCTATCTGTATTTGCTGCTGCTAACTTCATTTAACCTGTATTCAAGGAGCACAGATTATTTAGGCTTCGCTTTCTCCATTACCAGTTGAAATCATTAAAATGCTGTGGACGCAGCTTGGAATGGAATCCCCTGGTCAGGTACCGGGTCTGTAGCTGCAGTTCTGCAGAACCTTTATGCTGTGGTGTAAAACAACTGCTTCAACATCGCTTTAAGAACCAACTAAAGAAAAACGTGATGTAAAGTGCATTAAATCTGAGGTTCAGAACAACTTTTGTCTGTTGCTTCTCAAACTTCAGCAACTGCAGCAGGTGAGCACATGAACCAGAAGCTGTCATGGGTGCCTGCAGAAGATTGCCCTCGTTAAGGGTGTTTTGGCTTTAAAAAAAAAAAAAAAAAAAGCCATGTCAAATCTCAGTGTAACTGTTTCTGTTCTGCCCCTTCAGTCTGACTCAGCAGCACCAGTCCTGATTTAGGCATGCGAGTTCCTGCAGTGACTCAGCTGGGAGCTTTAATCAGCAGCTGAAAAACTCTTTGAAGCGAATGCTTTCTGTAGTGCAGGGCGGTGGGAGGAAGGTCATCTGCAAAGAAGTGAGGTTGGGTTTCTGATTCAGTAATGCTAAGAAGCTGTTACAATGTTGGTGGGGCAGTAGAGACCCTGGATTTGCTTTGTGGCTGAATGCTGTGGTTGGTGTTTGGCTTCCACGCGGGTGCTTGCAGTCTGAGTGCTCTGCTGATCCCTGGTCCAACTCCCACCCTGCTTTTCCTTCTCCCATAGGTGATAAACACGTTCTCATCGTGCAGTATGTGGTAAGGAGGAATGGCTGTGAGGGAATTCTCAGCTCACAGGACGCTTGAAATCATTCCCAGTATGAATTATCTTGATTAAAGCCCGGCTTTGATTTAAGCGTGCTGGTTTTGATCAATGATTTGTTCCCAGAACTTGTCCAGCAGTGCTGTTGGTCAGGCAGGCTTGAGCTCAGCTTGTTGCCTGCACAATTCTGGGGCTGGAAATCCTGCTTCCGTGAAGGGACGATGCTGGGAGGCTCGGCTGGGTGAGTTCTGAGCAGTGAGCAGCTGCAGGCTCTGCCACAGGGGTTTGTCTGCAGCGCAGCCTGCGTGCTGCAGCCCAGCTGGAGGGGCTCCGCAGGTCGCTCTGGTGGGGCTGCAGCCCCGGTGCTGCGGGAGGAGCAGCTTTGTGCTGAGCTGCTGCCGAGTGCTGCAGGTACAGCAGAGCCAGGACCTCTCCTGGAATGGCATCAGAACAGTTCTGTAACTCAGGGCGTGGGCTGATACTATCTGGATTTAAGGCAGGGCTTTGTTGGCTCTTAGAGAAAAACCTTCCCTAGGAGAGGTGCGGTGTAATCATACTGGTTTGATTGGCTGCCTAAATGCGGCTAACAGAAACATACTTTAAGGAGCCACCACAGTCACCTTAACCAGGAGCTTTTCTGTAAAAGGAGAAATTTCTCAGAGCAGCATTTTGTATATGAAGTCACACAGTGGAAATGTGTGGCTTGAGAATTGTCGGTGTCACACGGAAATGAGCGGGTGATTGCTTTTCCTAATCAGAAAATCCCAATTATTCTGCCGCTGTGATTCGGTGGCATCACTGTGTGGGTATTCACACTGGGAGGGCTTGAGTCAATAGCTAACGCTGCAGAAGCCTGACTGCAGGTGTAGAGGATGCACAAATACTACAAGTAAAGAATTGGATCGTGCTTGGTGCGCTGCTGCGTGTTTTGTTTCGTGTGTTTGCACTTTGCTTCGCAGTCTGGTGCCTACAGCATCTGCTGAGCTCACAGCAAAGTCACAATCTTGCATCTGGGACCTTCATCAGTTGCCATAGAAATGGAATGTATTGTAACAAACTGTTGTTTTGACACTGTCAGAGTAGTGAGATAGATGGTGGGCTGGAAAAAGTCAATGGGAAGAACCTGAAGAGAGAAATGTGTGCAAGATAAGGAGAACCAAGAGCCCACGAGGTGCTGCGTGCTGGTGTGCGGCGGCCGTACAGCTGGCGTGCAAAGATCCTCCTCGGGCTGGCTGGGGCCTTTGGCTTCCGTGCAGTTTCAGGTGGCTTTGAACGCTGCTGAAACCCAAAGCCTGGAAGTCGGCCGTGCAGCTCTGAGCCCACAGCCTCAGCTGAGCTGCCGTGTGGCACCAGGTTTGCGTGGCCTGTCTGCATCACCTGCGCCGTGCGAAGCCTCTGAATCGCTTTTTGCTCCTCCTGTTCTTAAAAACTACCTTTTCCTTGTAGACCTTGCCTTCCAAAGGGAATTAGGAAGTTTGTCTTTATTAGGGTTAAGTTGCAGCCTTTTCCAAATCAAGCTATTGGCTGTTGTGTGCATTTGCTGCGCAGACCAGAGGATCTTGATTTGCGGCGGTTTTTTCTTTATCCGCTGTTTCTCACAGGAGTGTCCTTGGTATTTTAGCTAGGGAAGGGGATGCTCTCTTAAAAAACAAGTCCTGTGAAAAGAGAAGGGTTTTTTCCTTGATGTTCAGTGTCTCCAATTGTTGAAAACCTCCTGAAAGCGTTTCCTCTTATGCTAATGTAGGAATTCTTCCAGTTGCCTCTTCTCTCAGCAGCAGTGAAGGCTGGATGTTTGCACCTGGAATTGCCTTTCTCCAGTGCTGTGGGTGCTCCCGTAGGGCAGTGAGGCCCACAGCATCCCAAGCTGATGGTGGGAGGGTTCCAGCCTGGCTGGAGGCAGCTGATAAGGCAGACTTGGACTTTCTGTAAGCAGTGGCTCTGGTGCTTAAAATTCGAAGGAGATGTTAATGACGTAGGGCCACAGACTTTCACAGGTATTTCTTGCAGCAGCTGAGGACAAGTGGAAGAAAATAAAGATACTGATGTCCAGCTGACGGTCAGAGAGGAGTAATTTGGTCTCGTTAATTGGCAGTTTGCTGTGGGTTATCATTGCTTCCTTCCTGTCCTGTGGAGGGTGTGGAACTGAAGTCAAACAGCCTTCCTCATGAATGGGAGAGGGGGGGTGTTTGGGAAGCTCTGTGCTCAAAACAGGGGAGTGCAGCCGGACGGGGCTGAGGAGTTGATGTCTGTGTGCTGCTGGTTGGTCTCTGCCTGCTGGTGCTGCTCGGTGCTGGTTGGTGTCGCTGCCCTGGGCAGGAGGCAGGTGTGCCAGGAGTGAAGCTGCAGTTCTGCTGAGGCAGATATGGAGCAGCAGAAGTAGGTCAGGTGCTGAACGCTCGCAGTCATCTGGCAGGACAAACAGCCTATGATACGTACTGCTAATCTTTCTGCAGTGTTTTTAACTGGAACTGTAAGATAAAGGCCTCTATTTACTGCACGCTGTTGGATTTCTGCCATGTGTGTGTTTTTGTGTTTTGGTGCTCTCACAGCCTGCTCCAAGGCACTGCAGTTAGTTCAGCTACGGAGTGACAATCTGGCTGTCTGAGTGTGGGGAAGCGTCCAGGTGTGGTTGTGCCATGAGGATACGAGGGAAATGGGTTCTGCTGGAAACTGGAGCTCGGCTGTTGCCTCCTGAGGATGGCAAAGCTGTTTGAGGAGAAGCTTTTCGTGTTGGCCGTGTGCATCAGTGCTGTGAAGTTGGACCCAGGTTCCTTTCAGAGCGGTGAATCTGCTCTGCTTCCTGTGAACTCGATATTTTTGTCTTAACTGCACATCATTGGAGCTGATGTCAGGATGCCTTGTTGTAAGGCAGAGCTTCTTCCTTCAGCACTACGTGTTCTGGAGGCACTGCTTCACCTGCCTGCTCTGCTTGAAGGGACGCGCGGGTGGAGGAGTGCAGAGTGACCAGGAGCCTGAGGCCTCTTCTTCCGTTCACAGACAGCATGGCGAGTCCTGCGAAGGACAACTATCGAATGAAGTGCTACAAGAACAAAGCCCTCAATCCTGAGGAAATGCGTCGGAGGAGAGAAGAGGAGGGAATTCAGCTGCGCAAACAGAAACGAGAGCAGCAGGTGAGGCTCACCTCGACTGGTTGGTGTGCAGCCTTAATGCAGCCAAGGCTGTGCTGCTGCCTAACCGGGGCACTCAAGGATCTGTGCATTAAGGTTTGTTGGCAGCCCTGGTTATTTCTGTCCTGAGATCTCTTTTCCTCTGTACACGATCACATCAAGAGCCCTCCAGGCGCTTCGGGGCCCTAAAGGTTTTTGTTCACAGGTCCTTGGTTTTAAGGTTTGGTTTTGTTAATTAGTAAATGGGGGTCTTGCTCCAAGAAGCGAGACAAGTGGAAGTGTGCACTGCATGTATTTCTTGACTCTGAGCTGTTGGGTTTTTTTCTGCTTGGAAGTCTGAAAGTGAGAGGTGATTCCCAGGTGATGCGTGTGGCTCAGACTGGTTGCATCACCTACAAGCTGCCCTCTCCCTGCTTTTCCCAACTTGTTAGGCCAAATTCTGCACTTGCATATGCCCGTGTTTCACTGACTTGGGCGTTTGCGTATCTGAGGGCGAGGCTTAGCAGGCTTTATTATCAGGGTTTGTGTGCCAAGCTGCTCTTCACTGTGCAGAGCTGTTACTGATGACTGCTTTTTTTCAACTTGGATTGCACTTAGTCACAGCTGACAGTATCTCGTTTGAGGAGCAGGGACATCTAGTTATGAAGACTGTTAAACAAACACTGCTTTCTAATAACTGCTGTGCTCCGTTCTCTGCCAGCTCTTCAAAAGAAGAAACGTGGAATTAATCAGTGAAGATGCATCCATGTTTGACAGCCTCCTCATGGACTCCTATGTCAGTTCCACGACGTGTGGGGTAAGGCGCCTTTCCCTGCAGTCACACCTTCGGGCCTCGTGCTTTGGAGCTGACAAATCTCCACCTGTTTGTTTCCCTGCTGTTGCAAACATTACTACAACCGACTGGAGAAGCGTGCCAGGAACCAGACAGTGTGCCTTAATCTCTAATAGCACATCCCTGGGTTACTAGCTGAGAACAAAATTGTGGTAGGCTGTCTTGACTGTGATACCTGAAATAAGCTTAACGTGACATGGAACTGCTGTTCTGTTTCCTTTCCATCCTTAAGGAGGGAGTGATCACAAGAGAGATGGTAGAGATGCTTTTCTCAGATGACCCTGATCTTCAGCTAGCAACCACACAGAAATTCAGGAAGTTACTTTCTAAAGGTAAAGACAACATCCCCACCACGGGGGCTGACAGCCTTTTATGTGTTTGTGTGCTTGCAGTGTTGTACAGAAGCATTGTGCTTATTAAAAAACAAGCATTATGTTTGAGGCAGGCTGTAATATTAAGTTTGGATGAATTTTACTGAAAGCTCCTCTGCGAGCTGATCTGCTGCACTCGGTGCAGCCTGGGGTCACTCAGCTCAACAGCTGCACATGTTGTCATTCACCTCTATGAGACCTGTATACTGTTTTGATCTTGCGTTGCTGTTTCAGAGCCAAATCCTCCAATAGATGAAGTGATAAACACTCAAGGAGTGGTGGACAGATTTGTGGAGTTCCTGAAGAGAAGCGAGAATTGCACACTACAGGTAAAGGAGGCTGCTGAACCCTGCCTGCAAAGCAGTGCGAACCTGGGGCTGCTGTGGGAGGCAGGTGATGTCTGGAACCCAGAGTGTGCAGATGTGATGCACGGTAAAGCTGCTGATAATGCTTGAAAGGGGAAGGAAAAAAAAGGCAGTTATAATTTAGCCTCCATTGAGCTCTTGGAAGAATCCTGGCAAAAATAAGCAGAAGCTACGTTCCAGTTGCAGCCGAGGGAAATGTGGCTTTTCTGCGTCTGATGTTTCTTACGTGGGCAGGCATGGAGTAAACGTGCAGGAATCAGTTGCTTCAGCAAAGCCCTCGGGTGTGGGGGCAGAGAGTGTTGGAAATGGCTTCAGTGGTGCTGACCTGTGTGGGGCAGAGGGACGGGCGAGGGGCTCCTGAGCGTCCTTCCAGTTTTGGTAATAACTACAGTTATCTTGGAGGGGCCAGAGGTGCTTCCATGGCTGCAATTGGATCTCAGAGTCGATAGCTGCCTTTGTTTTTTCTATCTGCTGTGTGGCCCAGGGCCGTGCAGTGTGAGGAAATTCCCTGCAGGAAGTGAATGAAAGCCTGCGCTCTAATTAAGACACGAGTGCAGAAGTCGATCCTTGGTGCTCAGCTGGTCTTGAACTCAAGGCATCTTCCTGCTAGTAGCAGGATGAGGGTGCGCTGAAACTGGTTGCACTGAACAGATGAAACTTGTTATCCTGTGTATTTCTGGGCTGTACATCTTCACTCTTCATGCTGGAAAATGGTCATGTGAGCAAAATAATGTGGTGTGAGTGGCATTTAACAAGCAGTAGCTTTGCTGTCATCCTTTGAGAAATTGTGGTCTCTGAGAAGGCGTCTAGCAGAGATGGTTGTTTTCTAATTGCTCAAGAAAATCTTTGAGTACTGAGGTGTTTTATTTGGGGAATGCTTTCTTTTTCAATAGAAGAGTTTGTGCTGAGACTTCCTGGCAGATCCTGCTACGTCTGGGTTACTTTATTCACGTCCCCTCATTTCTGCTTTTTTCAGTTTGAGGCAGCGTGGGCACTGACGAATATTGCATCAGGAACTTCCCAGCAGACAAAAATAGTAATTGAGGCCGGGGCAGTTCCTATCTTTATAGAGCTGTTAAACTCTGACTTTGAGGATGTTCAGGAACAGGTAAGGCTCACTTCTCACTTTGGGGTTGGGGGAAGAACCACACGTGACTGAGGCTCAGTGTTCAAAATGAGTGGCTGGTCTGGCAGCTGGCTGCAGCCCGCGAACTGGAGAGCCTTTTTCTTGGACTTCCAGGAAAGTGCTTTCTTAGCAACCACCTTTTTCTTCCTCTGTTCAGGAACTGTGTGAATGCTAAAACTGTTGCTATTTCCTTTCAGGCTGTCTGGGCATTGGGGAACATTGCTGGAGACAGCTCTGTGTGTAGAGATTATGTCCTTAACTGCGCTATCCTTCCTCCCTTGTTAATGTGAGTAGCCATGAATACTTGCCAGTACAGTTCTCGAAGTCCCATTGTATGCAGCAGAGCAATATTTGAGCTGGGCAAATGGATTCCCTAGAAATGTGATGATGGGAATCGAACTATTGGTACCGGATGATAAACTGGCAGTTCAGACAAGCATATGATTGATAGTGGGACTTGGTAGATAACATGCCTTCTCACAAACCTTTACACTGCTCTGAATCTGAAGTGGGTGCTGCTGCAGTGTGCTTGCCTCTCTGAAGCCACAGGGCTTCCTGTTTCCCTGCGTCCCTCAAACTGCCTGCTCTGTGCTTGTGCTGTGGATTTCACGTGCTGGTCTGAGTGGAATTCTGTAGCACTGAGGAAAGGGAGCAGGTCTGCAGGTGTGGAACACACTCACCACAGGCAGAAGACGCGGCTGCTGCGTGTGCTCTCACTGCTCTGGGAATAATTGCTTATAGCTGCTCATCCTTGGCAAAATGATGCTTTGTCACAAATGCTCTGGTTCGCTCACTTGTGCTTCTGTCAGCCCCTTTTGGGCAGTAGTTGCCTGAGCCTTTCTCAGCCCACGGGCTGCGCTCTCTTCACCACAGAGCAGAGGGACAGCAGTTGGTGTCGGTTGGTCACCGAGAACCACCTGACAGATTGGGGTGCGAGTGTCTGGGCTGAATTTGAGTGTGGAACTGCATTTGATTGTCTTGCATTTCCTTCTGCAACCTATCTACCGCGGTTTGCCTTCCTGTTCTGTGTCACTGAGCTTTAGGAAACGAGCTGTTTATTCTAGCAGTTGTATTTCACCTCTCTTCGTGCTTATTGAGAGCCTCAGGTGACAAACAGTGTGGCAAATGGAACAGTGGATTGACTTCCTTACAATTGTTAGGTTTTTTCTCTCTTGTTTTGTTTCCTTTGTCTATTTCCACTAACTTGTGCTCTGTGCTGAGGATATAATTCATGGTACTTGTCTCTTCAGGCTCCTTACAAAGTCCACCAGGTTGACAATGACACGGAATGCTGTTTGGGCCTTGTCAAACTTGTGCAGAGGAAAGAGTCCACCACCTGAGTTTGATAAGGTGAGAGTAAATGCCTTGCTGGCAGATGGGGAGGGGAGGCACCCAGTCAAGATGTTTGTCTAAGTTATTTTTGGCCGTTGGACTTCTGCAAGGTGTTCTGGGAGGGAGCAGGGTGAGGTTCTTCCTGCTGAGGTTGATCTTGCTGTTCAGCAGATGTTTGAGTGCCTGTTTAATATTCTGCCAGCCTGCATGCATGGCTCTGTTGGCAGCCCTTACCCAGGTGAGGGGCAATCTGATCTTCCAAACAAGCAGCACGTGCTGTGAGCTTCCCTTCTTGTCATGAACCCTGGAAGTTTGCAGCTTTGCTCAAATTGTGACTGGAAATTCAACTGAGATGCCAAGCTGCTGTAAGGCCTCTGTAACTACGTATCAGCTTCCCCCTTTCATGGTGCTTCAGTGGCACCAGCAAAAGATTCTGCTGGCTCTTCAGGTCCATCTTTTTTTTTTTCTTCTTTTTTTTTTTTTTTTGTAGAACTGAAATAATTTAAGATCAGTGTGTGCTTTTGTTCTGTTTCCTTTCTTTCAATTGGAAGTGTGCTCATCAAAGCTGGGAAGCCTACAGGGAAGGGGAAAACATTAAATTGCGTGTAAATGTGAGCGCACTTCTGATGGCTTCTGCTCTGAATGCTGAACTGCTTGGGGGTTGGAGGAGCAGTGCTCTTAGATAAGAAATGTGAGGAGCTTCTGAACTGCAGCACGAGTAGGAGCACTTCATCAGGGGTCTGTGCTCCAAAGGAGCTGCTGAATTTCAGAAGGAAGTGTGATGTGCAGCACTGCTGTCCTGCTGGTCAGCACAGCCTCGTGTGGATGTGGTGGTGTGCAGCAGGACTGACCTTGTGGGCTGCTCTGTTGCAGGTATCTCCCTGCCTGCCAGTGTTGTCCCGACTGTTATTCAACAGTGACTCTGACTTGCTGGCAGACGCGTGCTGGGCTCTTTCCTATTTGTCAGATGGCCCCAATGAGAAAATTCAAGCAGTTATTGACTCGGGGGTGTGTCGGCGACTGGTCGAGCTGTTAATGTAAGTATCTTGTCTTGCTGCCTCAGCCCTGCAGGTGACTGAGCCTGAGTTCATATCACAGTGCACCAGAGTGTTCCCTGCCTTGTGGGTGCAGGGTCCAGGTCCTTAGCTGACAGCTGGAGCCTGAGAGGGTCTGCAGTGGGTGGAGAGCTGCAGTTGTTGCCTTGCAGAAGACGCATCTGTTCCCTAGGAAGAGTGTACCAAGCAGAGGTTCAAGCTGATAGTTGGAGTAGGCTGTAAAGAGAGGACTGAGCACTGCACCAGTTGGCACAGTCTTTGTTCAGGAGTGGAATGTAAACATTGAGATCTGTAATAACCCTGAAGATAAGTTGGGGTGTAAAGGATAACACTGCCTGTATCGTGAGTTCGGTTTGAGCTGGGGGTGGAATCCAAAGTGAATAATGCAGGCGGGGGGCTGGAGAGTGGATCTTGAAAGCAGCCGGGCAGGTGGTGAGACGTTTGTTCTTGCGCCATCCCTCCTGCAGGCACAACGACTACAAAGTGGCCTCCCCAGCACTGCGGGCGGTCGGCAACATCGTGACAGGAGACGACATCCAGACCCAGGTGAGGGCAGGGCGGCCTGCAGAGGCAGCAGAAGGAGCAGCGCTCCTGGGCAGCGCGGCCCTCCTGTATGTGCAGCGAGTTCCTACAGCCAAGGTGCCCAGAACACTCGCTCATCTCGGCGCTTCGCTGTTCCAAAGGCTGTTCCAAAGTTTTGGTGCAAAGAAAAACGTGGTTTTGAGATACAGAGATGGAGTGGCAGACATTTCTTTATTGCACAACGCTGCCTTTCCTTCCCTCTTCTTAAAAGGTTGGGGAGAGAAAGGCAGTGCCCATGCAGCATATCCACTGTGTGAAAGCAAAGCATTTTGCTCTCTACCTGACACAGGTGGCCTAACTCCTGATTTCCTTTTAAAAAGGTGATTCTGAACTGCTCAGCCCTGCCTTGCCTCCTTCATTTATTAAGTAGTCCCAAGGAGTCCATCAGGAAAGAAGCCTGCTGGACCATATCTAACATCACAGCAGGAAACAGAGCACAAATCCAGGTACAGCTTTGAGTCTTCCCTGGGTCCCTTATAATAATCCTAGATTCCACGCTCAGCATTAATAATGAGATCTCTTTGGTTTTTCCCTTATCTGATGCTTTGTGGCAGCTTCTTGTGCATTCTTAATCTGACTTATTGCAGACTGGCTGTTTCTGTCCATCTGCCAAAGGAGCTAAAAAAAAAAAAGCTAATTGTACCTACAGAGGCTGGGCTGGTGTGAGTGTGTGGGTTGGATCTCTGGAAAAGAGATGCAGCCCCAATTTCTCCCTCCTCAGAAGTATCCCTTTGAAAGGCGTTAGCTTGTTGAGTTTTAATTATCCTTTTAATGGCTGATGTACAAAGGCAGATAAACGATGAAAGCATTCCTGCAGTATTGATGCAGCAATAGGGATCATCTGTGAGCTGGTCCCCACTCAATTACCTTGTGTGAATGGGGTTGGCTGGGGGATGGATTGGAGCAACGGCCGAAGGTAGTGGCTCGGGAAGGACTTTCTGAATTGGAAATGGAAGCAGAGCTTTCTTTCAGGTGCTTAACAGCCTTTTTAGAAACCGTGCTGCCCTTCAAACGCTACTGGCTGTTCTCTCTCCTCAGGCAGTCATAGATGCAAACATCTTCCCTGTGCTGATAGAAATCTTGCAGAAAGCAGAATTCCGTACAAGGAAGGAGGCGGCGTGGGCAATCACAAACGCAACGTCAGGAGGAACTCCTGAGCAGATCAGGTACCCCTGCAGCTCTGAGAGCTGCCAGCATTCAGACATTTCCTTCGTAGGAACTGCTGAAGCGGTGAGGAACTGATTTGGGGAACCCCAGGGACCTAACATGCATGCCAGGCCAATTAGATCCTCGCTGCTCGTAATTTCATTATCACCTGGATGTCAGGAGCCACCTTAAAATCAGAAGGAAAAAAATGGGGTGGGAGGGGTATATATTAATAAATAGATGAATAACCTTGTAAGACAGCAAAATATAAAAATTACATCAGAGATTTCTTTCAGCTTGAGCCACTTGTCCTGCTCTTTGTAACTGAGCAGTGGTGGTGCCTGCTATCCTGAAAGGTGAACGTGTGCTCCTGGTCACCTCTTTTAGATACCTGGTCAACCTGGGTTGCATCAAGCCTCTTTGTGACCTCCTTACCGTCATGGACTCCAAGATCGTTCAGGTGGCATTGAATGGCCTGGAGAACATCCTGAGGCTGGGAGAGCAGGAGGCCAACCAGAGCGGGACGGGCATCAACCCGTACTGCAGCATGATAGAGGAGGCTTACGGTAGGTTCGGGTGCCGCTGACTTTGAAAACAGTAGAATATGATGGGAGGTGTCTGCTAGTTCTGTTCGCTTTTCTGATGGTTGGAGTGGCTGGGTGTGCCCAAACCTGCTGCTGTTTGTTCCAGCAGTAGATCACGCTGTCTTTAGAATGTTGTGATGCAGCATAAATAATGTCAGGGAGCAAAGACTGTTGTACTTGTGATCCAGGTTTCCTAGACTTAGAGGCCAGCCTGATAATTGTGGCTCTCGCTGTTGGGAATATTAATCAAAGTAAGCTGAGATGAGTGAGACCCACTTCATGGATCTCTGATTTCTCTAATTGTCCCCAGCTGTGCACTGCAAACGCACGATGGAAATCCAGAGAGACTTAGCTTTTCCCTGGAGAGACCTAATTTGGTGGCTTTGTCCTGTTCCTAATGCTTTGAGGAACAGTTCCTATTTTGGTCTGAAATGCCCTGTATACTGGAGTGGCTTTTTTCCTTTTTTTTTTTCCTTGCCCTCTCACTGGCTGTTTCGCTGTGTGTCCTGGTTCCTCCAGTAAGAATAATTCTTGAAATTCCTGAGTACGTGGTGCTTGGATTCTTTCTGTTCAGCACTGGATTTAATTAGGACTGCTAAAGCTGTTGCTGCCCTTCTGCTGGAGGCTACTGGGACGGGCCCTGCTTCCTGCAGCTGCAGAGCTGCTCACAGCCAGTGGTAGAAATTTCACTGCCCAGTTCAGTGCTCGCAGTGCTTTGCTGGAGACTTCCTGCTTAACTGCATTAGCTAAACCTGCAACTGGAAAGATGAATGGTTGCTGATACAGATAGAATCCACAGGCAGCTGTGGAGAAACGGGCATAGTTAGCTTTGGCTGTCAGTGCTGCTCACAAAAGGCTCGTGTAACACAGACAAGCAATGAACAGGGAAAGGGTGGAGCATGGATTGGGACAGCTTGAATGTTAGGGTCTCCTGTTTCTCATGTTCCACTTTTGTCTTTTCTAAGGCTTGGATAAGATAGAGTTCCTGCAGAGCCACGAGAACCAAGAGATCTACCAGAAAGCCTTCGACCTGATTGAGCACTACTTTGGAGTAGAGGATGACTCCGCTTTAGCTCCCCAGGTAGATGAGAACCAGCAGCAATTCATCTTCCAGCAACCTGAAGCCCCTATGGAAGGCTTCCAGCTATAATGTGCCCCAGGCAAAAAGACCACCACAAATTTGCCAGAAAGCAACTGGGAGAAGCTGATTGTCCCATTCCTTCTCGCACATGGAAGGCTGAACACTCACTCCACCTGTTAGGAAACAATTCTTCCTTCAAACAACTAGACAGAGTGCTTTATCCTCATGAAGAAAATGGGATGTCTTGCACGTTTTTTTCTTTTTGCTGCTGCATACGTGTCTTTAAAGCAGGCATCTGGGTGGAGGAAGGACACTGAGGTAACAGATTGCACCTCTTGGGTTTTTTTTCTTTGTGGTGATTTCTCCCAAATGTCACTTCTTACCTCGGGTACTTAATTGAGATTTCAGCGTTGGGTTGGGTAAGAACAGAAATAGAAAGTGAGTATTCTGACAAGAATAATTCTGGAAACCTGGGTTGATCTATTTAATTTTTTTGCACATGTTACTCTTATTAAAGACTCTAATTTGCCAAGAGCAGAGTTTAGCCCTGGCCTTTCTGCGCTCCTCTTGCAGCGGACAGTCCTGTCAGAGCTGGCCTGAGTTCCCCCAAACATGCTGTAAATGGACAAAGAAGCGAGAGGCTTCTGGGGGAAGGGTCCTTCCCCGTGTCCAGATTTTTTTTTTCCCGAAGAACTGCTGGTAGTGCTTACAAGGATAAAAAGCAACAAACCCCAAAGCTGGTCACTGCGAAGAGGGCGGGATGCTGGGGTGGTCCTGGAACAGGAAGCACAGCTGCCACGGCACAGGCTTTGCATTGCTACTGATGGAAGCTGCAGGACTGCTGAACTGGTGGAACCCATCTTCATCTTTACTTGAATCCTCCCCAGGGCTGCGTTTCGGGTGCTGTGCTGCGTGCAGGGCGAGCTCAGCAGCACGGCGCCTGGGGCTCCAGGTTTACCTCCCGCTCACAGTCGGAACATGTACATTTTCCTTCGAGAAAAGAATCAAATCTCTGTATTTTTTATATTATATATAGGTAGCTATTTGTCTAATTGGGCTCCAGAGAAAACTATATATAAAATTTCTGTAACTTATGTAAATAGAACACTGTGAGGCAGGTGTGCCTGGAAACGACCCCGAGCTCGCTCCCTCGTCGTCCTGCTGCTTCTCCCGTTCACTCACGTACTGTACACGTAGCTCTTCGACCGCTCTGCTGGGCGCCAAGGTTTGCTCCTCACAGCCGCGGGGCTGAGGCCGGGAGGGGTGAGCCGGGCCTGCGTGCCCCTCGCCCCGCGTTGGGTTTGCTGAGTCCGTGACTGTTGAACGAATAAAAACTTCTGTGCAGATGAGCGCGCTGTGCCGGAGCCGTGTGTGGAGAGGGCGGGCAGCGCGGGGCGGGCGCGGAGCCGTGAGGGCGGCGAGTTCCCGCCCGGGCCGCGCGCGGGGCAGGCCGGGAGCTGTAGTGCGACGGGGGGGCGGGAGTGGCTCTCGCGGGGCACGCCGGGAGTTGTAGTCTCGCGGTGCTTGCCGCTTTTCGCCGCCGTCTCCCGGCAGCCCCTGCGGCTCCTCGTCGCCGATTGGTTGGCGGCGCGGGGCGGCGCCTGCGCGATGAGCGCACGCTGCGAGGCCCGGGCCGGAGCCGCTTCCTTCAGCGCGGGGCGGCGGGGCCGGCGGGGGGTGCGGCGATCATCTTCCCTCCCCCCTCCCCGCCGCTACACTGCAGCGCTGCCGGCTGCCCGGCGCTTATTGGCTGAGGAGAGGCGGCCGCCTACGTCAGAGCGCTGCCGCTGACGCCACGGGGGTACGCGCGTGACGTCATCGTGGTGCCGTGGGAGGAAGGGAGGCGTTGCTGACGTCACGGGGGGTCACGTGGGACGTCGGGAACGGCCCGGGGGCTCCGGGCGGTACCGGGGGGAGGGGCGGCGCCGCGGCCGGGGCTCCTCGGGGCTCCTCGGGGGCGGCTCCGCGATGCCATCCCTGGGGCGCGGCGGGTTCGGCTCCCCCGGCTCCGCGCCCCGCCCGGGCCGGCACCGCACGGCTCGCCTTCAGCCGCGGTTTCTCTTCCAGCGGGGCTCGGCGAGGCTGAGCGGGAGACGGCGCGGCGATGAAGAACCAGGGCGGCGAGACCAAGGCGGCCCCGCGGCCCGCGGCCAAAACGAGCGGCGCTCTGGCGGAGGAGGGCGACCTGGCCGAACCCAGCGCAGCGCTGGAAGGTGGGGCGGCGCGCGGGGCTGCCGTGCTGGCGCTGCTTCTGTACAACGGGGGTCCGTTCTGTGCCACTGTTTGACCTGTGCCGGTGATTCCGGGGCAGAAGATCCTGCTCTCCCGCTGTTCCCACGTGCACGCAGTTCCAAATCGTTAGCACTTCTTTCCCACAACGCGGAGTTGATTCTGACCTGGGGTCGATGGGGTTGGCGTTGCTCGGTCCTTCAGGCTCACAGAAAGCTCTCCCGCAGCGACTGGTTCTGTTATTGGTGCTTTGTAACATTCAATTTCTGTAAGACAGAAACGGGTAATCGAGTAGATGGTGGTTAAAGGTAACCTTGCCCCGTGTTCTAGTAAACGTGGAAATGAACAGCAGTTGAGTGAGTTTAATAACTGATTGCTGTAGGCTCTGCTTGGAAGGAATTTTGGATGCAGAGAAGTGCTGAGGGGCTGCTGGGGATGGGATGTGCTTCATCTGAGCCAGTACAGCTGCTCATATATGTGAGGAACGAGGCTAGCTCAGATTATAAAATCTATTGTTGTGCTAAAAGGCATGGCTCCGGGGATATTGGCAGGCTGCTGCTCCGAGGGAAAGCTCACACACAACCTGCTTTCGTTAGAGGGTGGTGGGGAGGGGGCAGTTCTTGCTCTTGACAGATGTCAGGGGCTTGGTCATGCTCTTGTGATCAAAAGAGAGGCTGTTAGGAATGCACCTCCATTGTCAGGGCAGCTGGCTGGAGGCACAGCCTGAACAAAGCAGCTTGTGTGCTGGGAGTGTAGCAGTGAGGTGCTCGGGGAAGCCTTCCCTTTGCTGCGTGTTTGTAGAGAGCAGAGAATAGACGGTGTGGGGAAGCATCACGCTTTTGTGCTCGTATCTCCACAGCTCCCCTCGCACAGGAGGACACAAAGTCCTCCCGGCCTGCCGTGCGCGATGTCTCTGAAGAGCTGAGCAGGCAGCTTGAGGACATCTTGAACACGTACTGCGTGGATGCCAGCCAGGAGGGTCCGGGTGAGGACGGCGGACAGAGTGAGGCTGTGGAGCCAGAGGAGGTGGAGAAGTGTCGCAGTGAGTCCCCGAGGAACGGAGATCAGGAGTCAGGCAGCCCTGAGATGAATGGGGAGAAGGAAGGCACGAAGGGGACTGAAGAGTTTCGACCTGGAGAGGAGTGTGGGGAGCGGGATCAGAAGAAGGCTCAGGAAAAGAAGAAAGCCAAGGGCCTAGGTAAGAGGTTTCCTGCTGTGGCTGTGCTACCAGCCTCAGAGCTTTGGTGCAGACTTTGGTGGATTTTATACTGCACTGGGTCCCATTAGAGAGATGAATGCCTTAAGTATGTTTGAGAATAGCAAGGCATGTTATTCTGATGGCATGCAAGGAAACAGAGTGTTTCAAAGACTCTGATCAGTCCTGAGTGCTGCTGCAGCCTCTGAATTGTGCAGATTTCCCCTCTGTTGGACACAGCTTTGTCTGGTTAGTCCATTGGTGGTTCCCCACTCTGATAACCAGGTCTCTCCTCAGCTGCTTCAATTGTTCACCTGCTGAATGCAGTGAGATCTGGGGGACAAACCCCAGTAGGCATTGGAGATGGGAACTCTGGGCCAAGATGGCCACAGATGTGAGACCTGGTTTGTCTCTCCTGTCCTTACCTTTATAAGCCAGAACTCTGTGTAAGTGCTGTCATCTTTCTGTTTAATTCTGTGTCTTGTGCCAGGCAAAGAAATCACTTTGTTGATGCAGACCCTGAACACCCTGAGCACGCCAGAGGAGAAACTGGCAGCACTGTGCAAGAAATACGCTGAGCTGGTGAGTCCTTGTTTCTTCATTCCAGGCTCTGGGGCAGTGGGAGGACAGTGCTGCAGCGAGCAGTGGGACAACTGGCCACGTGCTCAGGGCTCTGCTCTGTTTAAGCAGTGTATGCATGGAGGTCCTGAAGGAAAGTGCACCTCTCACAAATTCCAGTAGGATGCTAATTCAGGAAGGAGAAAGGCTGTGTGCAAGGAGACCTTGGGTTCTGTATTGATCTTACTGTGCTTCTGTATTATAAAGCTCTCGTCCTTTCCACAGAGTAGTCAGAACACCTATTTGATCTCTGTGTGCCCTTATATGGGCACAGCATTGCCCTGGTCTTTTTTGCTGCATCTCTGCCCTCTGCTCTCCTACCCTAGCTGGAAGAGCACCGTAACTCCCAGAAACAGATGAAGATTTTGCAGAAGAAGCAGACGCAGCTGGTGCAAGAGAAGGACCACCTGCAGAGTGAGCACAGCAAGGCCATCCTGGCCCGCAGCAAGCTGGAGAGCCTGTGCCGTGAGCTCCAGAGGCACAACCGCACCCTCAAGGCAAGGCGTCTCCTGGGACTGCTGCAGTCCCAAACACAGCCTGCTGCAGGGCTGTGAGCCACTGTGACAGACGTACTTGTAGGAGTGGGTGCCCACAGTCTGATGTCCGGAGCAGGGCTTCAGTTCTGCTGTTAATTGGTCATCTTGCAAGGGTTAGGAGGGGGGGGAGCTGACCCACGTGGTCGTCTTCTGAGGGAAGCGATGGTTAGCGGGTTTGCTCAGCTCTTGGAGTGACGAAGCTGCTGAGCAGTGGCCCGCAGTGCCTTCCTGATTGATACCAACAGCAGTGGGAAGTTGGGTGGTTCAGATCATCACGGCCAGGGAGGTTTGTTCACCTGCCTGCCCAGCGCAGAGGCTGATGTGGCCTTGCTGTCTGCCCTTCTAACACAGGAGGAGGGTGTCCAGCGAGCACGAGAGGAAGAGGAGAAGCGGAAGGAGGTGACATCCCACTTCCAGGTGACGCTGAATGACATCCAGCTCCAGATGGAGCAGCACAACGAGAGGAACTCCAAGCTGCGCCAGGAGAACATGGAGCTGGCAGAGCGGCTCAAGAAGCTCATTGAGCAGTATGAGCTGCGGGAGGAGGTGAGTCGGGCCTGGCGTAGCCTGCTGTGGTTCACCCACTGTGCCCTGTGGAGAGCGTTTCCAGGGCAGAAACTGCTGCTGGAAGGGAGATGGAGCCCTTGGGCTTTGAGGTCATTCCTTGGGATCCGTGCCACATGGGTAGCAGGGCCCTGGCCTCGCATGTCAATGACTGGTGGCGTTTCCTTTGGCAGCACATTGATAAGGTGTTCAAACACAAGGACCTGCAGCAGCAGCTCGTGGATGCCAAGCTCCAGCAGGCACAGGAAATGCTGAAGGAAGCAGAGGAGAGACATCAGCGGGAAAAGGACTTTGTAAGTCTTATGATTCTCTACTGGTTATAAGCACTTAGCTGTTTGTATGCAGCAGCGACCGTTCCCCCAGCTGCCTCAGAAGCAAGGCTGGAGCCTGAGCTGTTGGTGCTGTTCCTCCCAGCCCTCTGCTGACTCCAGGCCAAGCACCAGCAGTGTATGGCATATTGAGGGCTTTCTCTGGCAGCAGCGAGGTAACTGCTTTTGCTCTTTCCCAGCTGCTGAAGGAAGCTGTGGAATCACAGAGGATGTGTGAGCTGATGAAGCAGCAGGAGACTCATCTCAAGCAGCAGGTGAGTTACCTGGTCTGTGTGTGTGCTCAGCCTGGTCATTTGTTTTTTCCCTTCCTCCTTCATCAGGGAACAGCCTGAATTTCCTTAATGTGAAAACCACAGAGGCAGGAATGCTCTTGAGTGTGATATTTGTGTGCCTGTGTGAAGCACAGTGTGAGATGAAACCTTCCTCAGCTTCTCCTCCTTGTGAAAGAAAGGAGCCCTGGTTTCACCAGTGTGTTTCCCAGTGCTCGGAGCAGTTGTGTGATCACACTTTGCTGAATCAGACCCAGCAAGTGCTTCCTGCCAAGGCCAGGAGGTGTTTGGAGAACACACTGCTCTCTAAGGGTGTTTCCCTAAGAGAGAAGAAATATTGTTCCACGTTCTGCAGTGCCTAATGCTGGCAGAGCAGCCCCTTGCTGCAAGTCTGTTAGTCATAAAGTCCGGTCACAAGACGACTGGCTTCACTTCTTGGCTGACGTCTCCCCGCTCCTGGGAAAGGCCATCAGGAGGTGCCATGTTGAGGAGCTGTAACTCTGTCTCTCCCCACAGCTGGCTCTCTACACAGAGAAGTTTGAAGAATTCCAGAACACCCTTTCCAAAAGCAGTGAAGTGTTCACAACATTTAAGCAGGAAATGGAGAAGGTAGGGATTGCTGTCGCTGCCTGCAGTGGCTGGCAGGCTGGGTGCTGCCTTTCTCCTCACTTACTCTGTGAGCTGGATGAGCAGCAGCTGTATTGTTCTGTTGAGTTATGCTGGCATTAAAATCAGGTACAAACTGATTGCTGATAGAAGGTGGATGCTGGACTCGTGGGGTGATGGCTGTACCCCTCCTGGATCAGGAAAAGCAGCGCTACCACCGTCTCCTGGTTTATTGTTGGTTTCCCACCAACAGACCAGAAGACATTTCCCAGGACAGCAGGATCTTGCTGTCTGCCCTGGGGAAGTGGGAGTCCATTGGAGTACACGCGAGACGTGCCTGGCTGCATTATTCTGGCTTATCAGTTGCCTTTCTGTCACTGTTCTGCAGATGACAAAGAAAATTAAGAAGCTGGAGAAGGAGACCACAATGTACCGCTCTCGCTGGGAGAGCAGCAACAAGGCTCTCTTGGAAATGGCTGAAGAGGTGAGGAGGCTGGGGCTGCTCTGTGCTCAGGCAACTGAGTGGTCTTTGAGCTTCCCTCTGAAGTTTCATCTCTCTTCCTTTCTGCCTGCGTCCCCGGCGTGGTAGATCTGAACCGCTTCTCTGTTTGCAGAAAACCCTTCGGGATAAAGAGCTGGAGGGGCTTCAGGTGAAAATCCAGCGCTTGGAGAAACTGTGCCGAGCCCTGCAAACAGAGCGCAACGACCTCAACAAGAAGGTGCAGGACCTGTGTGCCCACACGGCGCGGGCAGACGTGGAGCCGACAGAGGCTCTGAAGGAGCCATCGAGGGGGGGCTGCGAGGCGGCAGCTGGAGGAGCCCCGGCAGAGCAGCGGCTGCCTGAGGATCGCCTGCACTCGGGAAAGGCGGCGCACAGCACAGATCCTGCAGAAAGCCTTGGAGAACTGAGCACAGGAGCCTTGGGGCAGAGCGGGACTGAGGAAGGCGCTCAGGGTGCTGACTGAGCCTGCTGTGTGGTAGGCGGGAGGAGGGTGAGGGAGGGTAGCACGAACGTTTGCAGGCTCCATCGGAAGCCCTTCTCCTGGTCCTTGGATGGGGGCACGAGGACGGCCCTCCTTGGGCTGTGAAATTTCCTAGCTTAGGCTTTTGGAGGGTTTTTTAAATGTTCTATATATATATACACATAGATGATGTGTGTGTGTATATATGAGATATCAAATACGTGCAGGGCAACATACACTTTATATATGAATATATATGAAATCTAGAATGACCCACCTCCCTGCGTGTGTGGATAACTAATATATGGAGACTCAGCTGATTGTCCCTGTCACTGAAAAACCTTGTCATTGGCAGGCTGCGACTCCCCTAAAATGTAGTGCAGCACAGGAAAGCAAGGGCACGGATCGGCCCAAGCCCTCCGGCTCACGGCACCGGGACAGCAGGACACGTCGCTTCCTCCACCTTCACGGCAATGCTGTCACACTGGGTGAGAGCAAAAGAACTGAGCGAGGGAGAACGTAAGCATTTCCCAGCGCTGGATTCTCCCTCCCTGATCTGCATCAGGCAGGAGGCGGCTCCTGGACTTGCTGTTGCTTCCTCACGCCCTGGCTGGCAGCTCTTTCTTGAGCAGAACCGTCCAGTTCCCCTCTTGTATGGGTTTTGTGTATTGAACGGGGACAGAAAAGCAGAGAAACTGGGGACACCGGATTTGCCCAGGCACCCTGCAGGGCCTTTGCTCTTCCTAGAACCTGCCAGTGTTTCAATAGCCTTATGATTCACAGTTGCCTCTTTGCTATACGCACATGTGCACAAGTATATTAAACAGTTAATCCAAAGGTCTAACTCCGAAGTGTTTTGCACAAGCACCTGTGATTAGTTGTGCAAGGGGATCGGGACGCCCTTGTGACCGAACTCCTCTGCCCTGCCTCAGGACCGTCCCTTGGTGTTGAGTGGGGTGGTTTCGGAGGTATTCATGGAGCTGGGGCTCCAGGAGGATCAAATCTGTGGCTGCTCCATGACCTGAAGCTGAATCGCTGGGACCAGCTCGAGGCTGGTGCTGTGGGCCGATTCCTTCTGCAGCGTCACACCCTGCAGACAGGCTGTGCTGCCTGGGCCTCTCCTTCCCCTCTGCTTTTTCAGAACAGCATCTCCCAGATGCTGGCAGTCACCAAGTCTGAGCTGCTGCCGCTGTGTCTGGGAGGCCTCTGATGGCACGAGAGGCAATCTGGCGCAGAACTTGGGGGATTTCTCCTTAGTTTCTCAACACTTCCTTTTTGTCACTACTCGTTTGGGAGACATCGACTTGCTTGAAAACCTCTTGCTGCAGCTTCTCTTTACAGCAGACTATTTTCAGCATTGCCTTCCTTTTGCTTGAAGCTGAATTGAGCTGGCTGAGCTGTTCCTCACAGTGAATGCATTCGGCGGAACAGTTTTGGTTTCTTTTCTGGCTGCAGCTGCTTTTGCATCTTCTCTGCAACTGTACAGCGCCCTTGGAAGGACCTGCCGTGGGAGCTGCCTGCAGGAGGCGCTTCTGCCTCCCCCTTTATTCCCTGGGGATTCCGGAGAGTTTGGGTCTAAGGAGGGAGGCTGTTGAGTCTATTGAAGCTCCACGGAGCCACAATCTTGAACATCACTGCGGTTTGCTCCCCAGGGCTTTCTGGGCTGCTTCTGGCCCTGCGCCGCCTGCGTTGCTTCCTCCTGGGTGGGTTGCATCTGACTTGGGCAGGAGCACATGAAGGTGGTGGGAGAAAGGGCTGCAGCCTGGCACTGGATTTTTCTTTCCTGCCCTTTCAGTCAAAGAAAAATCCCTCAGAAAGTCACAAACACCTTCACTTTTTTTTTTTTTTCCTGTTATGGCACAGATAACCTCTGTGGGGAGCTGATGTATGTATCTTCGTATCCAATAGAAACACCCACAAACTCACTGCTGCCGTCTGTGTTATTTCTCATTCATTAAGGATCGTGTTTGGGAGTGAAATCTGGGGCACTGAGTGGAGTGGAGAGGCTGGGGGGAACCTTCATTTGCAAAGGTGATGGCACATCTGTGCCTCCAGACAACTGGGGGAGGAAGTCTGTGCCTGGGACACCCAGCACCGGGCAGTTTGTTGCTCTTCACTCCTTGTGATCTGGGGGTTCCTGCGGTCCCACGTGCCAGAGGATTGAACCCTTGTTCTTGCAAGGGCAAATCTGTGGTCACACAAATCAGGTGATGCTGAGGAGACTCACGGTGGACCCTGGATGGTTTAAGGGGGTGGCAGGCAGTGACATCCCCCCATTTCTACCAGGATGCTCGCAGGGAAGGAGCCCGGGTGCAGATCCCATACCTACCCCAGACCCTCGCTGCGTGCACGGCTGCCGCATCTGCTCCAGCTGTGCAGAATGGAGGGCCGGATCCTGCCCTCCCCATGTGACGCTGGTGCTGCGGTCCGGGCCATCTGCGCGCTGTGGCCACTCCAGCGGGCGGCGTTCGGCGCTGCAAGGCGGCGTCCAGCGGCGTCCCTCCAGCAGGGGCCGGGCTGTGCTGAGGCCGGAGGAAGGTCCCTTTCCCTTTAAATGCAAATCGCAGCCCCAGGGCTCCGGGAACACAGTTGGTCCAGCGGTCCTGGGGACGCAGCCGGGTGGCACCGAAGGCCGGAGGACGTCCTCGCACAGGTCGGTGTTTCCATGCCGCTGTGGTGCGGCGCCGGAGCCCGTAGAACAAATGGGCTTCCGCAGCACCCGCCGCATCACCCCGTCCTGCCACCGTCAAGGGCCCAGGGGGCAGAGGAGCTCGGTGGGGGCCGAAACACGCTGGGGAGGGTTCAGGGATGTCGGGTCCCTCCTGCAGTCTCTGCCCTGGCTCCGGGAATCGGGAGTCCTTCCCTGCTCCATGGGGGCTGAAATCCTCTTTTCTGCAGCTCTGGGAGAAGACGCTGAGGAATAATCCCCGGCTGGGAGTTCCCCGGGTGTTTTTCAGATCCCAGGCTCTGCTCTGTGCCGTGATGTCCCACCGCAGACCGGGATGAGGCAGCCTGAGCCTGGCTGCTGACCCCAGTGTGGGGGCTGAGCTCTGTCCTTGGCTTCCCGGCTGCAGTGAGGACCAGGAGGCCCCGCGTGGGGAAGCGCTGCCGAGAGCTTTGTGTCCATCCCGTCCTGCTCAGGTGCTTCCCGCTTGGCTCTGGGATGGAGGAGCGGAGGAAGAAGCGGAGCCCCAGAGGTCAGCTGGCACCTGCCAGGGCATCACGGCTTCTGCCCACCAGCAGGAGCGCATCCTTCGCCCTGCCGCTGCCCGCCCTGCCCTCACAGCGTGCCAGGCCCCGGCGGTCAGTGCTGGGGTGGGGGGAGAGAGCAGTGCTGGGGGGACGGGCTGGAGGTGTCGCATCGTCCGTGTCTTCTGTGCAGGGCGAGCAAGGAGAGGGTGAGGGCAGGGGCAGCGCGGGGGGCCCCGCTGCAGCACAGCTTCCTCACCGAGGTCTCTGATGTCTGCGAGATGGAGGGCGGGCTGCTCGGCCTGCTCAGCGACTTCCACTCAGGCAAACTGCAGGCCTTTGGTGAGCGGCCGGCAGCCAGGGGACGCGGGGAAGAGGGGGGCATGCTGGTGGGTGGTGACAGCTCTACTTGCGGGTGCAGGGAAGGAATGCTCCTTCGAGCAGCTGGAGCACGTGCGTGAGATGCAGGAGAAGCTGGCGCGGCTGCACTTCGGCCTGGATGTGTGTGTGGAGGAGCTCCCGGAGGAGCAGAAGAAGCTGGTGGCTGACAGGAACCTGGACCAGCTGCTGGCACACGTGAGTGGCGTCTCCTCACCACGTGCCCGGCCCTGCAGCGCTGATAGGCGCCTCAACCTCTGCCTTTGCCTCCTGCAGCTGGAGGAGCTCAGCAGCTCCATGTATCCTGCAGGGCCGTGGGGTGGCGGTGGTGCTGGTGGTGGTGGTGGTGGTGGTGCAGGGCACGTGCCGTCCCGCCGTGCTTTCCCTTGACAGCAACGCAGTCAGAAGCTGCACCTGGCCGAGAGCCCCAGCCCTGAGGAGGCCGCGGCCTGACAACCGCCGGCTGCGGGGAGGCGGCCCCGCGGGATGGGGAGGACGGGACGGCGGAGCCCCCCTGGCCCACCCTGCGGGGCCGACGGCGGTGACGCGCGGGTCACCGAGCTCCCCACACCCCCCTCAGCCGCCATTTTGGTCGGCCGCGCGCAGCGGTGCTGTGACGTCATCGGACGGCGCGGTGACGTCATCGGACGGCGCCCTCGTTGCTCCGGAGGCGATGGCGGCGGCTCCGGGTCCCCGGGAGCAGAGCGCGGAGAGGCGGCGGCTGCTGCGCGCGGTGACCCGGCTGCAGGTGGGGCCGCAGGAGGCCGCGCCGCGCTTCATTAAAGCCGTACCTCGCTCCGTACCCGGCCGTGCCGCTTCTTTTCCGCCGGGCCGCCGTCCGGGCGCTGAGCCGCTCTCCCCGCCGCTCTTCCCGCAGGCCGGGGTCCGGGGCTTCCTGCTGCGGCGGCGGCTGCGGGGCGTGCGGGCGGAGTACGAGGAGGTGGTGAGGGAGATCGAGGGGGAGCTGAGCGAGCTGCGCTGGACGGGCCTCTGTCTGCCCAGACCCGTCTTCGTCTCCGAGGTCCGTGCTGGTGCGGGGCGGGCCGGGGCCGCGGCTCTGTGCGGGCGCTGGGCGCGGCGGGGCCGCGTGTTGGCAGCGGGCTGCCTTGCGGCCTCGTCACCGGAGGAAACGGGGCGGTTGCGCGGCCGAGGCCCGCCGTGGGCTTCCCGCTGACTGAGCGTTGCCTCCCGCGGGTGAAGCTCAGCTCCGCTCGGAGCTCCAACTGCACGAGAAACTGCGCGCTTCGTGTGCCGAGCTCCCGTCGGTCTGCCCCCCTCCCGCGGTGGCTGAGCGCTGCTCGTAGCGCGGCTTCCCGTCCTGAGAGAAAGGCCTGGGGCAAAGTTTGCGGTGGTTCAAATCTCAACGTCAGATGTTGTGGCCGAGCTGCTGGTAATGCAGATCTCTGGGTAGGACAACGGCTGCCCTGCAGCACTGCCCTTTTCAGAGCTTTCTGTGCTTTTTTTGTTTGTTCATTTGTTTGTTTGTTTTTTTTATGTCTGTCTGTCCAGTTTTTCACTTTTGTCTCTTAGAAGCCAGTGAAAGAGAAGTGCTCACCTCTGCGAGAAGCTGTATGGAGTGACAAGGACAGCACAGAGAAAACACAGCAGGAACTGGATGTTCCCAAACCAGAATGGGATTGGGGCTCCAGCAATAGCGTGAAACGTACAGCCCGGCTGCAAAGTGAGAAAGAACTGAGTTCTGTGGGTGAATGCAGGGTAGCAAGCCCTGCAAATCTAGGGGCAGTCACAAGTAAAAGCACTGAAAAAAGTTGCAGTGCCCCATCGGAGAGCAAGGAGTGGCAGAACAGCAGCAGCATTTCATCTGTATGGGACAGCACTGACCTGGAACCAGGCTCCCTCAAAGCCTGCCTGGGTAAGAGACAGCAGTCCCTGCAGTGTGGTGTTCTGCTGCGTGGGTTGAGTAACCAGGTGCAGGTGGTGAAGTAGGACTTTGGAGAATCGAAGCCTTGAGAATGTACTGGAGACGTCAGAATCTCTCACTGCAGGAGAGAGATGCAATTTCAGTATTCTAGCAGTAGCTTCTTCCAATCCTTTGCAGAAATTCCACTTGTGGATGTAAAGGAGCTTCCTCGAACTCGGCCTGGCCTCCAGTCCTTCAGGAATCACTTGATCATGGAGCTGCTGTGGTTGCAACAAGCAATTAACAGCCGTAAAAATGTAAGGGCTTGCTCTGCCTCTTGGTCAGAGGGGCTCCATCTGTGATGGGTGAGAGGCTGGGTGGTGGGGGTCCGGTTTCCTCGGGGTTGGATCAGATGATGGCTGTGCCTTTTTTTTAATCTTTATTTTTAGAGAGAGAGTGAGGGGAAGAAAATGAAAAAGGAAAGCAGAAGTTGTTTAGATTTGGCTGTAAGCTTCTGTCCTGCTACAGAGGGGCTGCTGTTTGATAAGTGCTGTGTGTGTGTAATACAGTAACATGCCTAGGAGCTATCTCACTTAGCAAGCTGCTGTTGGCATTGGTTAGGGTGCAGTTCATGTGAATCTTCTGGCCAAGTGTGATGACTGTGGCTAAACTGCAGGTGCTTTCCTGCTTCTGGGTCTCTGAGATCTAATTGCTAACATTTGATTTTCTTTCTCTTGTAGTACCTGAAGCTGAAACAGAGGCTGGAGTCTCCTGACAGCTAGGAAGGCATTCCTGAGCATATGGGATGTTTTGTGCTGCTGTGGGGGAGCAGAGGAGCTGCAGCACCAAAGTCACAACATGATTTCACAGCAGCACCCTGGGGGAACTCCAACTCTGTGAGCTGATGTTCTCCTAACCAGATTCATGTGGCAAAAGACTTTTGTTTCTTTTAAATGGGAATATTTGGTCAAAGCAGGAATGAAGTGACACTGTGACACTAAGGAGGTTCTGTGTCTTGGAGGAAGTCCTCCCTCCCTGAGAACCTGTCCTAAGGGTAAATTGAGACTGGGAAAGTTGTCACAGAAGTTCCACTTTGACCAGCTCCTTGCTTGTGGTGGAATTAAAATGCCTGAATGCCTTTGAATCTGTGCGATGAACTTCTCCTCCACTCAGCTGTGGGTGACGTGCACCACTGTGTGAGCTGTATTTTTCTGTACTTCACCACTCTGCAATGCCTGGGATCTCCAAGTGCCTGTTTTGACCCAGGGCAACCAGTGCAAGGGGCAGCGTATCTGCCATGGCGTGGATGTTTGTCCACCATGTGCAGAATGGAAACCTGCTGCACGCTTCATGCAGTAGCAAGTGATGGCAAGGGGATGACAGCTTCAGGTATTGCTGCTCTGGGTGACATGCAAGCTGCTGCCAGAGATACTGGCACTGCCCCTCTGAACTGCTTCATTTGAACCTGTTGGCCATGGTAGTGAGCGTGGGGTGAGGTTTAAAGAGCTGTGTGGTTCCTGGTTCTCAGATGGCAGTGTTTGCAGGTTGTTTGATGTGGCTTCAGCCTGGCCCACAGCTCCTGCTGCAGCCGTGGTGACGGACAGTTGCTCAGGGGACTGAGGAGGAGGGGCAGCAAAACACAAAGGCGGCTGGTCAGAAGGGCGCAGGCTGAGTGGGAGAGCTGCTGGAGCTCTGCTCCCTGCTCTGCGTCTGTCTGTCTGCTTCTCTGACCCATGGGGAATGAGCTCCCGGCGCTCAGCTCTGCCTTGTCCGGCCAAGAACGTGGTGGTGTATCGCAACGGCGACCCCTTCTTCCACGGGAGGAAGTTTGTGGTGAACCAGCGGCGGCTTCTGACCTTTGAGGCATTTCTGAGCGAGGTGACCGAGGGCATTCGTGCGCCCTTGGCTGTGAGGAATCTCTACACGCCCCAGCATGGCCGTCGCGTTGCTGAGCTGGCTGACCTGCAGGATGGGTGCCGGTACGTGGCTGCGGGCTGTGAAAAGTTCCAGAGGCTCGAGTGAGTAGATGGTCCTTTTGTCTGTGGGTTTGGTAAGCAGTTCTAGATATTGTGAGGTGTAGATGGAGGGGGGAAGGAAAGGGTAAATAGGTAAAAAGGATGCAAACCCAAAGAAAAATACAGAGAGGTTAGTTTCTTTCCCTGGTGGAATTTTCTGGATGTATTTCAGGTTGCTTGGGAAATGCACGTATTGCTGACAAGGTCACTGACTCTTGAAAGAAAAAATACTGGGGGAGATGTGCAGTCTCCTTTTGGCTGTGTGAGATTGGTGCTGCTTTGCCTCGCATGCACCATTTCGTGGGGTGTGGGAGGTTCTACAGTTGCCAGCCACAGTTTCCGCTCTGATTCTCTGGGTTAGTGGAGGTTTCTTTTGTTTTCTAATTCTGCACGAAGTCGAGCTGTTGAGGTTCATCCTGAAATACAGAGGGCTGAGAGATTCGTGGCATCGCTTCAGTCTTGAGGGAATGTGTGAGATGTGTGTGCTGGGTGAGTTTGGCTCCCTGACTGCATGCTGCATCCTGTTGAGGTGGTCCTGATTGAGCAGCAGTCCTTGGAGCAGCAGTCAGTCCTTGGAGCCTTATCATTGTTTAGCTCAAAGGAATAAAATGTTCTGGATGTCTTGGTCTGTGTTTGAGTGGGATTTCTTAAATAGGCTTTAATTGTGGAAGCTCGTGAAATGAAGAATGTGGAGGATTTCAAACATGACCCAAATAATAAACACGCATACTGGCAACGAATCAACAGAGCAGTCATTTTCTCACTGCTCTTCAGTCATGGCCTGGTTGGTGCACTGCAGTGTCATCTCTTGTTCTCATAGCTATTTAAATCATGGGAGGAAGGAGCTCCGTGGGACAAACAAGAGCAACAGTGTGCAGGTGAGTCTGAGCTGAGTGTGGACAGGCAAGAGCACAGACTGAGCTAGGAGGGATGGCTGAGAGCTGGCACTGGTGTAACACAAGTTGAGATTTGAGGCTGCAACGTGTCCAGCAGAGATCCTGTGAAAATGACACAGGAATCAGTAGGGTGATGTGTGAAACGATGCAGGGGCTGCTTAACAGTGAAGGGAAGAAGGATCTGCTCAGAGGTTCTGGAATGCACCCAAGTATGTGAAGAACCTCTCCAGGGCTTCGTGTTGCTGACAACAAACCCCACCTAGCAGCAGCAAGCTGAAGGCAGGGCGGGCACCTGCTGCCTGGTGAAGAAAATGGAGCAGCTCTGGAAGCTTTGTGCCAGAGCTGTCTGTTTTTTGTGCATGAATTTGTCTCCAGCCCTGCGCCGCAGCCCCCTGGAAGCGCAGCACTGCAGTGCAGCAGCAGAAGCCCACCCACCTTACAGTACAGTAAGTGCCTCAGTGCTTTCTGCTGGGAAGGTATTTGGGAGCATTTTGGAAGCTGAAGTAGGGAATTCCTGTGTGAGATTCTGACAATCGTAGAATCATTAAGGCTGGAAAAGATTACTGTGATCATCCAGTCCAGCTGCCCACCTTCCACCCGTATCTCCCCACTGTTGTGTTCCTCAGCACTACAGCTGCACACCTCAGGAACTTCAGGGACGGAGGCTCAGCCCCCAGGCAGCCCATGTCAGTGCCTGACCACCCTCCTGGAGATGGTCTTCCCAATATCCAACCTGAATGCTGCCCCCACACGAACAGTTCCTCCTTCCACCACAGCTGTCTGCTGCAAACACGGCATGAACACGTGCCTTCTGCCCCTTCTTCCACAATCCACCTCATCAGAGGAAACTGAACAGAAATGCCCGTAGTTCATCACAGATCTCACGGTGCCTGGTGACACCAGGGGCAGGGTTGATGTTTTCACAACTGCTAATGAAAGGTTTCTGCTCGCTGCCTTGCTTTGTGCTCTGGCTTGTTTCTGCTGTAGTGTCTTTCGCAATGGGGATTTGCTGAGCCCCCCTTTCCAGCTGGTGATCTCCAAGAGCACTTCATGGCAGTGGGACGCGCTCCTGGCTGTGCTGACAGAGAAAGCTGATCTGTGCAGTGGAGCTGTTAACAGGTGGGTATGTGGGCAAGGCACTGCTGGGCCTTCTTTCATTGTGCCCAGGAACACAGGCAGCACTCAATAGCTGCAGGACCAGGAGTTTGATGCTTGTAGCACGCTTTGGCAATTCCGATTGCTTTTCGGTTTTCCCACCTTTAAAGCAATAACACCAACGCCTTTGCTCTTGGTCTCATTTACCACTTTGCACTTGTTTGCCTCCACACTGAGGGGCTGTTCTCTATCTTGCGACTTCCCCTCATGTTGCTCCGAATCTCTTGGTCTCTTTCCCGAGGCTCTGCAGCCTGGATGGCACACTGGTGTCTGCTGGGGAGGAACTGGTGAACGGCAGCTACTATGTGGCAGTGGGAAGTGAGGAGTACAAAAAGCTGCCTTACATGGAGCTGCTGGTGCCCCAGGATGCTGTGTGCAGGACGCTGTGGTACGTGGGCTGTGGCTGAGAGGTTTAAGGAATCATCTCAGAGGTGATCTTCAGCTGAAATCATCTTTCCCATAGCCTGCCCATTCAGTGCTGTCTGTATCAAGGGTTGAATTCTGCTTAATGAGATGGAAATTTTTAGGAAGCCAGAATGCTTCAAAGCTTTCTGTGTAAGTGCTTGGGAGGAAAAAGCAGATAAACGCACGAAGGTGGAGGCACTCACTGATCTGGATCAAACAACAGTTTGTAGCAATTGCCAGGGCAAGCCGTTCAGCTTTCTCACTCCGTTTAGAATCGCTGTGCTTCCTCCTGGAGTGTGTAAAGCTGGAAGTAACCGCCAGGGGGAACTTCGGAAACCGAAGGGCGGGGTGTTGCTGCGGGGCTCTGCGTTTTAAAAAGTTGAGGTTGTTTTCTGCGTCATGAACGTTTCCCTTCTGGATTGAGAGTAACGGCTCCCCACTGCAGTAAGCACAAAAGACTTCCTGGAGGGGCTCCTGCTTCTGTCCTTACTCCTTTTCCAGAGAGCTGCAGAGACTGCAGAAGAATTTATACCAAAAGGCAGAAGGACACAGCACAGCATTTATCCCACTTAATGGTTCTGTGAAATGTGGGAGATCCTTCCTGGCTGTGTTCAGATCTCTATGCTAACATTCTGAGCCCCCAGCTGTCACCTGTTAGGCAGGACTTGCCTGTCACCAGGTGAAGCTTTGAAGCTGACTTGTAATAAATGTGTTTTTTCTTCTTGCTGCTGATAGGCACAGACTGCAGGCAGATCACAAACCGCTGTCAAAGGGGAAAAGGATGACAACAGTTCTGAAGATGAAGAGCACTGAATGATGTTTTCCTTGGCAGCAAAACTACTCCGAAGAGTTAAGGACTGTGATGAGAGGGCAGATAGCAAACTGCTCTCTGCACTGTAGGTAACAAAAGAGGCAGTACGAGGTCTGCTTACACCACAGACTTGCAAAGGCTTTTGATGTATTAACAAACTTCCTTCTGTAAAAGATCAGATGGTTCTAGAAGGTCTTTCAATGATTTATTAGCCAATTATTACCCCTCCAGTACTGAACAAGGCAATTTAATCATCCCTGCCTTGAACCACCCACAGAAAAAAATCATCCTTCACTGAAGACGTTGAATAGGATGTCCTTGCAACATGCCTTGTTCCACTCTGGTACTCAGGGAATTCTGCAGGCAGCCATGTGCCAGAACAGCTTTCTTGAGGCCAAACATGTTGCTGCTGAGCCAGAAGCTCCCCTCTTCAGCCATGGCTCACCTTCAAGCAGTTTCCTCTGCTCACTGTGCCTTGGTCACGAACCAGCTACACAGAGGGTGATGCCCAGGAGGGTGAGCAGCATCCCTGCCACAGCCCCTGCAGAAATAAGCATTCTGTGTTGGGAACTCACACAGTTCAACTCCTGCAGTCAGCCCCTGTCACTGCTACATCTGTGATTCTCAGCTGCCAGTAAAGAAGACAGCCTAAATGGGTGCGAGCCAAACTGGTACTTACTGCTAATGCTCTATGCCTGTGTCTTTCAGCTTTCAAGTTTCCTGTTATTTTTCCACTTTCTAGGCAGGATAATGTTAGTGTGTAGAGTAAGGGGCATAAAGAAGGATGGGTGGTGACATTTTGGGGCTTATGGGACATTTCTCTTATGGTTAAATGCATCATTAAGTGAAGGCTCAGGCCTATGAGTTCTGCTAGTTTACAACAGCCAGTTCCAGCCAGTTTAAATTCACTAGCCCTACCCTCTTTCAATCAGTTTCACTTCCTTTTCAGCTTCCTTGCAAGAACTACTGCCTACAGGCAGTGGTTACAGCACTGGTATCAGTGTTCACTGGTTTTTAGGACATCAGAAGGGAGCACACAACACTAAGATAGCAAAAAGATGCAGAAGACAACGCGACAAAGGGTTTCAAGTGCAACTTACTTTTACCACCAATGTCCTCTCCCAGAATCCTTCCAGTCACCAGTGTGACTATCAGAGCCAGGGAGTTACAGAGTGGCACTGCCAGGGACAGCTCTGAAATTGAACAGTTGTCAAACAGTTTGAAATGGATAATCCTCTAAAAATGGTAAGATATGTCCTTCATTCTGACACCTACTTGATGTTTAGCCAGAACACCAAACTAATCAGTAATTCAGCTCCTCCCAAAATCCTGATCAACCCACTCAACACAGCAATGAAAGCTAACCTGCAGATGCCAGGGTGAGGTAGAAGAGCAGAGATCCACACTGGTTCAGCAGAAATGGCACCATGTACTGCAGAAAGAAGACAGGTCTGTTGGTCACTGCATGGAAAACCATTGCACTGCTTCCAGCAAGCAGGCAGCAAAGGAGCCCCGACCCACACTCAGTGCTGTTTGGCAGCAGAAATGCAGCCCACTGGTGATTCTCCTGCTAGTCGTGATCTTTTCACAGCCTTGCAGAAGGCAGACAGGTCTTCATGTAAAATATGACGGTTAATTACCTCCTTTCTTCAAAAGAATCTAAGCAAGTTCTCCATAAGAGCAGTGCTACAGGTGAGCAAATGAAACGTTACAGAGCATAAATAATTTTTCTGATAGATGGAAGGTATGGAGTGCAGAAGGAGGCAGAAAGGAACGGTCCCGTGACACCTCCTTAGCCCAGAAGCCCAGCTGGGGTCGCACCTTGTAGTTGAGGCCCAGGAAGCTGATCTCGGCCAGCAGCTGCTGTAGGCGGCCCTGGCGCCGCACGTCCTCCAGCCCCGCCGCTCCCGTCCTTAGGAACGGCCCCGTGCTGCCCCACAGCGCGGCCACCAGCACCAGCACCGCTGCCTCTCCTGCGGCACAGCTTCAGCTCAGCCCTGGGCCCAGCCCGCCATCAGCCTGCAGCAGGCGTCCCACCCCGAAAGGCCCCACGCCAGGCACGCTGCCGCGGGGCCCTCAGGACGTGGCCAAGTTTTCCCTTCGGGGGAATGTCCCGCAGCAGCCCAAATCCACGGCCGCGTCCCCTTAAAGCAGCCCCTGCTGCTGCTGCGTCCCCCCTCATGGAAGGGCTCTGCCCGCGGCCACCGCCCTTCTCAGGAAAAGCCCTTCCCGGGATCGCCGCGCCCCGGCCCTCAGGAAAGCCGCTCCCGGGGTCTGCGTGGCCGCAAGCCTCAGGAAGGAGCGCCGGGGCTCCAACCCGCGGCCATTCCCCGCCTCAGGGAAGGCCCCTGGACAGCCCAACCCGCGTCCCCCCCGAGCCCTTCCTGCAACCGCAGCGAGGACCAAAGGCCCCGGGCCTCCCCAGCTCAGCCCATCTCCCCTTTCCCCAAACCCGGAAGCTCACCCGCGGTCGCCATAGCGACAGCGACGGACTTCCGCCTTCCCGCGCCCTCTGACCCGGAAGTGGTGCCGCTCGCCTCTCTCTCCTCTCGCACCGCCGCCATGGTGAGACGGGGAGCGGCGCGGGCCGGGCGTCGTGCGGGCGGTGGGGCGATGCGGGGTCGCGACCGGGGCTCCTGGGCTGACGGCGGCTGGCAGCCAGCGACCCAGGAGCTCCTGCCGGGGACGTGAGCGTTAAATGGCGTCTTTCCTCACCCCACGCGCAGAAGCCGATCCTGCTGCAGGGCCACGAGCGTTCCATCACGCAGATCAAATACAACCGCGAGGGAGACCTGCTGTTCACTGTGGCCAAGGATCCCGTGAGTATGGCTGAGCGTGCGGGGGAAACCGGGAAACCGACCCTCCCGTGCATATGGGGGGGAAGAGTGGTGAGAGAAAGGAGCGGTGGTTAATTAATGAGCCTAATTAATTGGTCGGCGCGGCGAAGGGGTGCTTGAGCGCTTGTATCTTCTCTTAGATCGTCAACGTTTGGTATTCAGTAAACGGAGAAAGGCTGGGCACCTACAATGGCCACACAGGAGCCGTGTGGTGCGTGGATGCAGACTGTATCCTTTGAACAGTGAAACCAGTTTGTCCTCCTTGTTCCTAAGGGTGATTCAGCACCGATGGTTTCTTTCAACTGCTATGGTGTGGTGAGCGCAGCAGCACACAGCACGTTTAATTTCCCCTTATGCCATCTCTTGGTGTGTGCGCTCCTTTCGCTTCCTGTTGTTTGGAACGACGTGTGCTGCACATCCCACCTGCTCCCGTTTGTGCTTCATTGCTTTTGTGAAGGTGGCCCTGGGAGCACAAAAAAGGTGTCTGAGAGCAGAAGTTTTCCTTTTCCAAGGTGAGCAGGAGGTGGCAGAGATGAAAACATGCAAAGGTTGTGCCAAGACAAGAGCAGTAGTCTTTTTCTTTGTCTTCCCAAAAAGAAAGTTATGGGTTTTTGTTCAAGGAGCACTTGAACTTGCTGCCTGTATGGGAGTATTGCCACTCCTGTAAGGGAAGTTACCCAAGCCCTATATTTTCTCAGTGTAACACAGCTTTTTAATCTTGTGTAAAACTACTGCCTGGGTACCTAGCTAACTGGGGCTCAAACATGCTGGTATTCCCTAACTGCTGACCAAGGGGACACACGACATGTGCTCACTGGCTCTGCAGATAACAGCTGTCGGCTCTGGGACTGTGAAACAGGTAAGGCTCTTCTCCACGTGGCTGTGTCTGACTCGCAGCTCTGCCCTGTTCTGGAATCTGTGTGCAGCTGTGCCTGTTTGCCCCCTGAAAGAGCTCTGAGTCCTTTCTTGGCTGTTTGGGTATTTGCCTAATTTTCTGTGAACACTTGATCAGTTCACTCACCTTGCTGCCCAAGCACGTGTTCAGTGCCTTCCAGTCACCCAACCTGTTTGTCAGCTCTGTCTGATGCTCCTGTCCTTGCTGTGACTGGGCTTTTATTTGATCACTTTCATTAATTTTGCAATGCAAGGCCAAGTGAAGTGCTGGTTTCTGCTCTGTGTTCAGGAAAGCAGCTTGCCCTGGTGAAGACCAGCTCGGCAGTGCGGACGTGTGGCTTTGACTTTGGAGGAAACATCATCATGTTTTCAACGGACAAGCAGATGGGTTATCAGTGCTTTGTGAGCTTCTTTGACCTGCGTGACCCCAGCCAGATCGGTGAGGAATCTGAGCCCATGGCTGCGACTGGGAATCAGGGGAAGTGTTGGCTGCCAAGAGCTGGTGCCACTCAGTCTGTCTGTCTCCATCCTTCCTTCCTTCAGAGAACAACGAGCCTTACATGAAAATTCCCTGCAGTGACTCTAAAATCACCAGTGCTGTGTGGGGCCCTCTGGGAGAATTCATCATCGCAGGACATGAGAGTGGGGAGCTAAACCAGTTCAGTGCCAAGGTCAGTGTGACAAGGAGGAGCCTCAGGCAGCATCGCTTAGGAGAGGAACAGCCTTCCTGTTGTGATCACGGGGCAGAACGTGGGCTTTTTGGCTCAAACCAGTGGCCTCGTGGAAGGATAGTTAAAATATGTGGCTCTCTTCAGCAAAGCTAAACATGCACATGCCTCCCTTTCTGCTGACAGCAACATCTAAAATGTTTCTAGCAGAGAAGCTCGCTTTGCTTGTCAGCTCACTGAAACTGCCTTGTTTACCCTTCAGTCAGGGGAGCAGCTTTCAAACATCAAGGAGCACACCAAGCAAATCAATGACATTCAGACCTCCAGGGACATGACCATGTTCATCACCGCCTCCAAGGATAACACTGCCAAGGTGAGGCCTCCTGTGGGGCTGCGGTCATTGCTGACATCTGCTTGCAGGAGCCCTGCTCGAAGTCGTGGCTGCCCCAGTGGTTTCTCTTTGGGAATTTGAGCACTAAAGCCAAAGCTTAGTGGCAGGGTTCATTGGGAATGGGGAGGCATCAGCTGTTCAGTTAGCAGCCAGGCACTGGAAACAACGTTGTGCAAACAGAGGCTGCTTATTAGCGCTTCCAGAAGGTGATAGAGGTGAGAATTACCTTGGGGTACATTTTGGGATCCTGCAGAAATGTCTTTGGGATTTGGATGCCTGGGAGCGACTGTCGTGTGAGGACTGGCGGCCAGGGGCTGGGATTTGCATGCGTTACTTGGACTGCTGTTCTCTGCCTTTTGCATTTTAGCTCTTCGACTGCACAACACTGGAACACCTGAAGACATTCCGGACAGAGCGGCCGGTGAACTCTGCTGCACTCTCCCCCATTTTTGATCACGTAAGAATGAGCCACTCATTCTAACAGCTTTGGTGCAGCTCCTGCGTTGCCTTAGGCAGCTGGAAGGCCTGGTGTCACCGGTTCAGCCTGAGCGAAACAATGACTGTGGGACTGGGCTGGGGGGCTTCACTGCTGCCGCGGGCTGTGCTGTGGTGGTGGGAGGCTCCCCCAAGGTTGGGCTCCCTCCTGCCCTGCCTGTTGTTTCGCATGCGCTGTAAGCAGCACTGCGGTGGCTTTTCTTCTTTGCAGGTCGTGCTTGGTGGGGGGCAGGAAGCCATGGATGTGACCACGACCTCCACCAGGATTGGCAAATTTGAGGCAAGGTTGGTGCTCTTCTCTGGCAGGGCTGAGTCAGTACTTGGAGTGCTCTGCTGTGCCCAGGGCATCTCGTTCTCGGCAGTGTTTGGAGAGTTATTAAATTGCAGAGCTTCTCTGGGGAAACTTTGATCCTGTCCCCAAACTGCCTCCCCTCTTCTCCCAGGTTCTTCCACTTGGCTTTTGAAGAAGAGTTTGGCAGAGTGAAAGGTCATTTTGGTCCGATAAACAGTGTTGCTTTTCACCCTGATGGGAAGAGGTGAGGATCTCTGTGCGTCTTCCTTCACACTGAATGGTCTGTGTTTGGGGAGGATATGGCTGGATTCACTCAGAACTGCAGGGGGAATGGAGCCTGCACCCCCCTGAATTCTGCCATTCCGCCCCTTTTGCCCCCCATCACTCTGCCTGTGGGGGTCATTGATGCCTGGCTGTGCATCTTGGCTAATGTTCTTATTAGCTTTTGGATTCCATCTCTTGCTGGTTTAAATCTGCACACGGTGAGTTCCTGACAAGATTGGTGACTTTCCTGTCTTTTCTCCCCTCAGTTACAGCAGTGGTGGTGAAGATGGCTACGTCCGCATCCATTATTTTGATCCCCAGTACTTCGAGTTTGAGTTTGAAGCTTAAAGGAGGATGAATTCTCCTCTTTCCTCTTCCAACCCATTGCACAGTCCATTGGCTCCAGTGCAGAACTGTTGTAAGACCTGAAGTTAATCTGCTCCACAGGAGGCAGCAGGAAGCAGCACCAAACTCAGGGGTCGTGTGAAGGTGGGAATCTGGAAACCCAACCAGCTCAAAATGGCACGAGTGGCCTAAAAGGAGTTGAGTTGGCTGCCTGCCCCTGGGGATGCTAACTTCCTGACCTGCTGGGTTTATTTATATATCAGTGGAGGAAAAAAAAAGAAAAAAACAAGAAATAAATTTTTTCTGAACACAAGGAAAAGAGCCTCTCTTCTTCTGGTCTGGGACAGAATTAACACGACTGTTTTGCTTTGCCTGCTCTGGTGTCAGTGTCTTGCTCTCTGCCTAGCAGCAGACAGCAGTGCTGGTGCTCCCTGTGCCTCTGTCCTCACCCAGGCACACGTTAACTCTTCCCAGGGTTGAGGTGCAGCTATTGTTGAAGTCCAGACCCAGCAGTGCTGGATCTGCAAGCAGCCTGCAAATAGAGTTGCCAGTCATTGTTTCCCGGACGACGTGCGCTCAGTTCAAGTGCTTTGTTTATTTGCTGGACTGACCCTCAGCCAACTTTCCTCATGGAACAGTTATTTCCTGCACTAGGAGGGTTGTGTTGCAAATCCTCATCCTTCCAGACCCCGTCCCTCTGTCTTGCTGGCTGGAGGGGTGGTTTCTGTCCTTCCTTCCTTAAACTGGGTTCAAGGGCAGATCTCCCAGGCTGGCTTCCAGCTCGGAGCGACTGATGTAACACAACTGCAGCCAGCACGCCCGTGGTGGAGAGGCTGGTGTGAGCTCAGCGTGTTCTGCTGCTTAGATTTTGCTGTGCCAACCACAGCTTGGGCACGGGGCAGGGCCAGATACGTGGCAGCAAGAGCTGCTGGGCACATGGGCGTCCTGCTGCCAGGTCCAGGTACGAGAGCTGCTGAAATCCCACTGGGCAACAGAGCAGAAACAGCCCAGCTCTGGCCACAGAACACACATGGAAAGCAGGAGCAAACTGAGAGAGAGACCACTTTACTGCGATGTGCTCGGGCTGCGTGGCTGACAGGAAGCTGCAGTCCGTCCCCCTCTCCCAGCGATGTCCCCACAGCTCTGCTATGCGCAGGCTCCTCTGGGCCCCGCAGGGCGTGCGTCCTGCACAGCGCTTCCTGCAGAGCTGCAGCACGGCCTTGGTGCCTCAGCCCTGCCGATGGGGGATGATCTCCAGGACGCGCTGCCGCTCATCTTTCGTTCTCCAGCCGGGCAGCCGGGTCGGACAGCGAGCGGCTCAGTCTGTTCTCTGCGCTCTCCTTGACAGCCGTGTCGCTGCCCTCCACCAACCGCCATATTTCTGCCCACGCCTCATCCAGGTACTGGGACGAGCGGATCCAGCGAAAGAACAAGCCTAGGGGACAAGGGGCTGCGTCACCTCGGCCGTGTCCTGCTGCAGGAGGGACAAGCGTGCAGAGCTACTGCATGCGACCCAGATGGGTTCCGAAAGCCCAAGGGCTGCACCCGCCATACCCTGCCACAGCTGGATGCTCTGGGGCTCCACTGAGGGCCAGATGACCAGCGGGTTGGGCGAGTAGAGGGGGTTCAGGCACTTCTTCCTCTCCTCAGGCTGGTCCAGCCAGGCCCAGAGGGAGTGCGTGCTCTCCTTCACTTTGCACAGACACCTGCAGGAGCACAGAGATGCGCTTCAGTCCCTGGGACTGACGCGGGATGGTGACCCAGGGGTCTGCGCCTGCAGGCCAGGGTCTGCTCTGGGGCACAATGCTCACGGGGCACTGCTGTCCCCACTCCCTGCCACTTGCCTCTCCTTCTCGTTGTTGCAGAGGAAAGTGCCGTAGTCGGAGGCGTAGGCGTTGTCAAAGAGGGTGAGGAGCAGCCCCTCACTGAACTCCAGCGAGAAGGGGAACTGCCGGCTCAGCTGCCACACGCAGTCGAGGAAGAGGAGGAAGAGTGGTGCCTCCTGCTTCAGCCGCGCGTGTGAGTAGGCAGAGCGGGCGCAGCGCAGGTGGAAGGGATGGCCAGCCTGCAGGACCCCATGGCAGTGGTAACAGGGCTGCAGGGGACCACGGGACCCCCGCCTCAGTTCCTTCTGCTCCTCACCTGGATCCACTCCCTTTCCAGCAGGTCCTGGAAGCCCTTCAGCGTGCGGCAGCCTGGATCCAGGATCACCTGTGCCAGCGCTGTCACCAGCAGCGTGGTGTCTGTGCCCTCTGCTCCGTGCACCAGCACGCAGCTCTCCTCCCTGGGGGCACAGTCAGGGCACTGCCAGCTGCACTCTGCATTGGTCTCAGGGGGAGGGGAGGGATGGGGGGGGCAGCCCCCTACCTGTCCAGGCACTGCGCAGCCAAACAGGCCGTGCTGAGGGCTGCCTTAACGTGGCTCAGCCAGCGGCAGCTCTCCAGCCGGCCCAGCCAGCGGTCCATGCCCAGCGAAGCGTCGTTGCAGGCCTCCACCAGCTTGATGAAACTCTCCTGCAGCGGGCGGCCACTGGGGAGGGAGGAGGAGAAGGGAAGGACAGCCTGGTGAGGGCTGCGTGTCTGCTTCTGGGGCTGGAGCGGAGAACTTCAGCACAGCCCTCACCGCTCCAGCGGCCGATGCAGCCTCTTCCACTGCGGGTACGAGGATTTGGGCTCCGTGCCACCTCCCGTCATCCGCGCCTGTTTGGCCGCCTGGGCTGAGCGCGTGTCGATGATGAAGCCCCGCTCGCCCTCGTCCAGCACCGACCCCAGCAGCATCTCATCCTCGGGGCAGCGCTTGCGGTTGGGGCCGGTCAGCGGCTGCCCGCTGCGGAGCATCACCTGCGGGGAGGGGGCTGCGGGCATCGCCTGCGGGGCATCGAGGTGGGAGGCGCGGGGACGGGGCGGGGACGGGGCGGGGATGCGGACTCACGGTGCCGTTCCTGGTGTGATAGTAGCTGAGGACGGGGAAGCGCCCGCCCTGCCGGAACCGGGCTGCCCTCCGCAGGGTCTCCTCGCTCACGGCCGCCGGCACGATGACAGCCGGAGGGTACGTGGGGCAGACGGCGAAGTCCTGGTTCACGTCACTCAGCCGCCACTGGGTGGTCTGGGGAAGATGCGAAGGTGGGAGGGGGAGCTGCCTCCCCCCGCCCCCCAGCCAGGTGTAAAGGACCAATCCGGTCACCCCCTCCCTCCCCGTACGGGTGAGATGTGACACCACCCCCTGCCCCAAGGCCCACCTGCTTGGCGATTTGCTGGAAGTGCCGCTCCGTGGGGAGCCGCGGCCAGCCCTCCTCCAGCCGCAGGCTCTGAGGCCGGTGGAAGAAGGGATACATCATCATCACCGAGTCCACCGAGGAAAGGGCCTGCAGCAGAGCAGAGTTGGGGGAAGGGCAGGGAACGTCCTCTCTGCAAACCCCATCCTTGCTCCCTCCCACAGGGCTTGGCACCTCGGGTGCCCCGTGCAAACACAGCCCAGCAGCTGAGTGTTTACTCACGTTAATGACAGACCCAGAGCAAACACTGTGGGCAGCCACCTGCTCCTGCCAACCCTTTGCATCCCGGCACGGCTCACCTCGATGGAGCTGGCGATGTTCAGGCACTCCTCCATGCCCGGGATCTCCAGCTGCAGCACCTTCAGGTCCTTGCAGCGCAGCGTGATGGTGCCGGAGGAGCCGGCCAGCCTGGGGAGGGCAGCGGGGTCAGGGCAGGAGGGGCCGTGCACGCAGACAGCATAGAGCTGCCCTCTGTCCGGGGGGGGCTGAGAAGGGCACAGAACTGCGCGGGGCTCCTGGTCTGCCTGAAGCTGTGACTCCCACCAGCTCCCCTCGGAGCAGCCATTCTTGCCCCACAGAGCTGCGTGAGGCCGGGCACTGCAGGGCAAGCCGGAGAAGCTGAGAGCACCTAAAGCCAAACCTGTTGTCCCGCGGGGAGCCGCCGCTGCGGGGTGGCTGATACCAGCCTACATTCTGCACTCTGGGGCACGGAGGAGAAGAGGAGGTCAATGCCCACTGCCACGAGCAGCGGGGAAGAGGAGGGAGGAGGCTCCGCGGTGCCAGGAGGGCAGCGGGGGATCATCCCCACCGAGGGGGCACAGGGCGGTGGGAAAGGACCGACCTCTTCTCCACGGCGTCCACGTTGCGGATGAGCAGCCAGAGCTCCACGGCGCTGGGCTGCCCTTCGCCGCCGGGGCAGGAGGAGAGCAGCAGGTGGTGGCTGGTGATGCACAGAGTGCCCTTCACCGCCGGCTGCCCCGCGCACGACAGCAGCACGCTCTCCACCGTCGCCGTTTTGATCAGCTCAGAGAACTCCATGGCGGTGCTGGAGAGAGAAAGGGGAAATCCTGAGCGGCACAGCCCGGCTGGAACCCCCCACCCCCACCCCCCGTCCCTCCCCGCAGCGCAGCCTCCCCCGTCCCGTTCGCGTCGTCACCTAAAGCCTATGCCGCTTCCTCCCTGCAGAGCTGCGCTGGTTTCCTCCCCGGCACTGCTGTCACCGCAGTGGGGAAACTGAGGCAGAAACCCGCTGGGCTCGGGGGGCTGTGGGTGCCGGGACGCCGAGCCCGGTGCGAGCTGGGGGGGTCGGGGGACACTTAGGGGGCGTTTGGGGCGGCTGCCGCCTCACATCGGCTCTGTTCTGTGGGGCGGGAGGAGGAGGAGGAGGAGGAAGAGGGGAGAAAGAGGAGGAGGAAGAAAGGAGGAGGAGGAGGGGGCGGTGAGCGGCTCGCACGGTGCCCCCCAGACCCCCAACCAACCCCGCCTGTGGAACCGCGGCTCTGGGGGGCGACGGGCGGGGGGCAAACGGGGGGCACGCGGGGTGCGGGGCAGCGCAGGAACGGAGCCGGGGGGGGCGGATTAAGGTGGCAGGGGAGCGAATAAGGGGACACGGGGGGGGGGGGGGTCACAGCGGGGAGCACGCGGGTTTGCAGCCCCGCGCTGGGAGCAAGCGGGGCCGCGCGGGGTCACGGGACGGCAGCGGGGCTCGAGGGGCTCCTGGCCGCGCTCTGCCCGCCGGCCGCCGCACCCCCGGGTTCCACCTTAAGGCCCGCAGCGCACAGCCGTCCCGCAGCTGTCGGCGCCCACCGCCACCGCGCGGCCCCCGCTCTCCGCCCCATCGGCACGCGGAGCTGCTCGCTTCCCTTCCTTCGCCCTTTTTTTAGCAGCCCGGGGCCCGGACGGGAAGTCGGTGTGTCACGCAGCGCCGATAGCGGGAGGGCACTGCGACACCGCGACACCGCGTCCTCACCGCGCTTCCTCCGCGAGGACGCGGAGCCGCCTCCCAACCGGAGACAGCGGTGCTCAAAAAGGAAAGAAAAGGGGGGAAAAGAAGCAACAAAAAACAACTTCTTTGCACTCCTCTGGATAAGCCAAGTTCCTGCCCGTTATAATTATCCCCAACCTTTATTGTTCTGGGGGTAGATAAATAGGCGGCACTCGGCACAGCTGCGGTGGGTGTTCCTCGGCGTGCTGGGATTTGGGCTCCGAGGTCTGGGAGCTGGAATTGGAGATTTGGGATCTCGGGTTTGGGATCTGGGCTGCAGCCATGCCCCTGGGCCAGGTGAATTTCTCTGAGCTGGGTGCAGAGGAGCCAACTGCAGGCGAGGAGAGCCTGGCTGGGGTCAAGGCACTGACAGCCAAACTGAAGCTGCAGACCCGCCGCCCTTCCTACCTGGAGTGGGAGGCACGGGTGCGGGGGCAGCCCTGGGGCAGGCCGACCCCACGGGGGGCAAAGGGAACCTCGGGGCAGCCCAGGGCCGAGCAGGATGGCAGCGTCTGTGGGTTCCCTGGTATGGAGGAGGCTCTGGAGTGGCTCAGGACGGAGCTGGTGAGTAATGCTGAGGGGCACGGAGGGATGGTGCCTGACCCCACAAGGGAGCCGCTGGGGCTGCTCCCGCTGCAGCTCGGAGCTCTGCTCCTGCACCAGCACGGCCACTGGTTGTGGGGTTTTGCCCGGTGCTGCAGCTCTGGCCTCTTGCCCTGCCCAGAGCTGTGGGTTGTGGCTCTCTTTTTGTTACCCCTTCCTGCTGCTCTGTGCAGGCAGTAACAGCGTCATGGGTGCAAACTTACATGAGCAGGTCGCAGTCCCCATGTTGGCCTGTGCTGCACGTGGGCTCCGTGCCGATCCCAGCACCACGTATTCCTGATCCCCTGAGGGTCTGTCACCGAGCCCTGCTGCTCCAGCAGCACTGCTGGCGCTGAGCCTCTGTCGGCTGCTGACAGCTCCATTCTCCCACAGCAGGAGCTGCAGGCTGCAGACCAACGCCTGGCACAGCAGCTGATGCGCCTGCGGGCACAGCTGAACCGGCTGAAGGTGGAGCAGGTCTGTCACCGGCACAAGGAGATGCTGGACGATGCCACCTTCGGCCTCGAGGGCTGCGAGGAGGACTCGGATCTGCTCTGCACCATCCCACCCAAGGCTGCCTTCCTGCTCTCCATGCCGCTCAAGCACATCGGTGTCACCCGCATGAACATCAACTCCCGGCGCTTCTCCCTCTGCTGAGAGCAGCAGGGACCTGCGGGCACCCATGGGTGCACCTGGAGGGTGAGAGGGGCTCATAGGTGCCCCAAAGTGCTGCAGGGACATCGGCTCAGGCCTGAGCTCCCTCGTGTTTGTGCCATGGGAAATGTGCCATCCCCATGGAGCAGCCGTGTGTGGTGGGGGTCAGACATGGGAGGATGAGGGGAGCAGCACTTGGAGGAGGAATAAAAGCAGGCGATGATGAGAAGGAGCACTTCCTGCTGTGCGCAGCCCGGTGCCCGCCTGCGCCTCCAGCGGTGCTCCCAACCCCTTGGGGTGCCAGGAGGGCACCCGCTCCCAACTCTGCCCCTTGGGCTGGTTTTTTCAGTGGTTCCTGCTTTGGGATGGATCCGTACCGGGGTAAAAGGGTCTCTGCTGTGAGGAACCCACTGCCAGCCCCTCCCCACGCACCCGGCCACGGTGGGTGCTGGGGCTGCACTGCTGCAGGAAGTGCTCATCACCAACAGCTGCATGGGTCGTGGGGCCTGGAGGTGCTGGGGGCTGTGCTCAGTGCTCAGCAGCCCCGCACTGCCCCACTCCCACCCCAGTGCAGGAGGGATGGGGGCTCTACCTATGGCTGTCCTTGCTGCAGGGATTTGCTTTTCCATTTTTCCCCTTCCCCTGTTTACGCCAAACCCTTTTCCGAAGGAGCTGCCGCTCTCAGCGTGTGACAGAGCACGTTTTGCAAGTGCTGCCCAGGGGAGATACGGGGTGACCCAGGAAGCTGTGGGATCAAGGGACCATTCTGGGTTCTGGGACACTAGGAGGGAGCAGGGAGAGCTGCACGAGCCCCCGAGCCTGCGGCACATGGCAAGGAATGGCAGTGAGCCCTTGCCCAGGGACACCCGTGGTGCTGGGGAACGCACTGGGCGTGGGGCTCAGGAACGTCCCCATAAGGGTGGGTGCAGCACTGGGTGCCCCCCCGGCACAGCTTGGCGTTCTGCCTGCGCCACTGCAGAGCAGCTGGTGGGAACCTGCGGCTTTGCCTTTGATTGTGAAAGCCGAGACAATAGCGCTGTGGTTGCGCTGCTCAGAGCTGAGTCTCCAAAAGTCTCCAAAAACCCAGGGCTGGTGGCGCAGCACGGCCTGGGCACAACGCGTCCCCTCCAGTCTGTCCCCATGTCAGCTGTCACTGTGGCTCTCGGGGGACTGAGGCTTGGGGGTGTGGTGGTGATGGCCAAAGCGGGGCTGTGGGTGCAGGAGGTGTCACACAGCCCAACAGGGTCTGGTGGGGTACGGCACCACCGGAGCTGCCACTGCGATCCCACAGCACTGAGCTTTGGAAAGGGGGCTGTAAAGGGACCGGGGGGTTTTGCAGCCCTTTGGGTGACAGCGTCGCACCCATCACTGCCCCCACACAGCACGTGGTCCATTGTGTGCCCCCACTCCACCACAGCCGAGGGGCTCGGTGCCCCCAACCCACCCAATCCCAGGGCTGAGGGCACCTGGAGCAGGACCTCGGTGCGCAGCCCAGCTGGGGATGGCAGGAAGCCTCAGGGTTTGTCACCAGTGCTTGCGGTCGTGCGCGAGCTGTGAACCAGCTCCTCTAGAGTTTGCTCAGGAGGCAGGAAACCGGGGCAGGCAGCGAGCAAGAGCGAACAGCGGTGGGGAGTGCGCCCGTGTGCGGGGGGCTCAGCTGCGCTGCCGTGGGTCAGCGTGAGCCCACGGCCATGGGGAGGACGTGAGAAGGGACCATCGCTGCTGCACAGCCATGGGAGTCTGAGAGAGCCAGTCCTCGTTGTGCTGCCCACAGGTAACGGGGTCGGGATGGAGCTCTGCAGCCAGCGCTGCTGGGCAGGTGCACGCTGTGCTCACTGATGGTGCTCTGGGGGTGGGTGGCAGCAGGGGCTCACCGCAGCGGGGCTGGGAGCGATGGTGCTTGGGCAGCTGGGAGGCACAGGTGGCAGCTCCCCGTGCTGGGGGATAGCAGCCACTCTGATGCCAGGGCAGCCGGTCCCTGTTTGTGGGGCAAAGGGGGAGATTTGTGCCAGGCCCTCACCCATGTGTGGATGAGAGCAGCAGTTCAGTGCTGGTCCATCAGCATCCCATCGCGGATGGTTTCAAGCACTGAGATGTGTCTGGCTTCGGTGCTGTTTTGGTGCAAACATCTCCGTGCCGCGATGGCGGCGTGGGGCGGCCCTGCCCTGCTGGCTCTGCACGGCGTCCAGCTGGATCACATGGGGCCAGGAATGGGGTCAGCCCAACCTCAGCCCCGCTCACACACTGACCAAGCGCCATCGGCCGGAGGTGCTCATGTGAAGGGCCTGCAGGAGCGGCAGGAGCAAAGTGTGACAGCTGTGCCGTGCAGCCCCGTGCGGGGGACACCGAGGTGTGTGCGCAGTGCTTGCATGCAGCCTTCGTGCAGAAATTCGTTTGCACAGATGCAGTCACAAAACCTGACTTCAAACACCCCGACGCAGCGCGGCCCTCGCACTGAGCAGGTGGAACGGTTGCTTGGTGGAAATTATGCTGTGGCTTGAGTACATCAGAGAAAAAGACACAATAGCAGCACCTCCCTCCGCACCCCGGCTTCTTGCAGAGAGGAAAAAACACCTCCCAGGTCCCTCTGCTGCGGTGGATGTGCATTTGAAGTGCCACGCGCATGCTGGGAGCATGGAGGCTCTGTGTCCGTTTTGCTCAGCTCCGAGCTTTGTCCCCACGGTGCCATTGCTGTCCCCGCTCCCTGGGGCCGTGGCCGAGCTGCTCCAGGGGCGTTTTCAAAGCAGAGCAGGCAGAAGCGCGGCACCAGGGCCCAAATCATGGCACAGGGGGGCTCAGTGCCCTTCCCTCCCCACAGCCTCTGCTGGCATCGGCCATGGTGCTGGTGGGCACTCTGAGGTGGCACCCTGGGGACAGCAGGAGGGCGGCACTGCCGTTGCGGTGCTGTCCCCACTGTGGGGTGATGAGCGCGGGGTGCTCCCAGTTCCTGTGCACGGGTTTGGGGTGTGCTTGGTGGCTGAAGGATCTGCACCCAGGGGACGCCACATCCCCCCGAGATGAAGATGACAGAGGAGAAAAGAGTGACACCGATATAAGATAATCACTGCCAGCAAGGCAGAAATGGCAGGGCACTTGAGCACAGGCTGGGGACGCGGGCTGGGGCCATGCCTGCGTGGGGACGGATCCTGGTGGTGTGGGCGTGGGGATTCTGCAGAAAAGCATTTTCCAGGGCTGTGGGCCACTGCTTGCGTGTCTCAGCACCAGGGCTCCATCAGCTTTCAAGGGAAGGTTAGAGCCACGCAATGGGAAGAAGGCTCCTTCCACCCACTTGTGGCACCAGGGTCGGTGCTTGAGGTGGGTGTCCTGGCACTCATCACCTTCTGTGCTCTTAATTAACGCAGCCAGGACAAAGGCAGGAGGAAATATGGCTGGTGATGGAGTCAGGGGATGCCCTTCAGAATGTGCAGGAAGGGCTGTGTGACGGCATGAGTAAGAGAGACGGATGCAGGGATGGGATGGAGGGATGGATGGACAGATGGATGGATGTGCTAAATGGGATGAATGAATGGCTGCAGAGATGAGGTGGATAAATGTGGGGATGGGAACAATGGGGCCGGGGAGGGGATGAAGGCTTCTCTCACTGCCCTCCATAGCCACCATGGGCTGCTGCTGCAGCTCAGACTATGATGAGGACTGGATTGAGAACATCGACATCTGCGAGCACTGCAACTACCCCATCGACCCCGACAGCAAGCGCCAGGTGAGGGGCAGCCACAGGACAGCCGGGGTGGTGAGGGATGGCCAAGCCCTTGGTGGCAGGAGGGGATGTGGGGACTGCATTCATGGCCCCCCCTTCCCTCACAACAGCTGATCCGCAACGGCTCTGAGGTGCGGGATCCCCTGGTGTCCTACGAGGCCACGTCTCCGCCGTGCTCCCCACTCCAAGGTACAGCCTGGCCACGGGGGGGCTGCTGGGTGTCCCCCATGGCCACCTCCACCCTGACCCCGCGCTCTCCCCAGACAAGCTCGTGGTGGCCCTGTATGACTACGAACCCACTCACGATGGGGACCTGGGACTTAAGCAGGGCGAGAAGCTGCGCGTCCTGGAAGAGTGAGTGAGCACTGACAATGTCCCCATGTCCCCGTGTCCCTTGGCCAGGGGTCCCGGCTCAGAGGGGCTCAGGGCTCACAGGGCCGTGTCCTTGCAGGAGCGGGGAGTGGTGGAAGGCGCAGTCGCTCACCACAGGCCAGGAGGGTTTGATCCCCCACAACTTCGTGGCCATGGTGAACAGCCTGGAGCCGGAGCCGTGAGTAGAGCCGAGGGGCTGCACAGAGCCGTGCCAGAGCAGCAGGAAGATAGGAGAGCCCCCAGCCCTCACCCTGCCCCTTGTCCTCAGGTGGTTCTTCAAGAACATCAGCCGCAAGGATGCGGAGCGGCAGCTGCTGGCGTCGGGCAACACGCACGGCTCCTTCCTCATCCGGGAGAGCGAGACCTCCAAAGGTATCAGTGCAGCCCTGATGGCTCCTCCTGCCCTGCAGGGTGCACAGAGAGCCGGGACCCAACAACCTGTGCGCTTCCCCCAGGCTCCTACTCGCTGTCAGTGAGGGACTTCGACCAGAACCAGGGCGAGACGGTGAAGCACTACAAGATTCGCAACATGGACAACGGCGGGTACTACATCTCTCCGCGGGTCACCTTCAGCAGCCTGCACGAGCTGGTGGAGTATTACTCAAGTACGCACTGTCAGCAGCCGGTCCTGCCTGCAGGATGGATATGGGGATGGGGTGGGCTGGGAGGAGAAGGGCGCCCCGCTACCTGCGCCCAGGTGCAGCTCATGCCGGGCTCCCCACACACACTGACACCGGCTCTGCCTTCCCCGTGCTGCAGGCAGCTCAGATGGGCTGTGCACCCGCCTCGGGAAGCCTTGCCGGACACAGAAGCCGCAGAAGCCGTGGTGGCAGGATGAGTGGGAGGTGCCACGAGAGTCACTGAAGCTGGTGGAGAAGCTGGGAGCCGGGCAGTTTGGAGAAGTCTGGATGGGTGAGTCGGGGTGAAAGCGGGGTGCTTCCTCCCAGTGAGGGCACTGCTGTGCGCAGCGGCAGCCCGGACCCACAGCATCCTTGGGTCAACAGGAGCAGCCAGGCCAGCACAAGCCCTGTGCAACTTTGGCTTTTTGCAAGGATCTTCCTCATGCAGTTTTAGGTTGGGATGCTCTGGGCAGACAGATGCAGCCCTCTCCCCTGCCTCCTCCACCACCCCACCATGTTACTGCTACCTGCCCCCATACGTGCTCACTGTGGGTCCTTTTCCTACATCACAAGCTGCTCCATCTCCTCGCAGGTTTCTACAATGGCCACACCAAGGTAGCCATCAAGAACCTGAAGCAGGGCAGCATGTCCCCCAGCGCCTTCCTGGCAGAGGCCAACCTGATGAAGAACCTGCAGCACCCGCGGCTGGTGCGGCTCTATGCCGTGGTGACCAAGGAGCCCATCTACATCATCACAGAGTACATGGAGAAGGGTGAGGGCGTCCGGGTAGGATAACTGAATCATTCAGGCTAGAGAATACCTCTAAGACAACCGAGTCCAACCCCAACCCATGCCCACTAAACACATCCCTCACTGCCTCATCTCCGTAGTTCTTGAGCACCTCTGGGGATGGTGACCCCAGCACTTCCATTGGCCTGTGCCAATACTTGGCTGCAATAATGATGCCTGCACCATGACACTGAGACCCTGGGGTCAGCCCTAGTGGGACAGGGGCCTGGCAGGCAGTGTGATCTCCTGCCCCCTTCCACCCCCCAACGTCTGTGAGCCCCCAGTCCCATGCTGGGTCCCACCCTGGGGCTCACTGAGACCTGCTGCCTTCACTGCAGGCAGCCTGGTGGACTTCCTCAAGACCTCAGAGGGCATCAAGCTCAGCATCAACAAACTGCTGGACATGGCTGCACAGGTGAGAGGGGCACAGGGCCACAGCGGGGGGCTGCTGGGGCTTTCCTGCTCCACCTATTAAGTGTGATTATTACGATTATTTTGATGTGCAGATTGCCGAAGGCATGGCCTTCATCGAAGCCAAGAACTACATCCACCGCGACCTGCGGGCTGCCAACATCCTGGTGTCGGAGGCTCTGTGCTGCAAAATCGCCGACTTCGGGCTGGCGCGCCTCATCGAGGACAACGAATACACAGCACGAGAAGGTGCGTCCAGCCTGCCGGCAGCCTGCGCGCCCCGCCCGCCCCAAATCACTGCCCCCAGCCACGAGGGGGCTGCCAGAGCCCACCCGGCCCTGCCGCTGGTGGGGTCACAGCCCTGCCTGGTGGCTGCGGCAGGAACAGGCACGCGGAGCCAAACCCAGCGTGCAGCAAGGACAAAGGCTCGCTGTGCTGGCACATCGGGTTCAACAGAGGGATGACCCGTAACGCTCATTCTTCCCCTCCTGCTGTTTTTCAGGGGCTAAATTCCCCATTAAGTGGACGGCACCGGAGGCTATTAATTATGGCACGTTCACCATCAAGTCTGATGTCTGGTCCTTCGGCATCCTGCTCACCGAAATCGTTACCTACGGCCGGATCCCGTATCCAGGTCAGGATTTCCCAGCAGCTGCACGGCAGCAGGGCTCACACGCACGCAGGCGCACACCCACCCGTGTGTGCATGCACTCCTGCACGCACACAGGCTCCGCCCGGCCCCGCTGCCTGCCAGCCCGCGATGGTCCTGAGCTCTTCGCATTGCACGTGGCCAGCCAAGCCCAAAACCCACAGCGGGTGGGGGGGGTCTCAGAGGCTGAGGCTGGGGGGCGGAGGAAGGTTTCCTACGGGGTTCACAAAGGCAGGGCGCTCCCTCAAGACGGGCCGATGCAAATTCAGTGCCACTCATGCCGTCCCCTCGCAGGGATGACCAACCCCGAGGTGATCCAGAACCTGGAGCGCGGCTACCGCATGCCCCAGCCAGACAACTGCCCGCGGGAGCTGTACGAACTGATGATGCAGTGCTGGAAGGAGCAGCCCGAGGAGCGGCCCACCTTCGAGTACATGAAGAGCGTGCTGGAGGACTTCTTCACCGCCACCGAGGGACAATACCAGCAGCAGCCGTGAGGCCCCACGCCGGGCGCCCACAGACTCCACGAGCATCCCGCGAGCACCGCCCGGCAGCGAAGACGCTGTGCTTCCCGCAGAGCCTTGCCCCTGAACGGTGACATCCTAACTGAAGCTGCGCGCTGCTGTCGCACAGCGCCGTGCCCACGGATGTCAGCTCCTCGCCCTGCCCCACAGCCCCGCACACGGCACGGAGCTCCCGGCCCGGCGCAGCCCCTCACGGCCCGGGGGGGGCCTCAGGCAGAGCTCACGGTGCCCCTCGGATGGCAGCCACGGACCCGAGGCCCGCAGGGTTGGGGTCGCTGCCAACCGTGCCCGGTTCTCCCTGCTGCCGGTCCTCCTCGCAGTGGGGCAGGAAAGGCGTCGGACCCAGCGCGGGCCGCAGCCGCAGCCCCACACGGCCCGGGCTCGAGGGCTCGACGCCCTGCCCGTCCCAGCGCTTCGAAGCCCCGTGCCGCGCCCCCCCCCCCGGCACGTTGGGAATGGTTCGGCCCCACCTGTTCCCCCCCTCCGTCCTCGCAGAATGGTTCCGCCCCGCCCACCTGGCCCCGCGCCCCGCGGTGGTGCGGCCCGCCGCTCCGCCTAGCCTGCTGGCTCCGCCGCGCCGCCGCCTCGACTCCTCATTGGTCGGCGGGCTGGAAGGGGTGGAGAGCCGCGTTTCGATTGGCCTCCGGGCCGCGGGGGGCGGGGTGGTGGGGCCCCGGCCGGTGGGGCGGGTTGCGTTGCGCTGCGCGGCGGTAGGGTCTGCGGCCGTGGGGAGGCAGGAAAATGGCGCTGACGCAGGGGACCAAGCGGAAAGTCTGCTACTACTACGATGGTGCGGAGCGGTGGGGAGCGGGATGGGGGGGCTGCGGGGGGGATGGGAAGGGGCTTGGGGTCATGGTTTGTGTGAGATGGGGGCTGGGCTGGGGGGCATAGGGGCGAAAGGGGTCCGCGCGAGGTGGGTCTGCAGGCTGTGCTGGGCCGCAGGGCGGGGGGAGGGGCGGCGCTGGGGGCTGTGGGGAGCGGAAGGGGAGGGGAAGAGCTTGGAGGGGTTTGGGGGGTTCAGGGCTGCAGCACGGCGTTGGGTGCCGGGGGGAATTGGAGTGAGGGATATGGGGGCAGGGGAGCGGGCTGGGGGGGCTTTGGGGGCTGGGAAGGGAGCAGGGCGGCTCTGAGAGGTTTGGGGGGGAGGGGCTGCGAGGGGAGGAAGGGGCTCTGCTGGAGCTCCCGCTGGGGTCAGCGGCGTCTTCGTGGAGTGCGGGACGGGACGGGGGGCACTGGCGGCACAGCGCTGGTGTGGCCTTGCTGGGGGCTGCCTTTGCTGTTCCCTGCCCTTCAGGACGCTGAGAGCTCTGCTTTCTGGCTTTTTAATCTTCCCTCTGGGGTGGGGGAGGAGCCGGGCGTTACAGCCAGCTGCCTCGGGCGCTTTCCCCACTGGCACTGTGGCAGAAAGCACAGCTCATCCCCCTGGGCGCGTTCACAGCCCCCTCCCCTTTGGAGGGTGGCCTCAGTGATGCTCGGGTTTTTGTTAGGCTCTGGGATTGCTTTGTGCAAAAGGTATTGTGCAGTTCTCTGTTTTGTTGCAGTTTTCAGTCTATGAAGTCAAATAAAAACTTTATTGCTGTTTGTTTTTTTTTTCCCCCTGGTAAGTGGATGTATTCCTTGCTGAAGCAATAAAGTGAGCTCTTCTAAACTGCTTTCTGTATTGGGCAGGTAGTGAGGGCTCTCATTTCTTCTGAGAATACAAGCAGAAGGATTGCGTCCTGTGGTGCTGGCCCTGCGTCTTCAGGCAGGCAGGGTGAGGAAGAGGGGATCAGAGCAGCAGAGCTGCCTGAATTCAGCACACAGTGTGCCTCTGGAACACCCATCATCTCAAAGTGCAGTGGTGTGCTGGAGCCCTGGGCTCAGTCAGGCCCGGTTTAAGCACCAGAGTGCTTGCAGGAAGTGGCAGGGTGCTGTATATGCGCAAGCAACCTGCGTGTGGGAGAACTCTCAATGTCCAAACTTCTCCCTCCTTTGTATCTAACGTGTTCACAAGGATACTTTCCACTCTGTGAACAAGCTAACATCCTTCAAGGCATGAGATGACACAAAATAAATGATCGTCTCGCTGTGAACGCTAAGCAGAATGATATCCTTCCGGTCTTTATTGCATGGTAACAAAATGAAGTTAGTGTCATTCCCCCTTGTCTGTAGCTGCCCTCACCCATTTACTCTGCGGTGAGGTTTTAGTGCCTTGTTTCCACTGCTCTTTTATGAGGGGCTGGCAAACATTCACAGGGGGAAGTGTGCTTTATTTGTCACGGAAGGCATAATGTGCACTTGTGGGTGGGTGGCTTGTTAGGGTCTTTGTCACATAGAGAGTGAAAGCAGAGAAGCCTGGTGCAGTGGTTCATGAAGGGAGGTCCTGGCATAAATTTCAGAAGAAGGAAACTGCAGGAGGTCATTGCCTGAGCTGTGGGAGAGGGTCTGGAGAGGGTGGGGAAAAAGAAATCTTGTGTGGCAGGGGTCGTTCCTGGACATGCTGAGGTGTGCTGGGGCTGTTTGCAAGGGTTTGAACTGCAAGAATGGGAAGTTCTCTTTTGTTGGCTCCAACATGGGGCAGACAGGAAGAGGTCTCTGCTGAATTCTCACTCTTATCATGCAGCCATTGGTGCACCCGAGCTCCGTGCTGTGCGGCAGGGCTTGTGGTGAGGCACGTCTTTACCAAGGTAAAGAAGGGAGGCAATAATTTTTCAAAGCTTTGTGTAGTTTTGTGTTTGTATTTCCTAGACAGGGTTTTGAGCATCCCTAACAGTTTCCCAAAGCTTAACATACCCTGGTTTTGCTGTAGGGTTTTGGTGCAGGCAAAACCCACCACTGTAGCATCACCCAGGCAAAACTCTGGCAGCAGAATGGTTTGGGCGTGAGGTTTGCATCTCTTCAATGGAAGGAGGCTGGTGCCCAGTGCAGGAGGCATTACAGCTGTGTGCTGTGAGGAAGTAGCAGTTTCTCCTGTATGTTAAGATTGGTGATGAAATATTAATGCTCCCAGCTGAGTCACCGGCCAGACCGGGTTGGGTCTCTCGCTTCCTAAACTGGTGGGGAGCTGTAAAACTATGCGAATGACTTTGTTTGATTTCTTAACAAAATGAGGCTTGTGCAGCATTGCTGCTGCGTGTGGCTGTGTGCATTCCCAGCTTTTGGCAGAGCTCCTCATTGCCCCGTCTGGCAGAGGACGGAAATCTGAAAGTTAAATTGTGTGGAAAACACCACGGGAATTTGTGCCCTGGGAGAGGAGGGAAAAACCGGTGGGAGACAGCAGCAGGAATTCAGCTTTCACCAGATGGAAGAATGTGTGCATGGGGAGCTGACCTGGGGGGTGTACCTGCAAGTTGCGACTGCCTGACAATTAACCTGGTGGTGGAGTGAAGGATTTCCAGAGGATTTCAGGCAACGATAAGGGATGAGACGAATGGGAGCTGTGAAGCTGTGCTGTGATTTGCTTATTGACAGAATTAGCAGCTTTGAGTCTCACGTCTGCTGGGTACACAGTAGTAAACTGAGGCAAAGTGGCTACGTGTGCTGGGTGATGAGTCACTGTCTGAGCTGGGATTAAACTCCTGTGCCTCCTGGCTTGCAGGTTTCTGCTCAGAGAGCTCCGAGTTTCTCAGGGAAGCTCTGTGAGTGTGAGGTCCCATCGTGGAGCCAAACCCGGGGGAGGGAGGTTGGAGAGCTGTCGTTTGCTAAGTGAGGACCAGCAGACGTGGTGCCCAACCTCCTGCTGCCAGGAAGCCTGGAGCTGCTCCAGCTTCACAGCGTTGTCGGCTGCTCACGTCCAGCTGGGTTGCCTTCCCCAAATCTGCCGTGGAAATCCTCCGTGTTGGCCATGCCCTGGTGTCCATAAGTCGCTCTTGTCTGGCTCTGGGATGAAGCTTTCTGATGGTGCAGATGCGCGTGCAGACCCTTCCCCCTGTGAACAGATGGGCTGCTGCTGGGCACACAAAATGACAGATGTGGTTTGAGTGGTTGGATTTGAAGCAGTTCATGCTTTTCCCTGCTGTAACAAAATCCTTTCCGTCCCCAGGTGATGTTGGAAACTATTATTATGGCCAGGGACACCCCATGAAGCCCCACAGGATCCGGATGACCCACAACCTACTGCTGAACTACGGCCTTTACAGGAAGATGGAGATATATGTAAGTGTGATGAGGAGAAAGGCCGTGGGGTACTTGTCAATTGCAATTTTGGTGCTTCAAGCTCCTAAGTTCTATGTCAACAAGGCAAAGAGGAAAGTAAGAAGGATTAAGTGGTTGTGTTGACATATTCCTGCTGCATTGTGATTTCTTGCAGTGAGATGAGATGTTCTTTGCTCCAGATAAGCCTTGGAGTCTGAAAAATTGGTTTTCTCTCTGTAGCTTAAATATTTTCTTTGCCTAGATATGTGGTATGTTCCAGTCTGCAGTAATGGCTTTTTTTGCCTTTGCAAATCAGTTTCTCTTGTCTGGTGCTGCTGCTCCATTTATTTGTTGTATTATTTTTGCTGTTTCTGGGAGTAAATGTGAGACTGGAGATGGGATGTGGGGAGGGCAGCGTTCCCAACCAAGCCCTGTGTCCTTGCAGCGCCCTCACAAGGCGAACGCGGAGGAGATGACCAAGTACCACAGCGACGACTACATCAAGTTCCTGAGATCCATCCGCCCAGACAACATGTCTGAGTACAGCAAGCAGATGCAAAGATGTGAGCTGTGCGCGTGGGGCTGCGGTTCCGGTCGGTGCCGTGTTGTGTTCCGGGGGCCCTGGGTGAGCTTTAGGAGCTCAGGATGAAGAGAGCAGGAGGAGCCTCAGGACCTGCATTTCTGCGGATTTTCTGCCCTGTTTACCTGTTAAATCAAGGATTTGAAAACGAGTCCCTCGAGCCGGAGTGGCTCCTGAGCTGAGGAGAGCCTCTGACCCGATGGTCTCTGATCTCGTGCTTTAGTGGAAGTTCTGAATTATCTTCGTGGCTTGGAGATGATTGAACTCCCTTTATGAGCTTTATTTGCTGTAATTGCTTGTTTTATAACTGAAGGTCTCAGGGTGGGACAAGGCTGTGTGTTTTTAAATTTAGTTTTTATTTTTAAAAAGAGGCTCATCAAAATCTTCGGGAACTCTGAAGGATTTTCAGAGCTACAACAGCTTGGAAGGGGGGAGGTTTGAGGTGCATGATGGTTCCTGTGCTTTGTGTTGGAATGTTCTTTTTTTGTGAGATAATCTACTCCTCTAACCTCTGCAGTCCATGGAAATGCTCAGGATCTCTTGGCAGCTTTAATGCTGCAGAAACATTTTTTTTTTGGTCTGTCTTAAACTCTGAGGTGATGTTTTGTGTCAGGTCATAAAGGCAAAAAGAGGGGGAAGGCTCAGGGTTCTTTTAAACATTGTTTTGATCAAGTACACTGCTTTCCTTGAGAGCAGGGAAAAAGACAAAAGCCCACAGGATTCGTTTATGTCAGATGGGATTTCCAGATTGAAAGAAATGCGAGTCTGGAGCCTGAAGTGAGGGCACTTGAAAATCTGGTATTAGCTGAAAGGGACAGATGTTTAGGCA